TGCAAGCTAGAATAGGAGCTATTGTCTCAATTACCGATTTAGAAACATCAACGGAATTGCCCCACAGATCCGCGGTTTTCTTTTTATTTAATTGGTGAAACGTTTTTATTACATCTTTAAAGTCAACATGTTTAAAATGAAAATAACTAGTACAAGGTTTCACGTTTTCTCTTAAGATTGATTCGGCAGCAATGGGGGAAGAAGAATTCATAGCCAATACTCAATAAGTGAAAAAAAAACAGATAATATTAATTATCAACATTTGTTATTGTTTGTTTAAAAATGTTTGGTTTTTATTCTAGAATCAGCTGAGTGCTAAAAAAGTGTTTCGAGATTTTTTTGTAAACCGTACTTTTCAAGCGACATTTGACAGATGGAGGTCATTGGCTTTCCTATTCTTATTGAAATCGCATTATACTTCAGCTGCTGCTAGCATTCCGGATGCGCTGCAGTGTCGTGGCAGCCCCATCAGTCCCCTGAATGCATTGTTGTGCACCCAAATCGCAAGTGTGTGGTGTGCTTTTCAAAGTACTTTTCAGGCCACTCAGTCATCAGTACACCCTATTTCACACCTAACTATCAATTAAACCGAAGAGGTTTAATTTAATACAAACAGATGTACGAATAAATTATATCCTACATATACATTTACAATGACGCCTTTAATACCTAAGTAAATCTCTTAATTCATAATTACGTAAGGTACCAATAAGAACAATAATTTTATATAATGTATATGTACGAAGTTTGGGAGTTAAATGTGTACTGATTGTTAGTTCTAGTTACGGCCGTTGTGGCGCTGATGTTCAAGTTTTCATACAAAATTTGGCAACGACATTTCCGACTCGCAAACTATTCGAATTCGTTATTTGTTCGTGCTAGGGGTACTGCACCCTCGCAAACTATTCGAATTCGATATTCGTTCGTGTTGGGGTTACAGATATAAATCAGGCATCGGAAATGGGATAGTCTATTAATGATATATAAATTCTATGATGTCTTCATATTGTATATTTGATATCCTCATGGGAACACAAAGTTCAGTGGGTCGACCTTGTACATGCATAAGACTCCGTAAAACACAGCCTCACACAAATCGCTATATTTGTCCTCTGAAAATAACAAAAATATCACGTGAAAAAAAAACGTTTCTTACCATTTTACATTATTTAGGACTAATTTCTTAAACACTCGATAAAATTTATCTGTCTAATAGAGTCTGTGCGGAAAGAGAATGGGATTTAGATTGGAGGGCGCTGTAGTGCTTTTCTACCGTATTTGTAAAGTTTTACCCCTTTTAGACATGATTAAATACAAAAAACCGCAAGAAATCACAACAACAAACAAATCCGTATCAATACAAAACTTTGACGTTTAACAGATTGCTGGGTTTGATTGCCAAATAAAAATCTTAATGTTAGTTCCGTTTTTCGCCACGCCCATTCTCTTTCCGCACAGACTATCGTATTATACGGACAAAATAAAGAGTTAATCTGTGTTCATTGATGTAATGTGACGGATGAGATGATCTCTCGAATGATGAATCAAATAGATTGATTGAGTATTAATTTATTGAACAGTTAAGATTAATCCGAGTTTAGAAAATCATCCCTTAATGAAAAGAACTCATCAAATATTAGCCAATCAATATTTATTAAATCCAGTTGTCTGGAATTTCTTTTTATCAACTTAACCTGCATTATTCAAAAAATATTAATAAGTAAACTAGCAGTTTTTGAAACCGTGGAAAATGAATGTAATTGATTTTCCAGTAACATAATAGGTACCTACAGAAGATGTATTTTTCCAAGAACTAAATCTGAAAAAGCCAAAATCTCTTTTGACACTATCAGCTGAAAGAAACAAATGACGGTTTGGTCTAAGACCCGAACTTACATCGACCTTCACCTAGATGATAATAGAATGAAACATATTTTATCATGAAATAAGTATACATAAAAGAAAATATATTAAAAATGGGTTGCCTAAAAAATCCTGGACAGGCTATTTTTAATAAATTTAATATTTTTATTAAATTACATGTTGCAACATCAACATTTTCGTACTGAATAACAGTATAAAATGTGCCGCCGCGGTTGGGTTGTCTGTTATTTACCTGGGGGAACTACTGGGTTGCCAGTTATAAACAGGTATATATACGTTTTATAATTTAAGTCAAGACAACATTTTCTTATGTTGTAACAGTTAAATATACTTTTTTTTAATTAATTAAAAATAGCTTGTTCGGTATTTTCTTAGGCAACCCATTTTTAATGTATTTTTTTATATACTAAAATCATGGATATATTTCTTCTATTATTCAGCACGGTGAAGATCGATGTAGGTTCGGATCTTCAACTAGTTGTATAATCGTAAATTAATATACCACATTCTTTACATTCTTGTCTTTAAATCTAAAGAAAATATAACTAGAAAACATTCCACGCGGATCAGTCAGCAGACGGGACTCGAACTCGCGCCCTTCGCTATCCGGGCGAATGCATTGACCAATTATGCGGCCCTGATGGCCGCGTCGAAATTATTTTAGCCATTCTTAAGCTGCAAGGCAGCGCCATCTCTTAGCATTGTAGGTAACCCACAATCCCGTCTGCTGCCTGGTCCGCGTGGTTTCTTTTTCTAGTTATATTTTCTTTAGATTTAAACATCAAGCAGTTACATGCTTAAAAAATAAAAAAATATAATTCTTGTCTTTGTCATTATGTATTTGTGCCGTGACGTGAGTGACGGTAATGTGTTAATAGTTTAAGCTCTAGCTACTTCTATAAGGTAAAGAAGAAGAGTTAACTTACGAACATGGAAGCATTTGTCTATTGCTTTTTTAACTGGTGCCTTCATATCGTTCGGATACAGTATGTCCACTTGTCTCGTAATAAGATCCCGATCGAGCCGATCGTTTTTTATCTATAAAAATTACAATAATATACTTTATATTATATTTGTTTATTAGGTTTTCACGCACATCACTCATTAAATAAAACTAGTTTTAACGGGTTAATGCATAAATAAATAAACTCAAAATTACAAAAAAAAAGAATTTTAAATAAAGTACTTTATTAACTAAATTAACTAATAAATTCATACATAGACAATAAAATTTTAAAAATCTTCCAATGAAATAACCGAACGCTCAATGAAAGTCTTCCGAAGGTAGCTCGACAAAATTAAATAAAAAATCAGTATTCTGAGATGCAGACCTGAAAAGGCTGCGAAACGTCAAATAGAGTTTCGTGCATTAACCCGTTAAAACTAGTTTTATTTAATACTTTATATTGTTCCAACTTTCGTGGTCACCAACATTATAATAATTTATGTTATTTGCGGAATTGTTACCATGTAGATTGTTTTTAGCGAGTTTCCGATATTTCGGCACTGTTGCTAACGCCTTAATCACTGAGTAACTCAGTTATGATTCGGCATTAAAAATATCATCATCATCAGCCTATTAATGTCCCCATTGCTGGGGCACAGGCCTTCCCTATGTATGGAATAAGGAGATTGGGCTAAGACCCACCACGCGGGCCCTGTGTGAATTGGCGGGTGCTAACAACTGCGGATTCAGCCGGTACCAACGACATAACGCAGCACGGAGGAACTCGAGATAGAAGATTTTTGGTCACCCATCCAATGACCGACCACTGCGAAAGTTGCTTAACTTCAACGATCGCAGCCGAACGCGCTAACCACCTGCGCCATCGAGCTCCTCCTTCCTCCTCCTTAAAAATATGTACAACCCTAAATTTTCACCCTTCAACCACCAACCCCTCATTTCATGGCGGTAAGAAGTTCGCTAATTATACATTACTAGCGGCCCGCCCTCGCTTCGCTTCGGTGTAGAGCTGAATTGTAGACTACAGTTTTTGTTCTCAGGCTTGAATTTATACACAATGACATTCATCTATGATTCTTCTTATACCTGCATGCAAAGTCTCAGCCCGATCGGTTTAAAATTAACAAAGTTTCATACAAACTTTCGTTCCCTATTTTATCCCCTTGGGGGTAGAATTGATCAAAATCCTTTCTTAGCGGATGCCTACGTCATAACATCTATCTGCAAGCCAAATTTCAGTCCGATCCGTCCGTTGTTTGGGCTGTGCGTTGATAGATCACTATGTCAGTCAGTCACCTTTAAGTTTTATATATATAGATATATAATTACTGATCTTCATTGGTACCTAGATATTATAAATGCATTACAAAAAATATCTGTAACCTGAAAAATATATCTTAAGTCTTATTTAATAATTGAGTTATTCCGTGATCACGGTTGTTGGTAACAATCCCGTAAATAACATAAATTACAATAAACTTTTTAGTGCCTTAAAAATAGGGGTTGGTGGTAGAAGAGAGAAACTTTAGGGGTGTACGTACTTTTAATACCGAATCTTAAAAAAGATGACCAAAAATTAATCAATACAAGTGCCAGTCGAACACGCGCACCAAGGGCTCCATACCATTATCACATCACAGACAGATAGACAGACAGACGGACACTTGGGTACGGAACCCTAAAAAAGAGTTCTTTTAGAGAATTTACTAAATATTTTGTTTTGTTAGATAAAATGTGAGTACCTATTCTAGACTTTTGCTATTCAAATACCGCATAAATGATGGTTTTTCGTTGTTGCAATCGATATCAAACTCTGTTTAAAAAATAATGTGTCATAATGCCATCAGAAATCATTGAAATTCTTTTTTTAGACATTGCAATCACGACACTTCTTTCTCATTTTTGCATTTCTAAATTACACTCCTACGAAGTATAGTAGTTTATTTTATTAAAACAAATTGTTGCAGTGACCTGCACGCTCCTTTTTGTTGTATTTCTTTATCTGGAGGTTCGAAGCGTATCGATGTAGGAAAACCAACTTTTCCGTAACTCTGATATTTTATTTAGATAGCGGGAAACTCCCCCTTCCCCCCGGACCTTTTAAATAAAAGTACAATAAGATTGGATTAGTTACTCCATGTTTCGTCTCTGTTCATCGAACGACAAATGGCAGTTGATTGATATGTACAAAACACGGCGTAACTTCTTCCCAGTCGTGCACTCTTGACAGAGTGGTCATGTCTCGGTCGATCCCTGTGCCACTAATGCAAACGCGATGCGTCGCCATGCAGCTCGATGTTTTGCAGAGCGAGAGCAATCGTTTAGGCCGGGACTCCACCAAAATGGAGACGAGACGAGCGGAGAGGAGATGTTTTTTTAACCACCAATAGAATTGTGTTATTGACACATCTCCCCTCCGCTCAGCTTCAATGGAGATCGCTGCGAGATTTGTATACCGCGATGGAAGCGGAGATGTGAGCTATGTGGAGACGACAAACGTGAGCGGTGTCACCTTCCCCCCTCTCGCCCGCCAGCAACCCGCAGAGCCCCGCTGAGCACTCAACGCCTCGCACCCGAGCTAAAAAACATTTCTTCTCGCATAGCACACCGCACACATCTCCGCTTTGGTGGAGTCCCCCGAGCTGAAAAACATCTCTTCTCGCACAGCACACAGCACACATATCTGCTTTGGTGGAGGCTCGGCCTTACGTAGAGTGCGTCGCCGATTTAATAAGGTCTGTCCACCTTGTCGGAGAGCGTCCGCGAGACCTTTTGCCTCAACTTTTCCTTGCACCACCAACCGTTCCATGGAGTTCTCATTACGAGTAATGTGCCCGAAGAACTTGAGGATTACTGGTTTAAGAATTTAAGGAGGACGGCGTAACTAGTCTTAGCTTATTCCTTGTTCATTAATAAGGGAGCTAGAGCAAAACCACAGACAAATAAACTTGCGCAGAAGAAATTTTTAAAATTGCTACTACGCAGGCTTCGTCGTCTATGGTCATTACTCAAAAAGTTTATTTGTCCGGGTGTACTTTATCGTTATTTTTAACACAAGTGGTTCAACTACGTACCTACCTTTAGATCAAATTATTCTAAAATCTAAAGGAAACTAAAAAACTTACAGTAGTCGCGTATGATGTGTAACATTTGGAAACCTCACCTTATATTAGTAAAAAAAGAAATAAAACCTACTACAAAAGGAAAAAACCATTTGAAAATTATGTTCTAAAATCAAATCAAATAGCGCACGCTATCGCTACTTCCTGTTACATACTTCCGTCCCATTTCACACGAAATCACTCCCACAAATTACAGGAAAGCGAGAGGAAAGATGTTACACATCAAAAACTTAATTAAAATATTAAATTAGTTACCACTTGTAGCGACTTATACACGCAGGCGATAAAACACATCACCTTCGGGTCTTCTATGAACACGCCTTCCTCAATTTTATTTATTTTGTCTAAAACAAAAGACAAAAAAATAAGATATCTTTTAGATTCGTTATGAAAAACGAATGTCATGAGACGTTTTTCAACACGTTTGTTAGAAAACAGTACCTATACCTAATTTAAGTAAAAAGGAAAGTTTAGCGATTAATAAAATGGCGCGCAATTCCAAATGGCGCCACGTGCGGGTGGTGAAAACTAGAAATACATATTTCGTCTCTTTATTATTATTTTTTCTAATTGGTTTCGCACGGTTTGTGCATTTAGCCAATGTCAAGTGTTAAAATGTTTACAAATACTATAGCACTCGTGGTCAAAGTAATAAATCACGTCAAAGTAAGTGGCAGTCAAGTCAATTCCCTTTCCCTATGTTTCAGTAAAAGTGTGGGGATTTACTGGAACCTCCCCGTGGACTTCTTGAGGGAACGTCGAAAGACACTTTCCGCTATTTTGTACAACTTGCCAACACTTGTGCATGTTCCCGAACACTTAGTGGTTAATAATCCACCATTATTAGACACTAACATCCGCCACAACAATAAAAACAAAACTGCTAAGGTGACGCTTCCCGATCCCGCCAAAAAGTCCCTCTTTATCTTTTTAATATTAAGTGAAACATGGGTAAAAATTAAAAACGTTTTCAAGGAGGTTCAACCGAAATAAAAAAAAAACCCGTAAATGATACGCACGGTGCCTAATTTAAAACTTTGGAACAATGCTAAACAACCTCCGTAAATGCATTTTTTAGCAAATGTGTTGAAAAATACTACTTATATCTATGATCTAATCTTATTAAATTTCTATAAGCTCAATGATTCATTTAAATCTATCCCTATTTACGCTGGTCACGCCATATTAACCTGCGAATGACCTTATCGATTTCATTATCTTTTCTAAAAGATATTTAATTCTGTGTAGAAGTTTCTTATGGACAAAAAGCAACAATGTAAGTGAAACTTTTAGTGTTTTATATCGTCTAAAAAATCTGCTTGAGATTCCAAAGATTTTTGAGACGACGATTTTATAATTTTTGGAAAATGCGGAAAAAAAATGTGTGCACGGACACATCTGAAGTGATACTTCTTTACTTTAATAATCTAACATTAGGCGGTGCATAAGGCATAGGGGAATGGAGTAGCGCACTCATCAATCATATATATGTACATATATATGTTGTCGCGTAGGAATAGGAGCAACTTTTGTTACGAGACCAATGCTGAAATCGCGGCATACAGCGCCAATCCCCTTAGCACATACACATAAATCTATTACATTCAAAATTAAATGGAAAAGACAAGAAACTGACATGCATGTTCAGAAAATGTGTGTGTGTGTGTGCTAGTGAGTTTTGCGTAATAATATGATATGTATGGTATGGACTGTACTACATTATGTATATTATTATGTATTGTTACCTATTGGCTAAATTATTTAATGACCTGCAATATTTTTTTCTGTTTCATCATATGTAAGTGTTTTTATATAACTATGTGTATATATATATATTATTATACAGTTTTGTGACTCTCGTGACGCATCTCTGTTTCATCTTTTCCATAAGATTTTTCCATTTGTACCAATAACTTGATGACTACCACCGATGCTTGTTAATAAGGTCTGAATTATTATAACATTAAAAAAAATGACATCCTAAAGGTTAACGTTAAGGGTTAATGAAAAATAGTAGCGGCGTAATAAAAGTTTCAAAAAATTAAATTTAAGACAAAGTTACGGGCGAAAGCTAGTAGAATGCAATTGTAATTGAAAAACAATCTTGAAATCTTGTACGATACCTTCAGAGACTCCGATCTTCGGCACGCATTGTTTTTTCGCAACAGTCATTGTCTTTTTCAGTTGCGCTCTTGTCATCTGGACATAATGATACATTAACATATTGAAAATCAAAATCAATATCGTTTATTCAGTCTAGGTTGTTACAAGCAAGTGCTTGTAACAGCCTAGACATTCACAAGTGTGAATGTCGAAAAGCTACGCCATCGGTTCGCAAATCTACGGCGGGAGACCTTTTACGGAGAAGAACCGGCAAGAAACTCAGCAAGGGCTGTTTTTTTCTCCCTGTATTATATAGAGAGTCGTCAAATTGAAAAATGACTTCAATATGAAGTAACTCATCACTTTCCATTACAAATGTAAATAATGTAAAAATTATGACTATAAAATAATAAAAAATATATAAGAAACTGGTTTAACAAAGTTTAGAAATGTTTACGTGTCCTACTGTTTAGGCATAATATTATATATAACTAGCGGACCGGACAGACGTTGTCCTGTCTACACGTCTTTGTGAATCTAAACCATTCTCAGATCCCCTTGAACACACACAAAAAATTTCATCCAAAATCGGTCCAGTCGTTTAAGAGAAGTTCAGTGACATACACACTCACAGAAGAATTATATATATAAAGATATAATAAGCAAAAAATTAAGGATTTAAGTTAAGTACAACGATTAACAGTACTCAATGCAGCAAGAGCAGACTCATCTCCGCTGGCAGCACCCGTTCACGCATGACGCATGAACCAGCCATCGCTTCGCTCAACCATTTTTTAGGGAACGCAACGACCCGCCTCACACGACACCGTTTCTTTAAATAAGACCACAGTAATAACTACTCGCTCCTTTGGTGGTGTTGTGTTTCTGTCGGTGAGTGAGGTTCCAGGGTTTCACGGGGTAGGGGATTGAGGTTCCAGGGCTCCACGGGGTAGGGGATTGAGGTTCCAGGGCTTCACGGGGTAGGGGATTGAGGTTCCAAGGCTTCACGGGGTAGGGGATTGAGGTTCCAGGGCTTCACGGGGTAGGGGATTGAGGTTCCAGGGCTTCACGGGGTAGGGGATTGAGGTTCCAAGGCTTCACGGGGTAGGGGATTGAGGTTCCAGGGCTTCACGGGGTAGGGGATTGAGGTTCCAGGGCTTCACGGGGTAGGGGATTGAGGTTCCAGGGCTTCACGGGGTAGGGGATTGGGTCAGTGTAGGTAACGGTGCAAGCGATATTTTTGGTATCGTAAGTATTTATAGGATTTTGTGGCCGCTTACTATCTGGCGGGCCATATGCTGGTTTACCACCCTTTTAATATAAAACAATTCTTAGCTTAAAGTAATTTAATAAGACTGGGGTCATCATCATCACCAGCCTATTAATGTCCCCACTGCTAGGGCACAGGCCTTCCCTATGGATGGAATAGGGAGATTGGGCCATGACCCACCACGCGGGCCCAGTGCGGATTGGTGGGTGCTAACGACTGCAGATGCAGCCGAGACCAACGGCTTAACGTGCCTTCCGAAGCACGGAGGAGCTCGAGATAGTAAATTTTTGGTCACCCATCTAATGACCGACCACTGCGAAAGTTGCTTAACTTCAACGATCGCAGCCGAACGCGCTGACCACTTGCGCCATCGAGCTCCTCTATAAAAATAAGACTGGGTAAGCAGACAGAAAATTTTAACTGGACAGAACTTTTAACTGGTTAAACAAACATAACCTTAGAATAAACTTTGATAAAACTAAATTAATAACCTTTCACCCGCGTCAAAAATTACCGCTTAAATTCTGTTATAGTTTTCAAAACAAAAATATCGAATGTGTGAATGATTTTTCATTACTGGGTATAACTATAGACACTAACTTAAATTGGAAATCTCACATCCAGATGTTAAAAAATAAATTATCTAGTTTTACATATGCACTTCGAGAGGTCAAAAAAACAACAGATCTAAAGACTGCTCTTATCACATATTATGCTTATGCCAATGCCTGGTTTACCTATGGAATCATCTTGTGGGGGAACAGTACGGACGTATCCTCTTTATTTACACTACAAAAGAAACTTATTCGTATTATTGTTAATATTAACCAAACTGAAAGTTGTAAACCTTACTTCCAAAAATATGAAATTCTCTCTTTACCAAGCATTTATATATTTGAGATTTGTAAATTTGTAAAAAAATACTCAATTTTTTTTACTAGAAGAGAAAACATTCCTTCAAAATATACATCGAGACACAAGAAAAACCTAATGGTTCCAACTACTCGCCTTAAATTATGCTCATCGAGCACTTATAATATGTCTATAACAATCTATAATAAATTACCTGAAAATTTAAAAAATGAAGAAAATTACAATGTTTTTATTAAAAAAATTAAGTTAATGTTATTGAATAAATGCTATTATAGCCTCCAGGAATACCTAAATGATAAAACTACTATGGAATAAATATAACAAATACAATATTATTTTTATTATAAAAAGATATAATACAATACTTACATAATTAATAATCGTACATAAATCATAAATGTAATTATACAATATCTTATTGGAGTAGTATGAATAAATATTTTTTATGGGTTTTAATTTATTGGATATAAAAAATTATATCACAATAAGGAATTATGAATAAGACGTCCTCTCCTCTTGCAATTGCGATACCCTACACTACAGGGTCCATAATGCACTTTTGTCTATATGTTACCACCTTTGTATCTCCATTATGGTCTGCAATAAATGAATTGAATTGAATTGAATTGAATTGAAAATGCAAAGCACACAGCAAAAAATAATTAATCATATCTACCAGAACTAGAGTTCTAGAACAACTAGATCATTAATATAACAATTAATACGTCGAAGTGACCGATGATCAAAATCGATGATCGAATCGATCGAAGCTACCTTGATCATCGGATTAGCCTAGCTATGCAACGTGGAAATGCTGCCTGCCTATTGGGCACCATATCTGACAGCGGCGCTAGGGGTGATATATTTTTTATTTTGTAAATTGTACATAATATTATTTAATTACATACTTAGTTATTACCGGTCCTTAAGTTTTTAGACATAAACTAGTTTCAAGCTTTTGTAATTTTAAATATTTCTATGTAAATATAAATTAATTAATACCATACTATGTCACTTACCCCAAAAATTAATAGTAAAAATGTAACTTACCCCAAAACAGCCTTCCAAGTAGCCTAATAGTAGAACTAAAAGATATACAAAGCGTCGGCGCATGGCTCCACACATCCAAACAATTACAAAGTATAAACTGAAACTTTTTTTTGTCACAACTTGTTCAAATCGCAACAGACCTCCATATGTCAAATATTCCAAATTAAATTGTTTTTAAGCAGTTCTTTTAGCGGTTTCCGTAATTGTATGTTTAGTTCCCTAACTCGATATTAACAAAACGTTTGGTTAAACTGCGTATGATTAAGTCATTATTGGAATTATATGTCAAAAGTGTGATGTATTTCAAAACAGTAATTTTGGCTATATACTATTTTGTACTCTACTCTACTTAGCTTAAGGTAGTTGTTCCATCGCCGGCGAGGAACGATGTATCTTGTATCACAGAACACAAGCCTTACAGTGCTTACTTAGGAGCTAGGCTAATTGGTGTGTTGGAAAAAAAATGTATTTATTTTTATCGCTGACTGCCGGCGAGAACTTTCTCCACTCTCTCGAGTTTGTCGCTGATTAACAAGAGCTATCGAAAGAATACTCGCTCAGCGAAGCCAGACTTGGCCGTCAAAATGCGCATGTATTTTTGCTTAGAACGTGTGTGGCGCGTTTTTTTGAGTGTGTATGCTGTTCGTCACAGACGACCTTTACAGCCTTAGATTAAAACAAAAAGGGTAGATACGGTACGCTCATACTTGCATCAAACAAAAACTGATCCCACGGCAACGCGAACGGGACGGCGAGATCTGATCTGAAAAATATTTTCTAGTACTTACGAATGAAAAGTGATGCCGTGGGTTTTATTTTTAGTTCTTGAGCAATTTGAGCACTTTTTAAAAACACACTTAGGCATTGTTTTAAATATAAACACAAAATATAAGCAATATTTCTTTTTGGCGTTCACATGTACGTTGTTTGCATGTCAAGTTGTGACTAAAGCGATTATGGTCTTGGACCACAATTTATGCGGATCACTTTTGTGAGGCTAGTGCCGTAACTGCCCTTTTTGTTTTAATCTGAGTTTACAGCGTCAATAGGATTGGGGACGGCGAAATCCTAAAGGGACCTCAAACCGAGAATGGGCGAGTAACTCTTAAGGTATTCCAGACGGATGGCATCTCCTCATAGGGAGAGTCTCCTCTCCGTCTAGAGGCTCTAGATAGGATTGTCAGATTTTTCTGAGATATATAGTGTTTGACGGTTTGAAGGATCGAAAAATAAAGTACACACAGAAACAATAAAATATTTTTATCATTGTCCTTATTACAATTTTTACATGCATAAATATGTTCTATGTTCGTGTCACTTTTTTTTTCGCGTTCGGAAATGTTAACGTAAACCCTAACTAGGGTTCTAGGCTCCGAATATGATTTTGTCCCATTCGGTGTCGAGACCCTTGGTCCGTGGGGTCCTAGCGCTTTAAGGCTATTTAAGGAAATAGCGAAAAGGTTAGTCAACGTCACAGGAGACCGAAGAGCTGGCAGCTACCTCGGACAAAGAATTAGTCTAGCCATTCAAAGGGGTAACGCTGCCAGTATCTTCGGATCCTTGCCTAAAAGGACTCCTTTTAATAATATATTTTAGTTATTAATTTTATTTTTTAAGGTTTTTAGTTTTAGTTTTATTGTTCTAGTATTTATATTTTACTTATATATAGTGTAATATAATTAGATAGAGACTTATTTGTTTATAGTTAGTGTATTTTATAGTTTTATGATGTAACCCTAACTTAACGTCAAATTGTGATCTTTGAATTTTAGTTTAAAATGTAGTATTCTAGCATACTTTATGCGTTTCGCATATAATAAAGTATACAGAGGCAAAATATAGTAGAATACTATATATTATAGTATATCTAGCAACCCTAGCTCTAGACCACGAGTGGCGCGAGTAACCGCCCGTCGTACTTGCACACTCACTTATAGTCCAGCGATAAAACTATCGAAAGCACACAATTGCTTACCACCTGCTCAATAATACAAGAAACAAAAATAAACTAACTTTACCTGCTACTCGGCTTCACAAAATCAATAATTCATTAAAAAGTATTTGTGTTCGCTTATACAATAAAGTCCCAGGCAATATCCAAGAGTTAACCATAAACAAATTCAAAGATAGTATAAAAAACACTTATAAAAAAACGTTATTACAAAGTGTCTGATTATATTACAGACAAAAATGCTTGGGTTTCAACTGTTCCAATCAATCCAACAGGTTTTCTATATTAAATAAATCATTATTGTATTGACGTTATAATAACATAATGATTTGTAAATGTTGTTATATTATACTTTTATTGTTATGGATTTTTTTCGTTCGTTTTTCTTCGCAGCTAAAAATATGTCTAATAACGAGTGGTAGGGAAAAAATATTGGACGATTCAAAAGAGTTGTACTATACATCGAATTTGAATAAAGATATATTGATTTCTGATTTCTGATCATCGAAAATACTACTCGCTCAGCGGCGAGATCCTAAGGGGACCTCAAGCCGAGAATTGGCAAGTGACTCTAGAGGTATTCCAGATGGACGGCATTCTCCTTTCCGTCTGGAGGGTCTAGACCACGAGTGGCGCGAGTAACCGCCCGTTGCACTTTGACACTCACTTATAGTTCAGCGATAAAACTATCGGAAGCACACAATTGCTCGCCAATTTATTTCCAGTTTGTAGCTCTATTAGCCTGTCGTTCATAGTAGGCGGTGTGACAAGTGCCTAACTAATCAGAGTTTGGAAGGTTAGTTGTTTCCGGCAATAAATGCCTTCGCTTTATTCAAACCGGGACCTTTTAGCCGATGACAGGATTTAATTGGCTATTAGACCTCCATACTCTTACTAACAATACTTTGCCTCTGTAAATTTTGTTTTCTTTTAGTTAATAAGGTTTGTAAGAATATTTACTTCCTTTGCCACTGCTGGTTTGTTAAGTAAAAAACCAAAACAAAAACAGAGACGTTTAATAATTTTTAAAAAGAAAATTGTGTTAATTTTCAATAAACATTTTCAAATGAATACAGTCAATTTTATGTCCCAACTATGATCTAAGGGAACACAAAACTTTTAGGGTCGAAATCGTACATACACTTTGCCGTCCAGTAGGATGCTTCACATATGTCTTTATATTTCTTCCCTGAAATCGAAAAAAAATGAAAACTTCATCAGCCTAATCTATAGAAGACTCACCAAATTATGGTTTGATAGCGGAAAGAAATAAAGTTCCGTATCACCCTTTTGCCCAAGTGGGGATTACCTTCCACCTAGTTAAGTACTCCCGCTGTACACGAGAATTCTAAAGCAGCCAAAAAAAATCAACAATCAGCCATGTCTTTTGGTCGAGTCCAAATCAGTCAGTCTTCTGAATAGGAACTACTTTCACGTATCATTTCTGTTGACAGAAAAAATATTGATCTGCCAGTTTGCATGATGTGGGGGTGACCGTACGAAGGGGGAATAGAAGTTTATGCACCAAGGGGATAAAGCAGTGTCTTAAGTTATGTAGAGTCCTGGGTGAAGCGAGGGGTCCAATGTGCTGCCCGTGACGTAAGACAGGTTTTATCCCAGAGGTGCATACTCTACATTTCATACCTACTGCGAGGCAATAAACCCAGGTTAAAATATTGGACACATTTGTCACGTTATGGAGGGACAGAGTAATATTTTTATTAGGAACATTTATGGAAGTTGTGGTGGAGTTTATTTGAACAGTACTTAAAGATTCAGGAACTTGGACTAATACTCATTTTGGAATGTGAATGTCGGTGACGTGAATTTTCAATGTAGCCCTCCGCTTCTGTATCGGATTTCCTGCCCCCGTGTCGTTTTATCTGGGCTATATCCGCTCCTGAATCTGCCAAAAAGCTGATGTCCTCCTAAAACAGTGGCCTGTGTAGAGTTCTGCGTTTGGCAATTTAGCAATTTCCTTCGGAATAGCACCAATTTTATTTTTACCAATGACTTGTCTGGTACATTTGACATAATTATAAGATACGAAAAATTTGTCAGTGTTAGTGTTATAAGAGCGTAGAGCTTGATACTTTTCGACAATTCTTACTTGCTCTCTACAGATTACGAATGACCGTTCTCTCTTTGTTTTAGTATCTGGCAAGCTTATCAACAATAACTGATCTGAATGATTTTCTATATTTTCGATGATTATGTTAAGAAGTTCATTTTCACGACAAGCGCCCTTCACTCAAAAAATCAAGGCAAGAAAACATAAGGTTACATAGTATTTAAAATAAATTTGTGAAATTTTAACGCATTTATAATATAAGTGTCAAAAATTAGTAAATATATAGATATGTTACTCACTTTCATGGCCAGAAAGATGTGATCTGGTGCTTCATTTAGAAAGGTTTCCACATTTTGGGTTGTAAATACTTTCGACTTTCTTGTCCGATGGCCTTCCGATTTCCTCTTTAAAAAAGTCAACAATCTGCTGTATGTGTTGATTTGTATATTGTGTTTGATGCTGATTGTAGATTTGAGCATTGAATAAATACACCATAGGCTGCTTGACTTCCGAATCGATCCTAAGTAATGGAAATAAACCAAAAAGACGGATTCGGACACAGCCTCGACTCCTTTTGTTTCTCTCCATATGTTGTAATCTTCATACACTTTTTCATACTTACTTATTTTTTGTTTTTTCTGGTAAGAGATTGTTAATAATCCGTAAGCGTCTAATTTAATAAGCTCCGGAGTCAAATCACTATCGCTCGACGACATTTTGACACGTGAGAATGTTAAAACACGGAACGGTTAAAATAACGTACTTAGTAGGTACTTATTTTACTTTCTGAAGATATCATAGCATTTGTTTTGAATTTTTTCAATCGCGTTTTTCTTTTATTATAGGTGGCCAGTTCGATTTTCGAATTAACTCTCTTTGCAATGCCATATTATTATTGAAAAACTCTATGATAGATACGTATCTATTAGGAGTTTTCATACGAATTTTAATGTTTCAAATTCAAATCACTTTAATCCCTTGGGAGTTTCATACAACATTATCTCCCTTGGGAGTCAATGACTTGCTTTACGTTGAGATTGCGTGATATATAATAGGGCATTGTCAAGCAGGTGGTATGAAATAATATTTAAGCGCGTCAGACATCAGAAGGGATGTTACGTGAATACTCCACTAGCACCTATTCAAAGGACAAACGATTTGGACGTGAACAAAAGATATAGCCGATTCTTGAATTTTTTTTTTGGCCGCTCTAGCTGTTCGGCTCTACATATACTGCTCAGGTATGGTGGGAGTACTTTACTAAATGCAACATAATCTGCACTCACGTGCTTATAAGTTAGGTATTTATTTCAAGTAAGTAACTGAGGAATAAATTGTCAAAATCTCACTTTCACTCTTAGGACATTATTGGAAATGGTTTCGCGTCTGTGTGGGTGGCTACGCGACACCTTCGAGTTTTTCAAGCGATACTAGTCTTAAAGTTAAAGTAAAGTACGTGTAGATAAAGTTGTCACACTGAAAGTGCTCCTGGCGTCAATGCCAGCCGCCCTTTATTCCCACTAGTTCTGTCGGCAAGTTCTAATCGATGCGATTCGACGACCTCCTAGGCCGAGTAGTTTGTACGCCGAGGTTTTTGGAGTCGCCGACTCGAGAGGTTCGAATTTTAAGAGTTGGAATCCCGGTGGGGGTAGATGTTTGTGTGATGAATACGAGCATTTATACTACAGTCATGGATGTTTAATATGTATTTCTATCTAAAGAAAAGTTTACTAGAAAAAAATCTACGCGGACCAGGCAGCGGACGGGACTCGAACCCGCACCCTTCGCAATCCGGGCGAATGCACTGACCATTATGCTACCACGGCCCTATTGGCCGCGTCGAAATTTCGACGAGATTTTTTTCTAGTAAACTTTCTTTAGACTTAAACATCTAGCAGTTAAATGCTTAAAAATAAAAAAATAAAAACATGTATTTCTATATAAATACTAGCTGACCCAGCGAACTTCGTACCGCCCTACAAAAATAGGGGTTGTCCAGCGGACAAAATTGTGAATCTAAACCATTCTCAGATCCCCTTGAACACACACAAAAAATTTCATCAAAATCGGTCCAGTCGTTTAAGAGAAGTTCAGTGACATACACACTCACAGAAGAATTATATATATAAAGATACTTATATATGCACAGTTTAAGTATTCTATCCGTTACCCTAGCATCCCATAACACAAGCCTTACAGTGCTTATTTTGGGGCTAGGCTACTTGGTGTGATTGCCTAGTACCCTAGCGCAATCCCCCAGAGGCGTGTCGTCCGGTCCACTCGTTGGGCCGGGCCGGCCCGGGGGCGTCCCAGTGAAGTGGCGAGATGTTCCCATAAGGGCGTAAGAGGGTACCAGTGGTTTTTAGTGGGTAGGACCGGCGCTATTCCACGTCGGGCAATCCCACACACGACGAGGTATGGACCGTAAGTGGATTTTCCATCGTCAAAACAAAAAGCCTACTTGATGTGAGTGTTGGAAATATTTATTATTATTTATTACGGAGTGAATCAATCCTTACTCACCGACATCTTTGCAATGAGCTGCTGCAGCCTTCACCGGCTCCTTTAATTCAGCTGGGAACATCATGTCCACTTGCTTGATAACAGCGTCGTAGTTCAATTTATTGTTCTTCACCTGTTAACACATGGACTAACTAGATATCTATACTAATATTATAAAGAGATGAAGCTTAAATCTAAAGAAAAGTTTTACTAGAAAAAAAATCCACGCGAACCTGGCAGCGGACGGGACTCGAACCCGCACCCTTCGCAATCCGGGCGAATGCACTGAAAAATAATGCTGCCACGGCCCTGATGGCCGCGTCCAAATTTTCCTAGCCTTAAACTGCAAGGCAGCGCCATCTCTTCGCATTGTAGGTAACCCACAATGTCAAATGAATACTTCTTCAAGTATTAAACATTTGAAAGAAGAAATAGCAATTATGGTTATGTTTTTATTTTTTTAAGCATTTAACTGCTAGATGTTTAAGTCTAAAGAAAAGTTTACTAGAAAAAAAAATCTAAAAATTAAGGCCAGGAAAATTTCGACGCGTCCATCAGGGCCGTGGTAGCATAATTGGTCAGTGCATTCGCCCGGATTGCGAAGGGTGCAGGGGGCCAATCGCCTAACGGAAATGCTTTGGGAAACGCTAACGCTTACGATTTTATATTGTTATTTCTAGCCGCCTGAGGTTTTCGAATACCTCACGCTCATTTTTTTTAAATTTGTTATTACCAATGCAAAAGAAAAAGAAAGAGTGCGAGGCATTCCAATACCTCAGGCGGCTAGAAATAACAAAATAAAATCGTAAGCGTTAGCGTTTTCCAAAGCATTTCCGTTAGGCGATTGGCCCCCAGGTTTGAGTCCCGTCCGCTGCCTGGTCCGCGTGGATTTCTTTCTAGTAAAACTTTTCCTTAGATTTAAACATCTAGCAGTTAAATGCTTAAAACAAATAAAAACATAGAGATAAAGTTTGTCAATTGTGAGGTTGTGATGTTATAGGGAATAATCTCTGGATCTACTGAACCGATTTTGATAATTCTTCTACCAATGGAAAACCACGTGATTGATTTTTTTTTCTTAGTATTTAACTTCTAGATGTTTAAATCCAACCCGCACCCTTCACTATCAAGTTATTAGGTTAACATTAAGTCACAACTCAATCTTAATCTTCTTAACAACTTTTATACATAAGGAATTTTGCATACGTATCAAATACACATAATGACTTCGAACATATCATTGAGTAAAGTCCGTCAGCCGAACTCTTAGAGCATGATGAAATGCAGAAAAATCTCATTCAAATTAAATATACAGAATAATAATAATCTTGTTTAAAATTTATTATCATCATAATCATTTCGCTTCAAATCTTTATATATATAATTCTTCTGTGAGTGTGTATAATAATAATAATAATCTTTATTTCTTCTTAACAAATTTTGTACAAAAATTTTCAGTGATCGATTGTATGTCACTGAACTTCTCTTAAACGACTGGACCGATTTTGATGAAATTTTTTGTGTGTGTTCAAGGGGATCTGAGAATGGTTTAGATTCACAATTTTGTCCGCTGGACAACCCCTATTTTTTTAGGGCGGTACGAAGTTCGCTGGGTCAGCTAGTATCTATATAAATCAGTTTTAAGAGTGGATAAACTCCCAGTTAGTCTACCATCTTCGAAGATCATCGATATGGTTTTAATACGTAGAATTGGAAATCGATTTTTCTGTTCAAAATTAATAATGTTTTTTACAAATAAGTAGGTACTCACAACCTGCGTCATTTGGTAGATGCACGCTATGTAACACATCACATTTTTCTCTTCTAAAAACTTCCCTTGATCTATTTCACCTACTTGTTCTGGAGACAGAGTTCAAAACTTATCATCAAGGAATTTTGAATAACGCATAAATAAATGCAGCTTTCAGGTACTTAACCATTTGATGACCTCCGTGGCCGAGTGGTTTATACGCCGGGTTTCATGGCGTCGCCGACTCGAGAGGTCCCGGGTTCGAATCCCGGTGGGGGCAGAGCTTGTGTGATGAATACGAGCATTTGTACTCCAGTCATGGATGTTTAATATGTATTTCATATATATAAATATACTTATATATGTACAGTATATGTATTCTATCCGTTATTACCCTAGTATGCCATAACACAAACCTTTACAGTGCTTACTTTGGGGCTAGGCTAATTGGTGTGTGTTGGAAATATTTATTATTATTATTATTTTACAGTTGATGGAATAAATAAATATGTATTAGATAACATAATACAGATCATTGTAATAACACTAATTTTGTAAAGGCGAAAATTTGTGAGTGAGTATGCTTGTTACTTCTTCACGTCTAAACGGCTGGAGCGATTTTAATTAAATTTGGTATGGAGTTAGCTGACACCCTGGATTAACATATAGGCTACGTTTTACTACGAGAAAATATCCTTAATAAACCGTGGCTAACAACGCGGGGCACAGCTAGTCCCTATATAAATAGCTTAATAATTAATAGTGTTATTGGTAATCGAAATACTGACGGCAGTGCCCTCAATACCCAAACCCGAAAACTCTCATTTGATTTTCATTAGATTGATTGATTGAAGAATTTCGGGTGTTTTTGAAACATCACAGTTCTGAAGTCCATATCAAAATATGCGCATCAGAAGTGTCCATATAGGTTAGCGCGTTCGGCCGCGCTCGTTGAAGTTAAGCAACTTTCGCAGTGGTCGGTCATTGGATAGGTGACCAAAAATTACTATCTCGAGCTCCTCCGTGCTTCGGAAGGCACGTTCAGCCATTGGTCCCGGCTGCATCTGCAGTCGTTAGCACCCACCAATCCGCACTAGGCCCGCGTGGTGGGTCATGGCCCAATCTCCCTATTCCATCGACAGGGAAGGCCTGTGCCCCAGCAGTGGGAACGGGAACATTAATAGGCTGATGATGAAGGTATATAGGTAGGTACCTATCAACATTTTTATACAATAGGAATTATTAAATCTACATTTCCCAAATTAGTCTAATAAATAGGCTTTTTTATTTTAATTCTTATGTATGAATTCGTATAAAACAGAATGTTACGTTGTACACAAGTCATTTTCAAACAAATTCTGGTTTGGATATTTTTCGTACAACTACGACTTCCGTACATTAAATTACATTAACTGCTAAACAAACATTTTACCTTCAGTGACGTCATTTTTTGGCATACACGATTTCTTCATCATTTTGCCAGAATTTTTCATCTGCTGCCTTGTCATCTAAAAATTTACATTATTGTTATAAAAGTACTGTTGTATTATTGCGGTTTTCTGTAAGGCGGAGGTTTCTTCTCTGAACAGATTCTATATTTTGAGCTGAAATTCCGCTTTGCTCTCTTTCTTTCTTTACCTTCATGAACATTAAGTTCATAGAAAAGTTTTTTGCTATATAACCCACGCTGCCAGTATCTTCGGAACCTTGCCTAAAGGAACTCCTTTTATGATGTATTTTAGTTATTATTATTATAAGGTTTTTAGTTATAAATATCTTACTATTTGTTCTTTAGTTATTTAAAAGCTATATCTTTATATATATAATTCTTCTGTGAGTGTGTATGTTACTGAACTTCTCTTAAACGACTGGACCGATTTTGATGAAATTTTTTGTGTGTGTTCAAGGGGATCTGAGAATGGTTTAGATTCACAATTTTGTCCGCTGGACAACCCCTATTTTTTTAGGGCGGTACGAAGTTCGCTGGGTCAGCTAGTAATTTATATATTTATTTATATATTTTGTAAATTCTTAACTGTTATTGGTAGCAAAGAGACCCATAGAGAAATATCGTTAAATTTTATCACCAAAATTTTTTTTATAGTCAGGTAGGCAAATGACTCTACTCCACCTGATTTTAAGTGGTGACAAAGTTCAAACGCGAATATTACATATTTCGAACAAATAGGTAGATAAATAATCATTTAACACATACTAGAAAACACCTACTTATTTAACACATTTACAAAAATAGATCGGAATCACTCACCGAATAACTTAAATTAATAAAAAATAACACTACCAAAACGGCAAAGCGTACATGAAAACCTTTTTTTCCTTCCATCATTAGAGACCAATAACTGTTACAAAGTACTCCGTTTTAATGCATTTATACGACCATCCATTAACTATATGACATTCCAATATGATGTACTGATTACACGACGCACAGATAGATTTGACATTAAGTAGCTGGCAATCCATCACATTATAGCTCTGAAACAATTATTTATAATAAATGTATGGTCCTAGATACGAAGATCCACCTGCGGACTGTTATTTTCTAATTAGAAACAACCTATAAATTCATAGTGTCAATAACTGCATGTCCTATATTAACTATTGTACACAATACGGGCGTGGTGCCCATGCACGGCACCGATGACTGAAAACCTTGCCAAGAAGCAACACGCAATTCTGGGTACGAAGTTGTTCATCACAAAGTGCAAATGATTATCAAACTTATTGTTAGCATTTTAATTTTCAATTTTCTTTTTACAACACATACCCTTTAGCCTAGCCCCAAAGTAAGCACTGAAAGGCTTGTGTTATAGGATACTAGGGTAACGGATAGAATACATATGCAGTACATATATAAGTATATTTATAAAGTTTTATTTTTATCTACTATATAAAAATAAGTCGGGTTTTCCTTCCTGATGCTATAACTCCAGAACGCACGAACCGATTTCCACGGTTTTGCATTCGTTGGAAAGGTCTCGGGCTCCGTGAGGTTTATAGCAAAGAAAATTCAGGAAAAATTAAAAAAAAACTTCTTTTAATCACCAAACGAAATTTTACATAAAACGAAGCCATCTGGTGGCGAAACAGAGTTCGCCGGGTTTGCTAGTTTTTTATAGATAGGACCGACAAATGACTCCACCCCACCTGATGTTAAGTGAAGGTGAAGTCCAGACGCGAAGATAACTGAAACAGCTGTTCTGTCTGCCACACCAGCCATCCTCACCCTGCCGGCCTGCATGTTGCTTCTTCACGCCTCTTTTAAAGGATCCCAGGTTGTAAGAGGGAGGGAACACGTGAGCGGGCAGAGCATTCCGTGTACGGATAGTGCGACAAAAAAATGAGTCACCAAATTTCTTTGTACGCGTTGGAATTATGACCACAGTTAGACGGTGACAACGTAGGTCAGCGCGCGTGGTCCTCTGAAGGAAAGGGGAAGGCGGAATACATATTAAATATCCATGACGGGAGTACTAATGTTCGTATTCATCACACAAACTCTGCCCCCACCGGGATTCGAACCCGGGATCTCTCGAGTCGGCGACGCTATGAAACCCGGCGTATAAACCACTCGGCCACGGAAGTCGTCAAATAAGCCCTACGTACTTTATTCAAGCGTAAGAGTTACTTTTATTGAATATATTTTCATTTTACTTTTCTATTATTTTTTCTAATGGTTATACACCGGGAATTTTGAGTTACCTGCGAAACTTTACAAGCTAATAGGGTATTTGACAGTATTAAAAATAAAGTGCCAATTGTCAGCATCTGTATTTAGAATGAATATTGGCAAGAGTTTTTACTATAATTATATATAATATTAATTATACATAATTTTAATAAAAACCCACGATAAAGATAATAATTTTCTTGTCTTTTGTCACGTGACCCAAAACGCTTGGGATTGGTGGAGCCTAAAATGACGTCACACGCAAGTAAACTTCCGGTCAAAGTGACATTAGATTATATGGTTTGACGTTTTAATGACAGCCGTGTGACGTCACACACCAGTGAGACGCCATATTGTCCAGAGATACGTTTTTCACGGCAACTTGAAAATAGAGTTTTTGATTTATTTTACCGAAATACACAACATAATGATAAATATCCACTTTTTATTGACTGTATAAACATTAGTAAATAACGTGAGATCGTTTTCTTAAACTTGTCAAATACCCTATTCAGACAACGATTTAGGTTACATTTCGGCAAAAAGAAAAAAATACTTTTTTGAAAAATGTCTTTACGTAAACTTACCAATTTTGTAATAATGAAACCTGAACAATTTCAATCGTTATTAAATTGATTCAAATAAACCTACTTTTAGAATCTACATATTTTAAATGGATATTTAATTCCATTATAGGTGTTTGTTATTTACAAATATGCGCCGTTTAAGGATATTTTGAAACCGATATAAATAAACATTTTTGTAGGGGGGTGTAGTACATATATCTTTTATAACTGCTCGCACTAACTCAAAATTCACGGTGTATATTTATATTTTAGAAGCGGTTTTACACGACTTACAAACCCTTTTTATGTACCTTTGATTATTATACATACAATGTAATTTCTCATTTCTCCGACCGCAACTCGTCCAATGCGACTTCTTTATAAATCTGCACCCTTAAAACCCTTCAATGAAACATAATTACCACATTATACTGGTTTAGAATAGGTTCTTAAGTTTCACTACCCACTGATGGGGCACAGGCCTTCGCTATGGTTGGCGGGATCTTATCGAGTACGGTTAGCGTCTTATTTCAATTATTCTTAAATTCGTTCATAGTGTCCACTATTTTGTACATATAATACATACATATTATTGTGAAATAAATTTGGTGTGATTTTGTGTTACAACCGTCTGCGCAACTGAAGAATTAGTGGAATATTTAAAATATACACTATTCCGGTCAAGTGGACGTGAGAACTTTATTGTAGTGTTGACTACCTCACAGAAGCTTAGCGGAACAGCCAACTCGATATATTTCGTACCAAACATTCCAAGTAACATAAAAATGACACACCAACATTCACATGTAAAAAAAGAACATTAAAATAACTTAAGACTTGGCTGTATGGGCATTATTCCCTTTGCCTTCCCTGAAAAGGGAGAATCTTTAATAAAAAACGGCCTTCCCTATGGATATAATAGGGAGATTAAGTGCGGATAGGCTAATGACTGTAGATGCAGCTTGGACCAACGGCTTAACGTGTCTTCCGTAGGGATGTCGAAAGTTGAAAAAAATATCGATATATCGATACATCGATATTTTAAAAAATATCAATATCGGCTTCGATATATCGCGAAAAAAACATCGATATATCGGACCAATTTTCCCAAAAATATATTTAGGTCAGCAATAATAACAATACAAATTATAATTAAAGAAAGAATTATCAAAGTACCAAATTGCCGCTACACTACATGACAGTACAATATCTCACAAAAGATGACACGCGGAATAATAATGGAACGAAAATTATCTCCCTAAAAATAGACCCTATTTTCGAATGATGAAAATTATTGCAGGGCCTCCTTACGTGGCATCTTTCGTAAACAACACTAGACAGTCACACACTTCCACAGAATATACTGGAATACAGCACAACCAATTCACCAGCGAAACAGATTTACAAATCATAGAAAATACTAAATACAGCACAAATCATAGATATGTTGAATATCATTAATCTGAGCTTCAGTTACGACTTTTCCAGATACGAATTTAGTTAGATCGTGGAATGCCGCTAATAATTAAAAAAAAAATCGTTTTTGATACGAATTTCGATATTGGTTATTTTGTATCGATGTATCGATATATCGAATCAAAATATATCGGCTAAAAATATCGATATATCGAACAAAAAATATCGATATATCGATACATCGATATATTTTCAGCAAGCCTAGTCTTCCGAAGCACGGAGGAGCTCGAGATAAAAGATTTTTGGTGGAAAGTTGCTAAACTTCAACGATCGCAGCTGAACGCGCTAACCACCCGCACCATCGAGCTATACTCTGACTGCTTCTAGACATAGACATAACGACCCTTTGTCGTGTAATGGCGTAAAACATATCAAACTAAAGTCTAAAATAGCAGCTACCGAAATTAGGAAGTGATATTTTATTTTACGGAAACGCCCTACTGTTGTATCTGCACTCGTAAGCACTCGTCAACCTTCTTTTTTATAACGCAGGTAAAAAATACTGTTTACAGACGACGGCGCCTTTAAGAGGCACACCGCCGAACGGACCTCGCACCTGGCTCCCGCAAGTCTTACGGACCCCCCAGTGGCTGCCTTCCGAGGACCCCGCAACTCTTACGGGCGCTTTACGGCATAATATCCGCTAAAAAAGTCCTGCGAATACCGTCTACACTGCTTAATGCGAAGCCGCGGGAAGCACTCATCAACCTGCGTATTGGCACAGGCGGTGACACTCTCTGTACGTGAGAGTTCCAGCGTCAGTGACCTTGAACAGGAGCGTGTATGCGCTAGGGTTGAACCGAATTGGAATTTAGACTTGTGCCAATGAATATTTATGCATAGTAAGTTATTAAATGTAAACTGATTCAAGGATACTGGGGTAAGTAATGAAGGATAGGTTTGATTTTATAATCAATTTTTAATCTTTTAATGTAGGTACTATAACAAATTGCTCACTTTTACACAGGGTGGCCGGGGAGTTGACGTTCAAAAGTAAAATTTAGATACTTTATGATGAGGAGTATCCAAATCACCCCCATGTATGTTCTACGATTTTGCGTACTTTTCGAGTTATAATTTTTATAAAGTTTTTTTCGTAATTTTCACCTAACATCGGTTTTCGATTTTTTTCTCCTTCTGTTGGACGTTTCTGGTTCAGTTTTTTTGTAATAACTGACTAACATAGTCTAACCTATCATCCTAAAACTTATGGTTTATCTAGGCATTGCAGAATTCACTTAGAATTTGTTCGAAAGTTCAAAATTACGATTTGAGCTCAGTACACACAAATTTTCAAAGTATCAAAAAAAATGTATTTGGGGGGATTTGGAGTTCAAAGTGCTTTTAGAAACTTTCTGAAACATTAAACTTTAGAACAAGGTCAAATAAAGATAGGGTTAATGGGAGTTTATTTTTTGTAATTGACCTTCAAAGTAAATTAAGGCATCTTTCAAGGAAAAAATAATAATTATTTTCTTTTATTTAAATCTTTGCCTTTCTCTCAGTTATGATGGATTTGAGTAAATCGCAGTTAATTGTTAACAAAATACATTTTTTAAAGCAAATTTTCAAAATTTCGCCCTCCCACAGAAATACACAATCTACATCTGCGCAAAAAATTATGTTTTAGGTGCCTAAAAGCTTCACGGTTATTTTTCACAGTGGTTTCAGCTTCGCGAATTTTTGCTCTCAGTTCTTCTCCACTCGAAGCTTCTCTGGCGTACGCAGTTTCCTTAAAGTAGCCCCAGATAAAAAAATCAATAGGGTTGAGGTCAGGCGAGCGTGGTGGCCAGGCAATTGGCCCTCGTCGTCCGATCCACCTGTTGGGGTAGGTCTGACTAGAAGACTGACGATTTGGGCGCGCCCAAAAGTCATGGCCGTTCGTTGAAATTTTGTTTTTGCTGCCCTAGACGTTCGGCTCTACATTGAGGGCTCAGGTATGGTGGGAGTACTTATCGAGGTGCGAGGTGGCTCCCCATATGTTATTCTGCCGCGCTCGAGTAAATCCAAAAATCCCCGCTTGGGCTCCCCTACTATAAGGAGAGGTCGATAATAAATATTATGAGATTTCCTGCTTGAACAAAGCGGCCATCTGGGGAAGTAACCACGGAAATTACTGACTTCTTAGATTTAAAACGAACCAGATTTATAATTAAAGCAATTATGTAATACATTTAACGCGAACTGACAATTAGACCGATAAGGAAATGACAAGGTGTTGATTTGTAATTAAAAACCTGTAATTTTATTAAACTGTTGCGAAAGGGTGACAAAGAAGCTGTTCTTAAAAAATAATTCCTACACATAATTAATAGATAATTGTTTGTGCTGATCACAGACCCAGCTCATAAAACGGGATTCAAACTTACAATTGAAAATGTTTTTTTTTTCTCTTTATTTGGGAAACAAACAATGAGATAACACTTATACTATACCTAAATCTCAGTAACAAAGCATACATCAGTAAAGTTTCCACTTTAACATATAACACATAAAGAATTCAGATTTTTAATATCGAGAAAGAGAAAAAAAGTTTACATTTTTACCAACAAAAAAATATAAGTTTTGTAGGTTAGAAATTATAATTATGAACTATCTACATACTATATCGTGTATATATTTTTTCCAATGATTGGTAGAACAGTCAAATAAATCAATCATAATCTAAAGAAAATATAACTAGAAAAAAATCCACGCGGACCAGGCAGCATACGGGACTCGAACCCGCACCCTTCTAGTAATATTTTCTTTAGATTTGGACATCAGGTAGTTACATGCTTAAAAAATCAATCATAAGTATAATCTAATTGTTCCGAAATTTACAGTCAGGCGCGGTCCGAAGGGGGGGGTCATAGGGGACATGACCCCCCCCCCCTCCCCAAAATCTAAGGTCAAATTAAAAAATCTCAAAAATTTGCCAAATAATAAATAGCTATCTCCTAACAGCGATAAATTTATAGTTTGCTGACATCTAGTGGTGTTTTTATGAACTACGTACGATGGCCAAAATAACTTGGAAATGACATCTAGTACTAGTTTAGAAACAAGGAACCGAACTACGTAGTTTTGGTAATCCTAGCACAATCGATATGCGTCGTTATGATAAAGATTGTATAAGAATATTCGAATAATGTAATTTGTCGGTTTATTGTAAAGATTCAAGATAAAGGCTGCTTAGTTAAAAGCGTGGTTGAGTGAGAACTAACATATTAGAAGAGCGATTAACAGATTTAGCTCTTCTAAACATTCACCCGGAAATAGTACCAGACGTCTCTGAAATATTATCACCCGATTCGCAAATATAAAAAGACGACTTCCATTTGTTTTATAAGTAATGTATAAAATAAATTTGTGTCTTGTGCAAATAATGTTTATTTTATTCCAGATACCTATTTTTAGGGTTCCGTACTCAAAAGGAAAAAACGGTACCCATATAGGACCACTTTGTTGTCCGTCCGTCCGTCTGTCAATACCATTTTTCTCAGGAACGCGTGGAGGTATCAAACTGTAATTCATATCTAATACTCAGGTGTACTGTCCCTTGGAGCTGTGAAAAAATTAAACTTCTAAGCCAAATCAATCAAAAGATAACACAGCCGTTTATGCCGCAAATTTTCGAAACTCGCACGGGAATCAAAACCTACAGGGTACTTCCCGTGAACTTGGAAACTTGAAATTTGGTACAAAGTAACTTCTTAAAGTACAGATAAAGGAAAAATTGCGAACACCGCTAATTTTTACTTACATCATATAATAAAAAATATTTTTTAAAATTCAGGTGTGTACGGAACCCTCGGTGCGACTCGCACTTGGCCGTTTTTTTATTAGGGTAGTGAGTGACCCCCTCCAAAATTTCAGGCTGCGACCGCGCCTGCTTTACAGTACGTATTCGTGCGATTAGACTATTGTTATTAGTTTGATTAAAGACTTTTAAATGTTTTAATATTAGTTTTAATATTAGTAATATTAGTTTTAAATGTTTTATATTAAAACATTTAAAAGTCTTTCTTATTTTAAACTATGTAATTTCAGATTATGTCTCGGGGTAAACCTATTTGACATAAAATTCGCAAACTTTCAAAAGCATCATGTTATCTTCCGCTTTCATCTAACATGGGTGATTTTCCCAGTAGTAGTTTTATGTATTTACCGCATAAACCACATTATAAGAAGAGCGTTCGGAAACCGTAAAAAATTTGTTAATTATGTCCAAAATTAAGCAAGATTTTTTCAGGTATTTATTTAAAATCAAAAAAATTACTAGTTTTTTTAACTATTTACAATTTTATTTCCTTTCTAGGGCTCTAATTTACATTAAGATCATACCAGAAGGTTCATCCGCGAATAATTGATAATTTTGGTATACTATAACGCGTGCTAAAATGTATTTACAATTAAAATTTTATTTTGAAGCATGTAACTGCTCGATATTTAAATCTAAATAAAAAAATGGTTGCGTGTACTTATGTAGGCGCGTGAGAAGTTATCCTTCTTTGGCATCGTTTAAAATTAGTTTTTAATTGCATGCAAATAATTAATTACAATAAATTAATAAAAAGTCTGGAAAAGGACACAGTCAATAAAGTTCAGTTTTAATTTGAAAAAATAAATAAATAATCAAAATATTCAATTAAAATCGCTACTGAATATAATTTATTAGAACATATGTGATTTGCACTGTGTGTGTGTGATACAAACTAGAAACATGTGGATAAATATTATAAATATGAATACCTATAACTATTACTTTATTACAAAAAATAAAGATGTGGTTTTTGTTTCTACTACACCAATGGTCAAGAGATGGCGCTGTAGTCACCTGAATCGCGCTTTGGTTCCGTTGTTCCAGATTAATAAATACTTTTGATATTATAAATATGAATACCTATAACTGTTACTTTATTACAAAAAATAAAGATGTGGTTTTTGGTTCTACTACACCAATGGTCAAGAGATGGCGCTGTAGTCTCCTGAATCGCGCTTTGGTTCCGTTGTTCCAGATTAATGAATACTTTTGATAGGCCTTCACAATGCAGTCGTTAGCACCCACTAAATAGAGATTCTATTTCTATTTTGTTGGTAGATTTTCTTAATGTGCGATAAACACAAAAGTAACGCATGAAGTTGGTCGCTTAGCGACCAACTTCATGCTGTTAAAATTTTGTGTTACAGTGATGCGCGCGCATCTTAAAATTTCACTCTCATCATTTTTTCATAACGCGCCTAAAGAAGTATAACTTCAAAATTACTAGAAAAAAACCACACGGACCAGGCAGCAGACGGGACTCGAACCCGCAACCTTCGCTATCCGGGCGAATGCACTGACCACTATGCGGCCCTGATGGCCGTGTCGAATTTTTTTTTAGTCTTTCTTAAGCTGCAAGGCAGCGCCATCTCTTCGCATTATTATTATATTCTTAAAAATATTCAATACAAAGTACATGCTAAGAAACTTATATTTATGACACATAATATCTTTTATTAAAAGTTTAATTCAAGTTTGAGTTAAGAAGGAAAATTTGTGTAGGCAGTAAAAAATATTTCGATAGTAGAAAAAACTCTAGTTTTATGATTCAGGCAGTAATGACGGAAATTATAATATTTATTATGAAATTTAATTTTTGGTTAATAAGTAGGTAAATTCCAGTGTCATTTCGTTATTTGGTATGAATAATTATATATAAAAAGTTTTTTCTTATTCATTCGGGTGTTCTAAAATTTCTAAGTTAGTCGTGTTGTATTTTAATCAAAAGGACTGATTATTAACTAATTTCGTGTTCCATTTTTTGTGATAAATTATTTAATAAAAAAATATTAAGTTTCAAAAAATGATTTAAATTTAGTATAATTCAATTAAAACACTTAGTATGATAATGAGAAAAAATGTTAAATTACATATTTTTAAGATATGATATAAACTTTGTTGAGGACGACTATAATTTGAAATTAAGTTATTTTATGCTTTTTCTCGACCTTAAAAAAATGTTTTTAATGGATTTATTACTTATTGCTAGATTAATTAATCTTTAGACAATTTTACTAGAGAAAACATACTTAAGATGTCATTTACAGTTAAAAAATAACTTATATCTCCTGGTTTATGTTAACTTGTATAATATCTAAAGCTGTAAATTGTTTATGTTCTTTAATGCAATTTATTTTCCAAATTGAATTATCCCTTTTTTTTAATATAAAATTTTGGTGGGACCTTGAAATTTGTGTTTGGGACTAATTATGGTGGGAGAAGTACAATTTTGGTGTCGTTACGATTTAGGTGTCACAAATAATTCTTATCACTCTTATTTATGGTTAAAATAGAATTAAATTCTTGTCCGAACAACTGCGAGTTTATGTGCACCCTATTACCAGCGATTCATTGAGCATTTCAGATTTTAGATTCATTCTCATACACCTGCCAATCAAACTGTTATAAAGACTTGAAGAAAAGCCAAAATTTTCTTACTAACTCTGGCCATGACGAGAGCAGTTCGTAACAAATAATGTTGTTAATAATTATTGCTAAGTTCTTAGTATTAGTAGCCATTTGTGAAGCGGTGAGTCCAAGGAATAAAGTTTAAAACAAAAATAACTTAAATTTATTTATACCTATATTGTAAACGATATAATTAGCGAAAATACAAAGAAAACTGCCGAATATTCATCGTTATTACTGAAATTAAAACAAATGCCATTAAATTCATTTAAATTTTTTAATATATGTTAATATTTTTTTACAAGAATGCAACATAGTAACTCCCATTAATAAATATGTAAATTCATGTAATGATAATTAAATAACATCTATTAGTGCCGAAAATTATTCAGTAATTAAGTACACACACAATAAAACGGATAAAAACAGGAACAAGAAATTTGTACAGTAGTTGATTCTTAGTTAAGAATCAACTATTAATTCAAATTCTTTATTTGCCATTAAATAGGGTGGGTACATTGAAATGTTCATGTTAACAAAAATATAAAGGTAGCTTTAAGCCTATTTAGCCATATGATGTAGCATGCAAAAGGAATATTTCAATTTATATTTGTAAAAAAAACAATAACAAAATAAAAATGCAATTTCATTAATAATCCGTAATAAGAAGAAAAAAAAACAAATTGTATACCAATACCAATACCAATACATGCATCAATTCATTTAATAAGAATAATATTATGAATGTCATTTATAATTTAAATATTCGTCAATTGAATAGAAGGCTTTTTCTAGTAACCATTTTCAGTATGATTTGAGAAACATGTCAAATTGGAGTATGTTTTTTATCAACTCATTACAATAATAGCGCAGCAAATCTATTGAAAATGCAAAAAAGTTGTACTGATGACCTACGTTACAATAATGTTTCTATAAATAATACCTTAATAATACCAAGGTGGACCGACGATCTTGTGAAGGTCGCGGGAAGCCGATGGATGCGAGTGGCGCAGGACCGATCGGTGTGGAGATCCTTGGGGGAGGCCTATGCTCAGCAGTGGGCGTCACACGGCTGACATGATGATGATGAAATAATACCTAGAATACTATAATTTCAGATGACAATGAAACAAATTAAAAACACAGGAAAAATGTTGAGGAAAACCTGCCAGCCAAAAAACAACGCAGCAGACGGTAAGCAAGACTAACAACTTTATAATGACATAAACATAATAGATGCATGACAGCCATGTTATAAAACAAACAATGTGAGATGACGAATCATCATAATAACCATCCATTGAATGTAATGCTTGGATATTGTGAACTAATAGTGGTGCGGTTTCTTTGTTAATATTTGACAAAGTACTAAATCCACGCGGACCAGGTAGCGGACGGGACACGAACCCGCATCCTTCGCTATCCGGGCGAATGCACTGACCATTATGCTACCACGGCCCTATTAGCCGCGTCGAAATTTTCCTAGACTTAAGCAGCACCATCTCTTCGCATTGTAGGTAACCCACAATGTCAAATGAATACTTTTTCAAGTATTAAACATTTGAAAGAAGAAATAGCAATTATAGTTATGTTTTTATATATTTTTTCGAAGCATTTAACTGCTAGATGTTTAAATCTAAAGAAAAGTTTACTAGAAAAAAAGTCCCGTCCGCTGCCTAGTCCGCGTGGATTTTTTTTTCTAGTAAACTTTTCTTTAGATTTAAACATCTAGCAGTTAAATGCTTGAAAAATAAATAAAATCATAAAGTACTAAATGTAATACTCACGGAGTATATATATAAATCGCTGGAGAGATATAACATACCACTTTTATCGTCCGTTGTTGTTCATTATATTTTCTTTAATAATCAGGCCGGAATGTCAGTAATAAAAACCACAAAGCAGAGACAATCATCGGTTGCAATGCATCCTCATTATTTAACAATATTCTTGCTAGTAACAATACCTACTTTGAGAATCAAAATTTTATTAAAGTCACTACTTGAGTTCTTAGATTTTCCAAAGGCACTTTTCCATCGCCGACGATGAACGAGAAGAGAGTAGAGCTAGTAACTAGAAACGAGTTGACGATCGGCACGAAGCGAGTGTGTAGTTACGATAGTTTTATCGCTGGGCTGTAAGTACCTACGATTACTCGCACCACTCGTGCGTGAAGTAAAAATGTACAAGGGCGAGTTCTTTCTGCCAAGGGAGAATCTAAGCGCGTATCGGTTTGGGCAGATGTTTGTGTGATAAATACAAGAATTTGTACTCCAGTCATATATATACTTATACATATTTAGGTTGGGGAAAATGTTTATTCGCGTTTTATATGATAATTCAAAACATTTTTAATAAAGTTTATTTACAATTAGCTTAAATATGTAGATGCCATTTTGTTCGATAACTTTTTGCCATCTTGTAGGTAGAGACATGATTTCATTGCTATAGAAATTTTGGGGCTTCTGATAAAAAAAATCCGCGACAAGTGATTTTGGCAGTCCTCTCGTGATGTTAACCAGACACTCCCTAAAGTATATTGAAGGGACTGAAACAGGTGGAATCTGGAGGTGCAAGGTCAAGACTATACGGTGGATGCATTAACAGCTACCCTTAAAACACTCTTAATTTTTGCTAAATGGCTAAAGATGTGTGAGATCTAGCGTTATTATGATGAAAAAACGACCCCCTTCTGTTGATTAATTTCGGTCGTTTTCTCTCAACTTCTTGCTTTAGTCTCATCATTTGTTTGCAGTAGAGTTCAGGATCGATGGTCCTGCCTGGCGGTAACAGCTCATAGTGAATAAAGCTCTTGCAATCCCATCATACCCACAGCATCACCTTGTTAACCCGGGTTTCGCCAGAGTCTGTGAAGCCTGACTGGCCTTTGTCATCCTTTTTCGTACGTTCTTGTCGTAGGTGATAGGTGATCCACTTTATATCACCAGTGATCAGCTTCTTCAAAAATGGTTCGGTTTCATTACGTCGTAATAGGGAATCACAAATGTGTATACGGTTGATAAGGTTTCTTTCAGTGAGCTCGTGAGGCACCCAAATATCGAGCTTTTTTGTGTACCCAGGTTTTTCAAATGAAAAAACTGATTTGTGGTCAATTTCCAGTTCTTTAGCTACGTCGTAAATACTAATATGCCTATCTTGCTCCACTTTTTCAAAAATAGCATCTTTTTTATCCGTAACAGTGCGCCCTGTGAGACGTGTATCTTTGACATCAAAATTTCCGGATTGAAAACGCTTAAGCTAAAGTGCTACTCTCACCGACACTGCACTAGGTCTATAAATATCACAATTTATTTTCGCGGCTTGCGTTGCATTTTTACCTTTTATGTAGTAAATTTTTTAAATGTATCAAATTTCTTCATCAAATTCTCTCACCTTGACAGTAAGAAAAAAATGTAAATCACACATTTTTCTAATTTGAATTTGGAATTATCCTTTTTAAAATTTTAACTTTTTAATTATACTATAACCAGCCAGATACAAATGGCATAGCCAAAGAGATATTATTACAAGTTCATACATACTATAATGCGAAAAGATTTTCCCCAACCTAATATGTATCCAGTATATGTATTCCGTCCGTTATCCTAGTATCCCATAACACAAGCCTACAGTGCTTACTTTGAGGCTAGGCTAATTTGGTGTATTAGAAATAAAAAAATGTATATACATATATAACATTACAATTGAGCGAGGCCAGTTATATTTTATCTGTCTAAGCCTTTTCTTATTATCGTAACAGAAAAAATAGATCCACTGAATGAAGGGGTTTTCATTGATGAAAAGGAAGTAAAATGTTACATAGCATGTATCATGAAGATGGCAAATACAGTAAGTATCGTATCAATTCAAAAAGCAATTTACTTGGGCTTTTAAATTAATCGACAATGTATATCATTTGTATGTAGATGAAAAACGGAAGACCAAATATCGAAACCGCAATGATGCAAGCTGATCTGTTACTGCCGGAAGAACTGAAAGAACCCGCAAAAGAAGCTTTGACAGCCTGTAGGAAAGTTCGTAAGTACCTACCTTATAATATCTACCTATAAACCCATGTATCATAAGTTGTGAGAGAGTTGTGATATTAGATATTATTCAGCACTTTTTTTCTGGGGTTATTATACCGGATTTGGTTTTTTTATTTCATCGATTTTGGAGAAACAACCACTAATAAACTCACAATGGTAGGGTGTGATGAAGGTATATACTTAAATGACATGGTAAATACTAAAAAGGTTAAACCTATATTTTTTAATCCTTTTTTAAAGTTAAAGGTCTATATAATGTTTGTTTTTCTATTTCTGTGTGTAATATGGGTACTACGCCTGAAATAAATGGTTATTATTATTTTCACTATCTTTAAACTGCTCTCTTGTAAATTTGATAATTATGTAAATATGATGTTTTTCCACTGGATCAGCGATATATATTTCTACCTGTTACCCTAGTATCTTATAACACAAGCCTTAGTGTCGCCGGACACGAGCCACCGACCACAACCACAAAACGCCGCCACCGGCATATTTCTTGTAGTTTTCATACATTTTATATAGACTCGCCACACACGGTACGCCGGCGCCGGTGGCCGCCACACGTTACAAATCGTCGTTGCTCGATTCTTGTGACCCACACCGGCTACTTAATGCGTCGATACATAACACCGCCACCGTGAGGGGTGGGGACCCCTCTCTCCCTTACCTTAGTCGGCTCGGCCGCTGTCGCGCTTCAGCCACTTTATTAGCCGCTTCTAGCTTCTCGTGGCGGCGTTTGTGGCTGTGGCGTGTGGCCTGTGTGCGGCGACAGTCCAGAAATATTTATTTATTTTATTTTGTAAACTTTCAGCGGATGCCCACAAGGACGTGTGCGATGCGGCGTTTCACCTCACCCAGTGCGTCTACAACCAAAACCCTGATATATTCTACTTCCCATGATGTTATTAAAACTTGGCTTGGTTTGTAGAATTAGTTTTATTACAATTTTATTTTTAAAGCATCTACGTTAATTGTTGGTAAGCTGAAGGCACTGCGCAAACCTAATTTAAGGAGCTCGATGGCGCAAGTGGTTAGCGCGTTCGGCTGCGATCGTTGAACTTCAGCAACTTTCGCAGTGGTCGGTCATTGGATGGGTGACCAAAAATTACTATCTCGAGCTCCTCCGTGCTTCGGAAGGCACGTTAAGCCGTTGGTCCCGGCTGCGTCTGCAGTCGTTAGCACCCACCAATCCGCATTGGGCCCGCGTGGTGGGTCATGGCCCAATCCCCTATTCCATCCATAGGGAAGGCCTGTGCCCCTGTGCAGTAAGGACATTAATAGGCTGATGATGATGAAACTTAACTTAAAATTTAATTATATGCCTGCCGATAAATATTTAATTTATATAGAACCAGTATGAAATCAGCCACTCCCTCCACAAACGTAGACATTTTACTTACTAATAAACGAGGAATAAGGTTAGACTAGTTACGCCGTGTTTTGTTCATGTTTTGAGACAAAACATAGAGTAGCTAATCGGAGCTTATTCTTTGTTAATTAATAGGTACGTTTTTGTGTAAAGTTGCTTTTACTTTACTTCAAGTCATGAATAGAAGACACAGGCCACATTGCCAAATTTCCTTACAAGCTGAGCTGAGAGTACTGTACCCCTAGCACGAACCAATATCGAATTCGTATCGTTTGCGAGTACGAAATGTCATTGTCAAATTTGTACTGATTTGTAGTTCTCGTTACGTCCGTTATGGCGCTAATGTTCAAGTTTCCGTAAAAAATTGACAATGAAATTTCGCATTTGCAAACTATTTGAATTCGATATCAGTCTGTGCTAAGGGTACTGTACAACGATATTAAATACCCTAGATACACCACGAGCGCTCAAAATGTGTCCCAATCAAGAAGTGCTTGAACTCCACTCAAGCGCTTCTTGGTTCACAGTCACGCGCGGACCGTTACAAAGTCAAGAAACCACAGAGCTCCGCGAAAAAATCCGAAAATAATACTTAGAGTACGAAAAGTATCGTTTTTTCGACAGGTATCTTGTAAATTTTTGTTAATTTAACGCATTTGACTATAAACTGATTTAATATAAAATATTTGTGATATACATATGCATGATCGGTTATACGTCGCCATATAGACGTCTCTTTTCCTCGCGGTCCGTGTCTGCTATATTGCTAACAGCGCGTTCAGAATTGCGCGTAGAGTCAAAGAACTAAGGTCTAAATTCTTCCGCATATAGCAATAAATCGTAAAATTTTACGAGCTTGCATTTCGAACTGTCAGAAGTCCTTGACGCATGCGTTTTATTTAAGACCTTATACACTTTGTATTAAAGATGACTTTCAATATTTAAATAATGCCTTATATTGATTTTGACTACGCGATCATCTTACGGAGCTCCGTGGATCGTTCAATGTACCTTTAAGACAGGATTTTGTTCGTGTTGGTGTATCTAGGGTATTTGATATCGTTGGTATTGTACCCCAAGCACGAAGTTTGACAGATCCGTGACACGATAATATATATATATATATATATATATATATTACCGTGTCCGTGTGCGCATCGCCAACGTCAAGGTTTCTGAGGAAACTATGCAGCGCCCCTACCGGACTTAAGAACGAACTAGCTTTTTCCATAGAACTTTTACGTGACGATACGAATACTTTCTCGCTAGTTGTTTATGGGATACTGAGCTGAGCCGCCATCGGCCACAGCAACTACGTTTATCAGTACCAAGATTGAAAATCGGCTATTGTGTCCGATCGCGGCTACAGGACACAGCAACTACTGTTTCCTTTGATAGACGTGCTGAGTCGGTAACGAAAAGTGTCTACGTTTGCACAGCCCCCTAAATCACCCCATGACAGCATTTGCAAACTTCAGACTTTTCTGCCCGCCTACCCGCCTTTTTTGTGTCTGGGAAATGCGTTACACGTCCTTCAACCACTGGGGGAGCGAGAAGAAGGTATGTGGGACTCCTCCCTGTCCCCTTCAGCCAGTCCAGGGGCGTTGATGTGAACAGGGCCCTACCTACGCCCTGAACAGGGCCACTAAATCCCAGACAATACTCCTGCACCGTCACCCGACACGCACTATGAGGACCGCGGTCCCCCTAGTGCGTGCCGAGAGGGCAGATGTGGTCGCGGAACCCGTCTCCGAATGGCCGCGCACCCGCCAGGTGACCCGCCTAGCATGAGCACGGCAATATGATATATTACTCGTTTTTATCACGCTCAACTGTCAAATTGCTATTTAGTTTGACAGTTAGACGCGATAAAAAAACGTGATATGACGTAAATTGAGGCGCTCATGCTACGGGGTCTGAAAGGGAAGGAGGAAAACAGGTATAATATAGGTGCTTATAAAAGTTAATTGATTCGACCCTGCGTAGTGGACTCGTTAATTGAAATCATTAAGTACGGCTGTTAATCCTATAAGTAATATTAAATCTTTGTATGCTGATTGAATTCTTTTATTAACAATACATTAACGCAAAAGGCCAGAGACGTTATAAATATCAGATGCACAAAGTTTACTATTTTCTGATCGGCATGGCGCCAATACTATGACACAGATAACTTTTCCTAAATATTCTAAAAAAATAAAGGGACGAAAAGGTGACAATCTGACCCAGAGAATTTTGAAATAGTATGGTGGAAGGGTGGAAAGGATCCATTCTTGTCTCCATACAACTCTGGCCAATTTTGTATCCCAACTATTATCATGCTTTTATGTGTAAAAAATACGCCGAATTCATCAAAATATAAAAAAAGTTTATTATCCACTCTTACCACATAAAAATGTCGTTAAAACATTAAAATTAAGAGCAACACAGATAATATATTATGGTAAATGAGTTAGTAATAATTAGCTACAGAAATCACGTGATTTTTAATACAACCAAGGAACAGTACCCCTAGCACGAACCATTATCGAATTCGAATAGTTTGCAAACCGAAATGTCAATGTCTATATGGAAACTTGAACAGCAGCGGCACAAAGTACGTAACGAAAACTAAAAATCATTACACATTTGACAATGACATTTCGGACTCGCAAACGACACGAATTCGATATTGGTTCGTGCTATGGGTACTGATTAAATACCAATGGAATTAACTGTCATCTGTCAGTCAATGACAAATTGCGTGTAAGTAATAAGTTCCTATTTTAATTCAGATTTTCAATAATTTTCATTGAATATTATTGCGATTTTGATGCGTGATTCTTTTTTAAGTATACTTTTTGGTGTTCTATGAGATAATTTGTACCAAGGTACAAAAATGGGCAAAAAACGATGGTCTCCTATAGATATACACCAAATCGTAAAAAGGTGGTCAAAAATAAATATTAATAATTAGAGAGGGCCAATCCTTTACACCTTTATCACCTAAGGAATATCTTTTAAGTGGGGATATAAAAAATAGCCTACGACCTACCAAAATTACACCAAAAAATTCATAAAATTCATGAAACCGTTGCGAAGGAGTTCGATAACAAACACTGTGACACGAGATTTTAAATTTAAAGTTAATTGAAGCCTCTTTCAGCCTGTTCATATAAAACGCCACACACATTATAAATGTCAAACAGACGGAGGCTTCCGTTCTGTATTAAAGACACATAGTTATTTTTCGTAATGTTACATTAACACGCGGTTTTTTTCCTGCACGCTACGGCACTATGTAATTATTATGAATCTAGTGATACCGCTGGCTGTAAAACAGTTTCAATAATGTTACTACCTGTTATTAAAACAACTACATTTTTTCCTTTAAAATGGAATTACTTTGTTGATAAATGGTACACGTGTATAAATGCTCGGAACAATAACTACAGTGTACTAGTTAGTTTAAATATCATTCAGTAAATATCATACAGGTAATTGGTATCTAGTATTTTATACAAAAGAAGTTCTAAAGGAGTTACGTTATTTTTGATTATTATATAAATATAATCTGTAGCAGCGACATAATTTTGAAGAGAAATTTCTTTACACTTGTACATACATGTATATATTTTACACAGACCCCTCTTTCCCAGTGGGCATTTTGGGCATGTGCCCAGGGCCCCGCGATCGATAGGGACCTCCCTCAGATCAAATACAAAGTCCCTAGTTCCTGTCAGATCACCAAACGATAAACAATATTTATTACCAAAAAACTTATACAATTCGATGAAATCGAACCTAAATTACTGACCACAATACCAACTTTACAAATTACTAGCTTACTAGCTTTTACATAAGCGAAGCTATTCTACTCTCGCCCATAAATTAGGCTTTCCGACTTCAGCATGCTTAGATAAAGGAGATTGCTCAAATTGGCCCAAATGCACAAAAAATATTGACATATACGGTAATTCTTGGCGTAATTTATACTTTATTTTACAGTCATTAGATTTTAATGGACACCTTTGTATAATATATTCATTTGAAAAAGGACTTTTAATTTTACCGGATTGAAAAACATACGAATCATTTTTAATGGCTATGGGTGTAGTAACATTCAGCCAATAACTGATCGAAGTTGTTTAAATAACATAAAATCAAATCTATTTTCTAAAGATCGATAAAATGAATACATTTTTTTATTATACTGTGGTATTAATATCCACAACTATATTATTATTTTCACTACATGCAAATGTGCTAAGACAATTATTATAGATGTTAGGCGACATCATAAAGTCTATTGCCATATATTTTTCGCCAAACACCTCCATAAACACATTATAAGGTGTGATACACTAAAAATCTAAAATATGGTTATAATGTAAACATAACAAAAATAATGAAGCTACTGAAGATATGGCTGTATAACCTAAATCTCTTAGCTTTCTTTGGTTAACGAGAGTTTAAAAATTCTCTCTAATCTGTGGCTCGTTCACAATCATCACACAGGACTTTTTGGCGGGATCGGGAAGCGTCACTTTAGCAGTTTTGTTTTTCTTGTTAAAAATTGTGTTGTGGCGGATGTTAGTGTCTAATAATGGTGGATTATTAACCACTAAGTGTTCGGGAATATGCACAAGTGTTGGCAAGTGAAATAAAATAACGGAAAGTGTCTTTCGACGTTCCCTCAAGAAGTCCACGGGGAGGTTCCAGTAAATCCCCACACTTTTACTGAAACATGGGGAAAGGGGGATTGACTTGACTGCCATTTACTTTGACTTGACTTATTACTTTGACCACGAGTGCTATAGAATTTGTATACCTACATTTAACACTTGACATTGGCTAAATGCACAAGCCGCGCGAAGCCATTAAGAAAAAAAAAACATCACACAGTTTCTGTCACAGAATACCTTCCATAATATAACCAGAAATGCATAGATGATACCTGATTTTAAAAGTTACTCTTGTGCATTAACTTTAAAAACAGGCAACTATCTGATAATCTACATGCTCAATGAATGAATCTAATACGTAATTTCGGTACTTGGCTTGATTTCCCTAGTTTACTATATAACTTATTGGAGTTTACTCCTTAAGAATCGATTTGCATATATAAGGGGCCCGGTATGAAAAAAATGTGAGGAGTAAAATCTATCTATGAATGACCTCGTTACGTTTTTGGTGCGCATCCTATGTCGCGCAACTTTGACAAACAAAGATGACGGATTGACATTAATATTTTTTTTAAAATCTGAACTCAATTTAGATATTGTTTCTGATAGAGCAATCAGGACAACGAGGTGTGGTACAACCATTGCTGCGGTATTTTCAAGATTCGTGAACCACGTATCTACGAACGTCCATGTGTCTTATTTTAGTTACCATAAACCACTTGTCACTGTAATTAATAATGCAGACAATGTTGATTTAATTAATATTTAAAAAAATGATAATAGTCTGATAATAATAATTACATAATTTATCAACATTCCTAATGATATATTTATGCACATCTGAAATTGACTATTGCAAAAAGTTTAATGTAAAATATTTCGTTGATTAGTTATAATAAATGTATATGAAATGAATAAATATATATTTATATATGTATATTATTTTCATTAATTTGTTAATTTACCCTTTCATACAGTATCAATCTTTTTTAAGTTAAATAAACTCTTTTTGCGTCTGGTTAGACTATCGAACTTAAGGAGTAAACTCCAGTCGTGCGTCGGAGCTGACACACACAATTTTTTTGTTTTTATTATTTTAATACCTATGTACCTATTTGCAAACATAACCTCAAAATCGTTCAGTGTATATGGTTTATAGAAGTTCTCAGGGGTGTCCGTTAATAAAGTTCGTTTCTACAGTAATTTATATATAATTTCGAATCTAGGAAATAATTTTTCATGATTATTGGACTTTAGGCCAAACATGTATGGAAGCTGAGCAATCTCCTTTAAATATACATATAATGGTATACTATGCACATATCATCAGTAGTACACTCATCAGTATGACTCGCTCCACATCAAAGTCATAGGGGCCCCATTATCCTAATATGCCAGGAGTATATGTTAGAGATCAAAAATGCCAAAATATTATGTAATTTGTTGTAAAACATATATTAAACTTACAAAAGGATGGTGTTAAATTTCACATATAAGTAGAATTATTGACATATTATTTCTATTTAACCACTTTTTTAAACACAAAATTCATATTATTTTGTTACAATTCAAACGTCGGACTTGTTTGACAAAACAATCGACTCGCCAATACAAATTTCAGATCTGTGATTTTACAACAACAATTTCGCTTTTGCGAAAGTGTGATGGACTGCAATTGTGTGCATATTCCTCCCCCCGCAAAAAGCGGCAGAATGATTTCAGTAGTATTGCCATTATGGCTACTCCCCGTGTTTATTATGCCTTAATGTTAAACTACCGTTAATAAACTAACTTTGTAATTAAAGCAACCTTTCTGCAAAGTGCAGAAATGGTTTAATTTGCTCTTCACATTCTAGGGGTAATAATATAAATGTAAAAAAATTATATTCAACAATGTATTTTTTCTACATTGAATGTACTGCTTTAAAAAAAAGTATTTTAATTTTCTTTCTTTGGTGAATCACTAGTTCAGCTTTAGACATCTATTTTGAAAATATTATATCTGCTATGGAAATTCGGCGATTTCTGCCTGTCTGAATTTCCGATCTGTTGAATTTAATAAAATTATGTATTCTTTCACATTATCGTCTATTTTTGACTTTGACTTGACTTAGCGGGTGCCCCTTGAATCCACGGGGCCCTGGGCTGAAGCCCAAAAAGCCATATTGTAGATCCAGCCCTGCAATTTACTACCTAAAATCTCCATGCTTGGTAAGGAAGTGCATCTGTAATCGTTTAGCACCCACTAACCAGCATTGCACTTCGCCAGATCGAATCACCTATCCGATACCAGACCAATATGCAAATTGTTTAACTTCTATAATCGCAGTGCAATCTTGTCATCCGCTGCTCCATCGAGATGCTCTATAGATAGGTTTTATAAGCAACACACAAAAAAGAACGCGGTATTTTGTGTTTGGATGCGAATGTCAACGCTAAATAGTCGACCTTCGAAGTCACCGAACCGTGACTAATGGCCAGAGGAAACTCAGGTGTAGTGTAGCACTCATTTAAGTTTATTACCGTCTCGTCATACGATCATTAGTGTCATAATGCTAAGTTAGTAGAAAAACGAATTTTTAACAAGAAAATCATTATGATCGGAAATGCTTACTGACAATGTAATCCATTCAGTATATTCTATTAACAATTTGCCCGTAGGTGTTTAATATACTAGCTTTTTATTTAATTCTGAAACTCACTTATATATGTTTAAGATCAACACACTTAAAATGATCTTTCATCAGGAAGCGATCGCAAAATGCTATAAAGTTGGTAAGTATTTATACCTACTTATCGTCATTGATTTAAAAAATCTATTAAGTACTTATATCAAATCAGAATTGTCAATTTTGGACATCCTATTATATAGCTGGGTAGGCAACTGACACCACTCTACCTTATCATAAGTGTATTAAATTTCAGACGCGAAGATTTCTAGTTCCTAGTTTAGATAGCTAGTGCAGCAGTTATGAATTTATGAATTGAATTGAACACCAAACTTAAAAGTATAAATGCAGAAATGTTTCTTCACGCATCTTTTAAAGGATCCCAGATTGTAGGAAAGAGGGAATAATACGTAAGCAGGCAAAGAATTCCACTTGCAAATAGTACGACAAAGAAATGATTCGCTAAATTTCTTTGATCGTGTAGGAATCGTTGTCACAGTAAGCTAGTGGCAACATAGGCCAGCGGGCGTGGTCCTCTGAAGGAAAGAGAAAGATGGAATAAGGGGGAATAACTCATCAGAACCCTCGCCGTAGTATAGATAATGGAACGCGCTTAATGGTTTTTTTTATGTACATACGAGCAGACGGTTCACCTTTTGGTAAGTGATCACCATCGCCCATGGACACTTGCAACACCAGGAGTATCACAAATGCGATGCCGGCCTTTAAGGAAGGAGTACGCTCTTTTTTTGAAGGTTTTTGGGTCGTATTGGTCCGGAAACACTGCTGGCGACAATATATTCCACAGTTTTGTCGTACGTGGTAAAAAATTTCGACAAAAAAGCACGGTTGTGGATCGCCACGCATCAAGATGATGGGGATGAAATTTTTGTGACGATGTACGGCGGCGAAATGCAGCAGCTGGAATTAATCCGAACAATTCCTCAGAACACTCCCCGTGATAAATGCGATAGAAGATGCAGAGCGAAGCTACATCTCTACGCAAAGCCAAAGGATCTAGCTGATCGGAAAGGTCCTGGTCGACGCTTAATGGTGGACGCTACATCACAACGTAATTAAATAGGCTCGAGGTGTTTAGTTATCTCCAATGATCGCTCGCCGCTGTAACCTATCCAGACACTGAGTAAGTACTTGCCGGAGAAAAGAAGAAAACGAATTCTACTCTCATGCAGGAAGTCAGCCACCCGGGCATAGAACTGAGCAGGCAGACCGTATGCAGAAAGCTTAGAGAGAAAACTTTTGTATCGGACCTTGTTAAGCCTTAGCGATGTCAAGGCTGATAGTTAGAGTTACCCCGCTTGTCTATATCTTCACCCCAGATGTGTGTCACGTACGCTAGAAGATCACCCGTCGAACGATTCGGCCTAAATCCGTATTAACGATTGTGAATCAGAGAGTGGTCTTTCAGGTAGCGGGTCAGATGGTTATTAAGGACCCTTCCTAAAACTTTGCACAATATTGAGGTGACAGCTAGCGACCGATAGTTGACCGAGTTTGAGCAGTCTCCCTTTTTGGCACCGGCATTAGCATCTCTTCAACTTTTCGGCACACACCCCAAAAAGTACGAGAATAAGTACAAGCGCGTAAGCACGGGAGATAACTCAGCTGCACAATGTTTGGGTACAACTGCTGGGATGCCATCGGGTCCACTAGCTTCCCGGAAGTAGAGTGATTGCAATTCCACACGAACATCACACTGCCTGATTGCTTTCGACTGTACTTAGATATGGATCTTGAATTTAAACTCTACTTCCGATTATCATAAACATTTCATGCATAATTAAACAAAAAATCATATAAAAATGACGGTAGATCTAATTTTGCGCATCAGTGTTCTTTGATAAAAGCCATGGTTGTAAAATTGCTGTTAATGTTTTTATATTTTGTTACCGCGTCTTATGTAAGTATAACTTTTGGTTATTATTAAATATTTGCTTACTGATTTGCCAATTGATGTCTTAGTTTAATTTAGTTTCTAAGTGAGGTAGGGCACAGCGAATTTTTCACTCGAATTGGAGCGCCCGCCTGGGGATGCAACCTACCACCTTACAGAAAACCACAGTAAAATAACTTTTTGACCTTTTCGTGGTGTTGTATTTCTGCTGGTGAGAAGGGTTCCATCCAAGACTCCGCGGGGTAGTGAGGATTTCTGGAGCGGCACACTTACTGCCGCTAATCATCATCTATCATCGGGACTGAACTCCACTTGCACTTAACATCAGGTGGGGTACGGTATCTAATTTGTTGAGCTTTATAATATTACTAGCAAACCAGTGAACCAAATGTTCACCAAAACCTGATTTAAAAAAAAATGTATTTAATTAATTGAGAACTTCCTAGATTTTGTGTGGTTTCGTTTGAAATTCGTGATTTCTCGAAAACCGGAAGTGCTACGTTACTCAAATCCGGTCTAGAATAGTCTTATCAGACTATTCTTAACTTATAACTTAAACATTCTCTTTATCTATCTCTTACGGTTTGGCCGCTGAAACAGCACCACAGACAGACGGACGGACGGACTTGTCTAATAGATAAGAGATTTTTGAGTTGCAAAAAAGTTTATTGTATGTTAAAAGGGTGACAACCAAGCGTATGGTCCGCCTGATGGCAAGCGGCCACCACGGCTTAATATCACTCGCAGCGTAGCCTTCCTTGACCCAATCCCCTAACCTGTAGAGCCAGACCCGTCTCTCCCAGTGGGCACTTTGGGCAAGTGCCCAGGGCCCCGTGATCGATAGGTGGGCACCTTAGATCACAAATACAAAGTCCCTAGTCCTTGTTAGATCACCAAACGGGGGTCATAGGGGCCAAATTATCCTAATATGCCCAGGGCCTCCAATAGGTCAAAGACGGCACTGTGTGGACAAGGGCGGATCCAGCTTTGGCGCCAAGGGGGGGTCATATAGCCAGCTTTGGCGCCCCAGGGGGGGGGGGGGGGGTCATGACCCCCATGACCCCCCCCCCCTGGATCCGCCCTTGTGTGTGGAGCCCTGTTACCTTACTCGCCGACAGAAACACAATACTACCAAAAAGTAGCGTTATTTTGCTGTGATCTCCTGTAAGGTTGAGTACTTGCCCAGATGGGTGCTTCAATACGAGCAGAAAATCCACTGTACCATACCTCTCTTATTCATCATCATCAGCCTATTAATGTCCCCACTGCTGGGGCGCAGACCTTCCCTATGGATGGAATAGGAAGATTGGGCCATGACCCACCACGTGGGCCCAGTGCGGATTTGCAGATGCAGCCGGGACCAACGGCTTAACGTGCCTTCCGAAGCACGGAGGAGCTCGAGATAGTAAATTTTTGGTCACCCATCCAATGACTGACCACTGCGAAAGTTACTTAACTTCAACGATCGCAGCCGAACGCGCTAACCACTTGCGCCATCGAGCTCCTCTACCTCTCTTATTATTAGTTAATAAATACGTGTTAATTACCATAAACTATACCTGAACCTGACCTGTGGTCCTGAAAAAACCAGAAACAACCATGATACTTTAAGAGAAGCTGACGAACAAAACGGTATAATTATCTGATAAAACTACTTTCTCTGTATACTTTAGGCCCACTGAATTTGAATCTCAAATCATTTTCAATCAAAACCGTCTAAAACAGTGTTATATTTACTAAATTACGGTACTTAGGTCTGACATTCAGTTTTTTACTGCTCCCGTATAATTTAATTTTATGTAATCATACCGTTCCGTTCGCCAGCTCCTCATATTATAACATATCATCCACATCCAAAACAATATAAGAAAAGTGTTCCCAGACCTGTCTTTCCCAGTGGGCACTTTGGGCAAGTGCCCAAGACCCCGCGATCAATAGGGGCCTCCCGCAGATCAAATACAAAGTCCCTAGTTCGTAGGGGCCCTATTATAATAATATGCCCAGGGCCTCCAATAGGTCAAAGACGGCACTGAGTGTTCCCTTCACCCGACAAACCTGCATGTTTTAGAGGGGCCGTACACGTTACAATGGTCGCACGGACCGTCGTCGCAAGGACTTCGGTCTTATGAGACAAGTTCAGTCGTGAATGGATTGGTCGTAGAGCGTACTGAATGACCACGGTCATGTCGCCGGTCCGTTGCAATACTTTGGGCGCTTTCAATTTATGCGTTTCTTGACGGCCTGCTACGGTGCCGAAGCGGTGCGTTTGTCGTACTGCGTACGGACGATCCTTGTGGCACGAAGGACGTGTGGCGTCGGTACCGCGAGCGCTCGACAACAGGACTGTTGCCGCACCGCGCGTTTTGTGTGAAAAAAAAAGGATCGTCCGTACGCTGTACGACAAACGCACCGCTTCGGCACCGCAGCAGGTCGTCAAGAAACGCATAAATTGAAAGCGCCCTTATCGAACCGTGGTTCTATCGAACGGTCTGTGCGACTGTCTCAACGTGAATGGCCCCTGTCCTGTGTGTGGTCCGTGCACACTATTTTTTTTCTGATCTTTAATAAAGACTGAGATATTAAACGTAAAAGTACAGCAAGCGATCGCGCTAACTAATACGTGATATTGCATTTAAACATTTATTCTAAGCCAGTACACCTCTACTTAATATTCATATTTAGGCTTCAAGAACTCCAACGGAAATCAAGAATTGGATACTTGCTGAAGCATTGAGCTGCAGTTCGGAGGTTCAACTGTCTGAAAATGAGCTGCAGATGCTGGTCTCGCACAAGCTACCAAACAGTAAGAGCTCGAAATGCTACCTGGCATGTGTCTACAAGAAAGTCGGATGGGTAAGTTCTTAAATCGTAATAAAAATCTTGCTATCTATAATATCATTTAAAATGATGACATTAAACTATCCTTATCAGGAGCGGATTACAAAATGGTAGGGCCTGGGGCTAAAATTGATGCGGGGCCCATGTAAGGATATGAAAATCATCTGATTCCCAATTGTTCTAAATTCTGCTTTTATGCATAATATGCATTCGAACTTGCACGCATTTTAGAATGTAGAAGAGAGGGATACATGTACAGGCAGGGCCGGATTTAGGATTGTGGAGGCCCCGGGTCACTTAGGATTTGTATGCTTATTGACCCATCGAAATGTTGTTATTTCTTAAGCTGTTGTGGAGGCCCCTGGGCCACAGCCCCACCAGCCCTGCCTTAAATTCGGCCCTGGGTAAAGGTAAAAGAGCAAAAAAAAAATATCAAAGGAAAAGATGTTTACTAGTGTTTACTAGTTGGAATTTGAAAGGTTTTTTTCCGAAGTCTCTATTGTGGGGGCCCCCCGTTTGTGGAGGCCCCGGGGCTTTCGCCCCAGTTGCCCTCCCCTAAATCCGACAGTGTGTACAGGTTAAACTTGTTTTCGGTATTTCATGGGATGATGAAACCCCTACGTTAATCCGCTCCTGACCCTTATAGTCGATTACAGAAGCTCTTCTTTATTTTTGAATTCGATTAAAAATAGTAAACGGATAAAGGCATATTGGATTTGCCACTCGAACCGGAAAGCTAGTCTGACGAAGGAACCTCGTCTTTACAAAAAAAACCCAGTAGATTAACACTACTCTTTTGTGGTATTGTATATCTGTTGGACATGTTTTAAACTCAAACTCATTTATTCAGTCTAGGCTGTTACAAGCTCTTGTGAATGTCAAACGCTACGCCATCGGTTCGTAAATCTACGGCGGGAGACCTTGTACTGAGAAGAACCGGCAAGAAATTCAGCAAGGGCTATTTTTTTCTCCCTGTTTTGTTTCATACAGTGTCGTCAATTGAAAAATGACATCAAAAATTGAAAACATGTGTTGATGTCAACTTCCATCACATTAATATTATTAATTAACAAAAGTTAAGTATAGCTAGGTGTAGTTCAGGGCTCTACGAGCAATTATTTCAGTTGATCATATTGTTGGTTACTCTAGCCTGAAGATAGCGGAATGAGTTCAGGTCAGTCAGCAATATGAGAATGGCTGGAGCGGAACACTTTTCTTATTACCTTCGAGACTTTAGTCAAAATTACCATTCAGTAGTCATAATTATACTGCGCTTTGTATAAAAAATCACTTAAGAATACCAAAGCACCTACTGTAGAGAAAATGGCTTGGCCAATTTACATTCGTAGCTAACTAGAATTACTGAATTGTAATTCTAGTTAGCAACGAATGTAAATTCTCAAGTGTATATAAGTGGAAATGTGTGGGTATATAAGTGGGCCTCAAGTGTATATAAGTCGAATGACTTATATACACTTGAGGCCCAAGCACGAATTTTGACAGCTCTTTAACGTAGCGTCATCGCCAAATTTTGTATGGAATAAACTAGTTTGTTCTTAAGTCCGATAGGGGCGCTGCTTAGTTTTCTCAGAAACTTTGACGATGCGATATGTTACGGAGCTGTCAAAAATTAGTGCTTGCGCCCGGGGCCGGATTTAAGGTAGAGCAGACAGGGCTGTGGCCCAGGGGACAAGAGAAAGGGCCCCCACAAACAGAGATAAAAAAAGAAAAGAAAGAAATACATTTATTTTGATACAAACAACGAGACAGGAGATACAAGATTTTGAGCAACAAAAAAATACAAGAAAAAAGAAGAATCATCGTATACATTAAGATAACAACACAGCAAAAAAGTAACTCACACAATTTTTCATACCGTTCGTTACCACCGGTGATTTAATCTGTTGCTGTCTCGCAGCTGCGCCAAAAAAGGTAGTTAGGTGAGTTACAAACTTCGACGAGTCACCAAACCAGGGAGGTTCAAATCGTAGGTCGTCCGGCCCAGATTTAGGGACCCCCACAACCTCTAAATCCGGTCCTGCTTGGGCCTCTGCTCATTTAAAATAACTGAACCCAGACTGGTTGCCTTATTCATTAATTTTATAGATGCTGTAACAAAAGTTAAGGTACCTAACACTTACCCATTGCATTTTCACTAACGTTCAATAGGTCTAATTGTATTGATCTTATTTGATTTTTAATACATTTCCAGTTGGACGCTAAAGGAAGATACCAAGCAGATAAAGTCAAATCATTCGTGTCCGATGAATATGCAGGGGATGCCGCCAAAATAGAAGCCTCACAAAAACTTTTCGATACGTGCAAGCCTGGTATGATATGTTTCTTTTAAAGTGAGTGAGCGCGCAAATGCCTACACACACCTGATTTTAAGTGACAGCAGCAATTATTTCCTTTATTCCCAGTCGCCTATGCGAGATTTGCCACCAGAGGTAATGTCGCAGTCGCCACCGGTTCCCAGCAGTGAAACTGAAGTAGGGAAACTGATTGATAGGATTTCAAGGACTATTTGCAGGGGAATTATAGGAGCTGTCGCATTCTACATTAGTATTTCCTTCAGTTTATTTCCGACTGTCACTCCAATCAATGGGAATTGATTTAATAATCAAATAAATAATTTACTGATATGCAAAGGAAAACTATAGAAGCTCTATAAGGCGTATTCAAAAAAATATCTTCTAAGGATGAATGGACTCTTTTGGTGGGAAAAGAGGTCAGGTTATTACCATCTGGTCTACAGATTATTATTAAATCAATTCCCATCGGTAACACTGGAATGGAAATCGAGGCTTACCTACCGTCACACTATACTTAGAAAGTATGACGGTTTGATGGTTGGGAAAAAAAATCCCTACCTTTCCCACACTGGTGTGTCGGTTTGGAGTGACCGTTTACCAATAAAAAAAAGTAGGAAAAAAGATCCCAATTGTTGCACCGCTTGACAGTAGAACAAATAGGACGAGAAAGCATTCTTTAGGTTTCCTGGAATCTAAATAAAATAACTATAATTTCAGTAAGAGACAAAAACCAACTGAAGACGAACATTAATCAATAATTAAATCCAGTTCGGACTTACAAAGTCTGTGATGTAAAAAATCCATTATGCATAAACAAATATTAAGCGTCCGACTGAATTACTAAGTGAGCGACTCAAAGATCAGTGCGAGCTACTTAAATGCCAGGTCACTCAGAAAGTTTCGCGAAAAAACTTTTTATGTTTAAGATACTGGCCACTTGTAATTATTTTGAAATTTTCGATTATTTAAAAGTAAAAATACCACTGTTCGATTTTCAAATTTCCATTTTTTCGAGAGCCAATTAATTTTTTCTTGTCTTATTAAAAAAATGGATCTGCATCGAGAACATTTTCGTGCTAAGTATGATTTTTTACGATTTTAAATGTGACTTTAAACCTGATGAGTTATCTGATCGATTTCGAACTGTTTTAATGGATAAAGGACCTTCAAAAGCAACCATCTACCGCTGGTGTAGCGAGTTCAAACGCGGTCGTCCTACATTGGGGGATGAACAAAGGAGTGGAAAATTTTGTTGCAGGCTCGTCAAGGCGCGTTTACGATCTTGTGACAGGTGACGAATCCTGGATTTATCCATACGATCCAGGAACAAAGCATCAGTCGACAGTTTGGCTATTTCAAAATGTACCAACTCCTACGAAAGTGAAGCGATCGAGGAGCGCAGGGAAAATTTTGATCGCTAGTTTCACTTTGACAGGGTACCTAATTTCAATTCCACTTCGAGACCAAAGCAGCATGAACGCCGAATAGTATATCACAAAATGCCTGCCAGAAGTTTTTTCTGCAATGAGCAACAAGCGACCCCTAGCACCGGGCTCCGCGGGGTCCTTCTTCACCACGACAACGCGCTCGCACACTCTGCGATCAAAAAGACTTCCTGGACTCCACACCAGTATTGGGACACCCTCCTTACAGTCCTGATTTGGCTCCGCGTGACTTCTTTTTCAAGCTCAAGAAAAATCAGCTCAAAGGGATACAGTTTTCACCGCCGGAAGAAGCGCTAGCAGCGTTTAAGAAGGTCTTGGAAGAGGTGTCTGCGGAGGACTGGAAATTTTTTTTGAAAATTGGTTCAGACGCATGAAACTTTGTATAGAGGCTGGTGGAGAGTTCTTTGAGAAGATTTAACAAAATATTTTTTTCATAGAAGTTGGTTTTTTAGTTTCTCAAAACTTTCTGAGTGTCCTACGTACATACATCCAAAAAGTCTAAGCAACATGCATCATTTAGGCAAACTACAAGTTTTATCAATGAATATTTTATATTATCATTATGAAATTTAAAATTTTCAGTTTTTTTTTTTGTTATATGCACAAATTAATTAAACTAGTAATTATTAACGAAAGAATATAAGTATTAAAAAATTAAAGTTTTAGATAAGAATAAGATTTAAACATCTAGCAGTAACATGCTTAAAAAAACTAATTAATTAAAAATCTGCCAAAAAGTATCAAAAAGTTGATTACACTCTTTAGATGAGAATATTAAAATAGAAACATTCAGATTTCACCTGCGGTTTCACGTAACGAACGACTATAAAGTTTGTTTCAGAAAAAAATGTTGCGACAAAATTACTCTGCTCATTATATTATTTATATTTTGAATTTCTCTGCTCATTTTGTATTTGTCAGAGGTTTTTGTATTGGAGACATTTCATTAAGATAAAACGCTGCTCACCAGAAATAAATAATTTGCCAAATTTTGAAAAAATGCAGGACAATGTTGTCACCTTAGATTAAAACAAAAAGGGAAGATACGGCACTCGCGGCTCAAAAGTGATCCGCTTAAATTGTGGTGCATGACCACAATTCGCTTTAGTCACAATCTGACAAACACGCTGCATGTGCACTCAATATAATAAATATATTACGTATATTCTGTGTTATAAAGATAAAGCAATGCCTATGGTGCTTTTATAAAAAACATAGTACAAAATCAAATAACCTCGACATCACTTTTCATTCGTAAAACTGTAAAAATATTCAAAAATCACGGTTTGTCGTGAATGCTATTTATGTAATCGCCAGTTTGTTATCAAGAATAGAGCAACAATACAGCTCAGCCGTGCGGACTCAGACGCGGACTCGCCGTTTCGCTCGCGCTGCGTTTGAAGCGTAGGTACAGTTACCTATGTCTCGCTCGCTCGATTGAATGTTTATTTACAGACGTGTGCGTGAGTTGCTTATGTAGTTGAGTCGGAGCATATTTTATTTCATGCTAGTAAGAGCGCAGCTTATCTTCCCTTTTTGTTTTAATCTAAGGTTGACAACTCAATCAAATAACTGGTGGCTCAAATATTATGAAGCTGCTCTTTTTGTATTTTAAGTAACTCAAATAATGTTTTTAATTCGCTGTAGGTATTATTAATTTCTCGTCACTCGCAGTTAGTCGCACACTTAGTAAAACAATAAGCCAAATTCACTTAAAATTTGAATTTACTGTCACTCGTCTAAATACTACCCTATAATAAATGACAATCAATAAATTAATGCTGATATTGACTTTTAGCGGACGATAAGGACGAAGGGCAAGACTGCGAAAGGGCCAACACTATGACAAAGTGTTTCTTAGAACACGGTCCTAAGGTGAGTTAAATAAAGCACTTTAAATGAATTTTGCAAATATAAACTAATCTCTTTTGCATCAACGCTTAATAAAATTGTAAACGACGTAGAACAACGCCATCTGGTGGAAAAAGCAGATGACTTACTTTGAATTTGATACTATCTTCACATAAATCACGATAGGGCTGTAAGAACTGTACCCCTAGCACGAACCATTATCGAATTCGAATAGTTTGCAAACCGAAATGTCAATGTCAAATTTTGTATGGAAACTTGAACAGCAGCGCCACTTTGGACGTAACGGGAACTAAAAATCAGTACACATTTGACAATGACATTTCAGACTCGCAAACGATACGAATTCGATTTTGGTTCGTGCTAGGGATACTGAAATCGCTAAATGTAAGATTTTTATGAATATTTCCAATGTTCCAATTAATCAAACTTTTCTTTTCCAGATGGGCTTCAATTTGGATACCATTTGAATTGTAAATAAAACAAACTCACATGAGATTTTTTTTATTTATTTAACCTTAGACATAACAAACAAATGGTGTTATAAAACAATATAAATATTATGATAATAGTACCTAATATTATGAGATTTAGGTATTGAAATGGTTATTGCTGCACTTACAACATTAATCAAGTAGAAAATAAATACCCGTGTATAGATGTTCTCGTTTGTTTTAACTTTAACTCGTAACGAAGGAGTTACTACCGAAATATCGGAGACTTATAAAATACAAAAAACAATCCCGTTAAATAGCTATAAAGTAAATATCTGTTTATTTATACACTATTGGGTCCAAATAAAAACAATGAGATGTGATTAAGAAACTTAAAATGTTCTAAGATTTTTATTCATTGGGATAGAAATATTCAGTGTAATATACGGATAAACTTTGATATTTTGCTGACCAATCACAAATTGAAGACATTACGACAGCGAAATAAGAATAACAAATTTTATCAGTTCAGTCAAGAAATTCAGCCGTAAACAATGGGAAAGTAATCTGTACATGTGCAGTACCAAATTCTGATCCAATTTTACCCTAATTTATTCCCATGCATTCTTAATGTTATCTTAAAGTATGTTGCAATACAAAACCAGAAAAGTGTAAGTAGTATTTTAATATTATTCTCTTTAGTATACTATGGCGATATCACACAATATACAAAAATACATAATGTGAAAACGTTTACTAGACAAATTCAACACGACCTGGATCTCTATTTTTGAATCACTCGCCTTGCGTCGAACGCTCGATTTATACTAATTTTGAGTCGACATAAAAAATTCCGTATTTATAATCGCTCGACATTAACGAACGGTCTCGACCACTCGTTGAGCGTTGGCGAATATTTGTTTTTTAACACACACCAATTAGCCTAGCCCCAAAGTAAGCACTGTAAGCTTGTGTTATGGAATACTAGGGTAACGGATAGAATATGTACATATATAAGTATATTTTTAAAGAAATACGTCCATGACTTGTGTACAAATGCTAGTATTCATCACACAAACATCTGCCCCCACCGGGATTCGAAGCCGGGACCTCTCGAGTCGGCGACACCATGAAACACGGCGTACAAACCACTCGGCCACGGAGGTCGTCAAAAATAATGGAGGTGAATGGTAGAATAATTGTCAAATTTATGTCAGATATCTTCAAGATTTTTTCACAATCTTTTTAAAACACAGAGAAGATGACGTTTTGTTGCGTCGTTTTGAGCTTTTCGAACAAAAACGGCAAAAGATTAAATAACCAGTTATTGAGAATTTATTAAAAGTTTATTTTTCACAGCGGTAATGACTACTTTTTCGGTGTAATTAATATAAATGTATATTTTGTATTAAACCGGTAACACTGTCAGATGAACGATTCAAAAATACAGAAAATCAGTATCATGCGACTTGGAAATCGAAAGTGACTTAAGTCGCATTCGACGATACTATTTCAGGCGAGCGAATCAAAAATAGAGCTCCTAGAATCCAACAAGCACTCTTTGATAATCCAAATGTACTGATTATTGTAGTGTCGAAACTTAAAAGGACTTGCGATGCAGCATCGGTTCTTCACATTGCAGGTGACTAACTTGTCAATTAAGATACAGTAATATCAAATATTCTAATAAAAAAAATGTATTAATTGTTTTTTAAACATTTGTCTGCTATATTTTGCCATCTTAAGAAATTTTAATTATTTTTATACAAAATAAAAACATAACACAGATACATTATATAATTCGATGAGACAACAGATCTAATGACTTCTTAATAATAAACATTACCACTGTAGTTTTTAAATTATTTAGTTCGATTATGCAGTTATTAATCTCACCATAAGGTTCACATTGCCATATTTTCAGTAAAAAACGAATTGGATCGAATGACACTTGAACCAATAAAATTATTATGGGATTGGTAACAAATGTATTTGAACACGTGTATTCGAATTGGTTACATTAAATAGGGCCAATATTATTACCAAACTAAACAGATCACATACTTGAAAGGCAATAGCGTTTTGACAAGTTTTAGAAAACGATCTCGAGTTATTAACTAATGTTTATGGAGTCCGTAAAAAATGGATATTCATCATTCTGTTGTGTATTTCAGTTACAATAACCAAATCAAAAACTCCATTTGCAAGTTGCCGCGAAAAAATTTCTCTGGACAATATGGCGTCTTACTAGTGTGTGACGTCACCAGACTGTTATTAAAACGTCAAACGATACAATGTAATGTCAGTTTAACCGGAACTTTACTTGCGTGTGACGTCATTTTAGGCTCCGCCAATTCCAAGCGTTTTGGGTCACGTGACAATAGATAAGAAAACTATTATATTTTTCGTTAGTTTTTAGTAAAATTATGATTTTTTTTTGTAAAAATAGTAAAAACCCCTGCCAATATTCATTCTAAACACAGATGCTAACAATTGGCACTTTACTTTTAACACTGTCAAATACCCTATTAGTAATAACTTTACAAAAAGGTGATAAAATTTTACTGATAAGATTCTTGCCTGATCACGTTGTATTCAGTACCCCTAGCACGAACCAATATCGAATTAGAAATGTCATTGTCAAATTTTGTATGGAAACTTGACAAGCAGCGCCACAACGAACGTAAGGAGAACTAAAAATCATTAATTTGACAATGACATTTGGGACTCGCAAACGATGCGAATTCGATATTGGTTCGTGCTAAGGGTACAGTACCCTAGCACGAACCATTATCGAATTCGAATAGTTTGCGAGTGCGAAATGTCAATGTCAAATTTTGTATGGAAACTTGAAAAGCAGCGCCACAACGGACGTAACGAGAACTAAAAATCAGTACATATTTGACAATGACATTTCGCACTCGCTTACTATTCGAATTCGATAATGGTTCGTGCTAGGGGTACAGGTCTACAACATAAAACCGTTAATAACCGCTGAAAAAGTCAACTTTGACACGACATAAAATAGTTAATACAATGAATTGAAAACAATGGTGAACATGCTAAGTGACTAGTGTTTAAACTCAGCAAACCAAGTGAAATAAAATAAAATAGCTAACTGTGAAAATTTGTGCCGTCAAGATCATTAGCCCAGATTCAATCAAGTCCAATTTAGGAACTTAAATAAAAAAATCGTTACTAGCGCAAAAAAAAATATTTAAATTAAACAATAGGGGTATAGTAAACGAAATTCTATTTAGTCCATCAGTTAGATGATCAAAAAATAATGGCCACGTATTTTTCTTTGGACAATCAACCAATAAATGACAAAGTTATAGCGCGTCAAAGTTTGGGAGTAGGGGCTCGTGACGTCACTTTTGAGTGAATTTTCACTTATAAGTGTACTCAAACGTGACGTCATGCGACTTTTCAAATCAATATATCTCTGCAATGTTTATATTATGTGAAAAAAGAAAAAATACGTGTCCAACACTTTTTGATAATCTATCTGATAAACGAAGAAAAAAAATAGTCATCATCCCTATTAACAATACAGTCGTACGACTATTATGTGTAGAAAGGACAATGTTAAAATTGGCCTAAGAACCAACACCAATTTGGCATTTATGATAATTCTTAGTATATTTTTTGCGATAATTATCAGTATTTAGATTGTGACGGACACTTCCAGTTAAGTAAGCTAAATTAAAAAGTTAATAAATAATCTGAGACAATAAATGCCATTTTATGTGTATAATCTATGACAGCACTGCGAACAAAAACACTTTCTTCCTAATGCCGGCACTTCACTTGGCTATTCGTATTTGCTATTTAAAAACATGACATCAGTCTGTCCTTTTCATTCCTTATTAAGCATGACAAGGACAAACTGTTGTCAAGTGAAGGGCCGGCATAAACTCTATACTCTGTGGTTGTGGTGCAGCCAGTTTGCATTCGTAGTAATCTGTGGCATTCGTGCAATCTCGTCAAAGAGTACTTTTAAATACGGAAAATTTTCGTTCGGATTATCTGTTGTGTGTGTTTATTTGCGATTGTTTTTCCTTTAATTTAACTATTACTATTTCGGCTATCTAATATGCCATCGTAACATACCAAAGTGCAGAGACCTTATTACCAAGTGCTAGTGAACCTGTGCCACAACATCCTGAGAGGATCATACTGCCAAATTATTCAAGAGCACCTGATACACATTCACGCTGCATATTTACACAATATACATGTGTTAAAAAAACAAATACAATACGATACAATTATGTGAAAAATAGTCAATAAATAATAAGAAGCAAAACTATTGTTTTTATTTTATTCATGATTCCTACCTAACCAAGTTTTTCCTAATAGTTATTCTTTAAAATCGCACCGAATAAAATGAATTAGTTGTAATATTAATTCACTTCATACTAAGTTCATAGGTTGACCTGTTTCATTGAATATTAAACATAACCTCAAAAATATTTTAGTTTTCCTAATAATTTAAGTTCTCAGAAGTGTCCGTCAATAATCTTTGTTTTTACAGTCATTTACTTGCGTTATCGAACCTAGAAAATAATATTTCATGATTGTTGGTTCTTAGGCTAACTATGTATGGACGCAGAGCAATGTCCTTTGTGAACCAAAGTCGTCACAACATGTTTTTTTTTAATATTATGATGGCAAATAGATTTGGTCCAATATTAGAGATTTATCATTTTTTATTACAAAGTTGCTTTTAGGATATGTTCAATAGAATAGATATAGTAACATAGTTTTGGTATGAAAACCTACAGTAAATACTTAAAAAATAAGTTCTTAGTATTATGATAAAATTCACAGCTATTATAAAGAGTACGATTGCATATTTTTTTATAAAATTTTATTGATATTTTGCGTTATGAATAAACATTCCTAAATTTTGAAAAATATGTTTTTATATAGGTACATATATCAGGAAATAGTAATAGTACATTAAAATTGATAGTGAGTTTCTCCATAAAGGGTGCTCGAATAAGTTTATCTGTAATTCAGTGTAAATTTTGGAAGAATATTTTCTTAAATCAAACTTCAGACTTCTGATACAAGTGTACTTACTACGACGACAAATATTATTTACTGGCCTAGAATTGAGAAGAAGAAGAAGAAGCTGACTGTAGAGACAATAATATCACTGTATGTACAACCAGGGCCGAATTTAAGGCATAAAACATAACAAAATCTTCACCAACTAGTGGGGAGCGGAGAGCCAGGGGGCTATTCGCCTAACAGAAATACTTTGGAAAACGCTAACGCTTATGTTTTCATTTTGTTATTTCTAGCCGCCTGAGGTTTTCAAATGCCTCGCGCTCTTTTTTTTCTTTTGCATTGGTAATAAAAATATTTAAAAAAAAAGAGCGTGAGGTATTTCAGTTAATCGTTGAAATATAAAAATAAGACATTTCAAATCTCTACACTTACGTATAATGGAACCAAAATAAATCAATTTAGTTGGCACTTCATATATACTACAACATATGAATTATTATGATGAATATAATATTTATGATTTTATATATAAAGTTTCCTAGATAAATTAAAAGGACTTTAAAGCTAGGGACAAATAACTTACTTTAATCTATAATTTAATTATAAACTTTTATACCACCCAAATTATATATATAATAAATAAAAATATTCGAAATTTAGATCCTTAGATCAAATCTAATGAAATCAAAAAGTTATTAGAATTAGCTATACAGATCATACTTCATGTGATATATATTTCCAATATCAACTTTCTTCCTTTAATTTTGACAATATTCCAATACATTTTAAAACTTAGAAATTCACAATCGCAAATAACTTGAACAAGCCTCTATTGCAAGAGAAATAAAGTTTATTTTACAGCTGATAAGCTGTTAATAACAATTAAATGTAATACAAATTGATATATTAAATACGTCTTGGTATATTTAATTAAAAAATAACTATTGTTGCATTCTCGTGTGCTTATTGAATTCATAAACTAAAGTGTATATTATTATCTGTCATTGAAAAATACCAATTTTATTGCATTTGATCGAATACCACAACAACTTCATAAAAAACTTAGGTCCTTGTTGAAGTATAAAATAAAGATATTTGAATCATTTACAATTTGTAATGCGGGCACTAATAATGACTTCACTTGGCTTTTTGTGTTTGCTAATTGTAAACTTGCCAACAATCTGACCTCGTCATATTTTTTAAGGATTGAAAAAGACAGACTGGATGTCAATCTTACAAATAGCAAGCACGAATAGCCAAGTTAAGTGCCGACATAAAAAATAACGTTTGGTCTTTCGCATAGTCTATCCATTAATAATTATCTATAGTCTATTAACATTGGCGTGAGACAAAATGTAAACAAACCATAAAAAGGATACTTTTTAAAGTCACTTTTGGAAAAAGTAAAGATGAAATACTATTTACATAGGAAATGCAGGGAAACATTAAGTTACTTTTTTTAAAAGCTGGTACATACATTTGAATAAGATATTTTACATTATATTTAACGTACATACACATCAAATTCGTATATTTTTATATTGCTGATAAAGTATTTTAACAACTTCAGTTGACATGGAAAAAGACCTAAAAACACAATCATTCCCAAACTAAGACGTATTATAATACGACAAAATTTAAGAGTGAAATGATATAAGTATTTTACGTTGAAATGTTGTATTTTATAATCGGTTGATTTTTTACGTCTCAGCCATCTTTACTCTCCCGATCAACCTGTTGACGAGAGCGTGCATATTCTATCATAATTGTTAAATTCTTGTTATTTTTTTACTGTTCAGTTTAAAGTTGTCTGTGATTGTTTTCTTGTAGAATTGACGTTTTCGTGGATATATTAATGAGTGGTGAAGCTGGACCTGATCATTGACTAGTAGGTACTCTCTGACATTAAAAAAGTTTTATAACCTCAGATTCTTTGTTTACATTTTGTCTCAGGCCAAACTGAATAGACTATAGCCCCTTATTAATAAACGAAGAATTAGCTTAGACTAGTTACTCCGTGTTTTGTTCATATCACTCAAGTGATATTTTTCATTTAATGAACAGAGACAAAACATGGTATTACTAATTCAAGTTCATTCTTTGATTATTAATAAAGGGCTTAAGGTCTATAATCACTACCAGTTCAAAGCCGCTCAATCACCAAAGGTTGTTAACACTCACATCGTATTGGTTGATTACATAATGTGTCTCGTCAACACTCTTACTTTAATTAATATATTCAGTAATGTATTAAATTCAATTATATCTTTAAATAGTTATATAAGTCTACGTTACACACATACAAAACATCAGAAATAACTTTCGAATAATTCGAAATTACCGATACATGTAGATGTTATGTACATCTATGTCATCATCATCTCATCATCATAGTATCATCTATATCATGTTGAGAATATGAATTATCCATTTATATTGACCAAGTGAAACCATGAGTGTAGCTAGGGGGGAGCAAGGGTGGGCTTAATGCCCACTCTTGAAATCTCTGCCCACCTAAATATTCGAGTGTTGAAAAACTACAGTTTAAAAGATTGAATGTTCACATGGGCAGCTGCCTTGTAAAAATCCCTAGCTAGGCCAATGAGTGAAACATTCACTTGCTCACATCAGAACTATATTTCAACAAGTCGACATGTCACTGCCCTAAGGACAGGTGATAAGTGACAGTTTTGAGATTTATTTTCGGAAATACTTATAAAAATGACAGGCAGCCCGTATCTTACTTCAACGACAATTACCTACTCGTATATTGCTAAACAAGGGCAATTTTTTTAAGTCGACATATTTGACAAACTATCGCTAATTCTTGACATGAGAACGGGATACATTATAAATATCAAGATTCACCATTACATATAAGTGCAGCGTGTTTATGAGTGTCATTACAGCAAACGTGGCCGTATGTTTACGAGTGTTACAATAGTATATGTGGACACATATAGTTAAGATTCACCATTATCACCGTTATAATGTGAGTGTGGGCAACACATTATTCGAGCAGCAGCAACTGACCTGGCGGGAGGTCGTCGGCGGGACTATGTTATATGCTGTCGTAGCTGTTCGGGTCGGATACGGCGGCGGGACCAACGCCTCGAGAGGGCAGCTTGAAGCCGTTAATTGCGAACGCCCACCCATCCTACGGAGAGAACGGGATTTCTTAATAATAATAATACAGTGGAGCCCCGGCAATCCGGCCCCTGGCTAATGCGGCACCCCCTATAATACGACATCGTCTATTACATACAAGTATTCGCTAATTCACGATTGAACAAGTTACAACCAAGGGCGGATCCAGGGGGGGGGGGGGGGTCATGGAGGTCATGACCTGGGCTGGGTACAGATGGACCAAACCCAGGGGGATTTTATTTAAGTACTTTCAATATTTAATATACTACAACTATATGACCCCCCCCCCCCCCCTGGCGCCAAAGCTGGCTATATGACCCCCCCCCCTGGCGCCAAAGCTGGATCCGCCCTTGGTTACAACATGTACGAACCATCACTATTGTGCTCGACGCGTAGGGTATTGTTTTTTATATTTTTTTGTAAAATCTATAGCATTAATGACGTTACTTTTATAATAAAACGTAATCTTTCTATTGTGTTGTTTAATTTACTAAATTTGACATACACAACAAAGTATGATTTGTAATCTTATCATTGGATCTGTAATTTGTCAGATTACAAGGTACTCTTTTGTAAAAAAACATCGGACTATAGGGGGTCTTATTCAGTACTCTATAATCCGACAAATTCGATAGTTCGACACTGCCCTGCAAAATGTTTGTCGGACTACCGGGGATCCACTGTATTCTTTATTGTATAACACCACAAAGGACATAACACTAAGATTACACTGACAGCGAGACATTACACAATGGGCGGCCTTATTGCTTAATAGCAATCTCTTCCAGGCAACCCATGACGGAAAATTAAATAAGTTTATAAGAATACAAAAAAAGGGGGAAGGTGTAAGAGCAATATTATAAAATAAAATCTTATATCGGTTCCCTTCATCATCATCATCATCAGCTTATGAATGTCCCCACTGCAGGGGCACAGGCCTTCCCTATGGATGGAATAGGGAGATTGGGCCATGACCCACCACGCAGGCCCAGTGCGGATTTGCGGTTGCTAAAGACTGCAGATGCAGTCGGGATCAATGGCTTAACGTGCCTTCCGAAGCGCGGAAGGAACTCGAGATAGAAGATTTTTGATCACCCATCTTCACTTGCGCCATCAAGCTTTCGAGTGCCTACTATTACTCAGGGATAACGTAAAATTGTGCAAGAAATTTTGAAATCAGTCCAGTATATTTTTGAGTTTATTAGATACAAATATACAAATTGTAAACGGTAGCTGGAGCGACGGACTGTAGTTTAAATAAAACAATACAACTGGTTCAATCGATTAGAGGAAACAACATATATTTTCAGAACCAATTCTTTGACGACCTCCGTGGCCGAGTGGTTTGTACCCCAGATGTCAAGGTGTCGCCTGCTCGAAAGATCCCGGGTTCGAGAACGGTGGGGGCACATCTTTGTGTGATGTATACGAGCATTTGTACTCCAGTCATGGATGTTTATATTTGCAAATATACTTATATTTGCCTCAGTATCTGTATTCTATCCATTACCCTAGTATCCCATAACACAAGCCTACAGTGCTTACTTTGGAGCTAGGCTAATTGGTAAGTGTTGGAAATATTTATTATTTATTAATTGACATCAATGGACGACGACGGGAATAAACAATTAATGATTATGTCCTAATAAAAGCCATATAAAAATATAAAATAACCCAAAAAGGAGGCTAATAAAGGATAGTTTGTCGGCAACACAAATCTTCGTCTTTATAATATTATTAGAAGCATAGTCATGACTCAGGTACACATGCTTTTACTTAGCATACAAACATTTGCCTCTGCTGGAATTTGAACCCAAGACCTCGGAGTAGGAGGCACTCAACCACGGATATTGTCATCAGAGCTAACGTTTCTTTTTACTTTTCAATTATAATGTGAAACATATCTGTACCTTTTATATGAGCAGTATTTTTTTGGATGAAATAAATAGTTTCTTTTTCTATTTTATAGACAATGTACTAGAAATAAAAACCTATATAAAATAGGTTGTTTGGTTGGTATGTCCCACTTAATACAACAGCACAAAATCCTTCATATGTAAAACTAGCTTGCACTCAGTCTGTCATCTTAATAATAATACATACATATAATGAGATTCAAATAAGAATAGGAAAACCAATGACCTCTATCTGTCAAATGTCGCTTGAAAATTACGGTTTCAAACTTTCGTTTACATAAAGGATGCATGTTCGTATGTGACCTAGTAATAGTGCATGATTATTCATAACTACTCCGGCGGCAATGCAGAGATGAGCGGAATTGAAGAGCTAGATTCTGATTAATGTTTTTTCTCACACAGTCTTAATAAATAAATATTATGAAAATACGGTTGTCAATCTATTTTAGAATGATAAATTCAATTTTTATTAAAAAAAATTAATATTTTTTCTCACTTAATCTTAGTAAATAAGTTTTATTAAAAAAAACTTATTTTGCTCACTCTACCTATTTGGTTTGAATTGACAGGTATGACATCACAATATGGCGCCCAGTCGGTCCTATTCTTAGTTGAATCGCATTATAAATAATTAAATCGAAAAAAGTACTTACTTTGACTAGATTAGGTAGTTCAGTCCAAAATCCTAAATTAGGTATGACTTCCAATCCTGTTGCTCCCATTAGGAATTTCTTTGTACAAACTCCGAGAACGAGGTAGAATACGACAAATGAAAAGAATATTATAAGCAGTGTGGAACCAAATGAACGACCCGGCTCTTCAATTTGCGTCAAACATGAATGACTTGAAAAAAATGTAAGTTGCTGAAATGTAAAAATAATAAAATGTTTTTTTTTTATTTTAGAATCACACACACACGTAGTTATATTAATATCTTTAAAATCTTGCATATCCACTTAAAGACTGAGTAAAAAAAGTGTTTTTCTCAATACGAAATATTGCTGATGAGAATGAAACAGTATTAGGTTTAAAGTAAACTAAGACTCCACATTTTGTAATTTAATATTACTTGAGTACAATCAATCAATGCTCCTTATATAAAACAGAATATGATACAAAGATACCACCACAATGGCATTGTTTATAATTATTAGTTAGCAATTAAGTACAACTTGCTAATTATCTCATTTGTAGTATTCTTATTATTATGAAACTGTTAGTAACTTTAAATTACTTACAATATTAGCTGGATCTTCAATAGAAGTCACATGGAGTTGATCAACTCCTCCCTGTGCACAGCTTAATTGTACTGTGGTGTTACTGAAAAATATAACAGCAGCAATTAAACAGATCTCACAAAAATATGTTTATTACAAATTTTCTTTTCTAAAAGTTATTTTGAAAGCAATCAGAAATTAGCAGCCACTTTCAATAGTCAATGTCCAATAAAAGATTCTTAGCAACAGTTGTTCTTTTGAACCAAATATATGACATAAATATATAGGCAACTAAGCTCAAAGCCCAGTCTAGTCTATCACGTTTTTTATCACACCCATAACTCCATAGTAATTTGATAATTGAGCGTGATAAAATAAATAAATAAATTAATAATAAATATTTCCAACACTCACACCAATTAGAGGCGCTCGATGGCACAGGTGGTTAGCGCGTTCGGCTGCGATCGTTGTAGTTAAGCAACTTTCGTAGTGGTTGGTCATTGGATGGGTGACCAAAAATTTCTATCTCGAGTTCCTCCGTGCTTCGGAAGGCACGTTAAGCCGTTGGTCCCGGTTGCATCTGCAGTCGTTAGCACTCGCCAATCCGCACTGGCCCTGTCATGGTCCAATCTCCCTATTTCATCCATAGAGAAGGCCTGTGCCCCAGCAGTGGGGACATTATGAGGCTGATGATGACACCAATTGGCCTAAAACGCGTTATATATCATATTGCGGTGCTCATGCTAGGGGGGCAGGATGTTATGTTCATATCATTAGTGCCATTTGAAATTCAATGAAAAGAGAAAAAACATAGTAGTAACTAATGCTTCAGCTTCTAGACATTCATAAGTGCTTGTAATAGACTAAACTGAATAAAGGATTTTGATTATGACTATAACGAAAACTATTTCTTTGTTTATTAAGAAGAGTGTAAGGCCCGTATTATAGAAAGATTCTCAGTGATTGATCTAGTCTTGAGCTTTGAGTTTTAGTTAGAAAGGGATGTCGCTATATATAACACATAGCGATATCCCTTTCTAACTGTACTCAAGTAAAGATCAACACTTAGTTGTCATTCTGTAATACGGCCCTAATAGGCCTATGTGGTATGATGGCACTTCACATACTTTTTGTATTTGCCTTATCTAAATTTAATGACAGTCTTATCTTTTTCGCTATAGAGCAAGATCAGGATATACTGCTCTCAAATTTAATTATAGCGAACATGTAGAGCCATGTGGAGTATTACTGTATTGATTGTTGAAAGTGGCCATTTATTTGAAATAAAATCTAGAATTAGGCAACTCAAATTTTAAATGTCTGCTACCATTAACAAATCCACATTACTGGCTCAGAAATAAATATGAGTATAATAATAATAAGAAATAAAAGCAAATACTTATTTGCTGTCAGCTAAAACATTAAATGGTATTATTGTTAATAAGAAATGTAACATTTTTTTTACACACATTCTTTATATTTTTTTACTGCTAGTTACTTCTTTTGTAAAAAATTTAAATGATATAATTAATAGTCTATATACTTACGAAGGAAGATTTTCATAGATTAAAGATCTTCCGTCTTCTTTAAAGAGCATCATATCAGATTTTCCCAGGTAATTACAAACAGTTTCTTTCAGTGTGTACTTATCTTTGGTGCCATTATCCTTTGTCATAAGAGAATTGACTCGATACAGCTGGAAACATTATATTAAAATTTTTACTTTTATTCTTAACTGCAGTGTTTCCCGCGGTTTATTAGGGATATTTTCCTGTGGTAAAATGTAACCTATGTGTTAATCCAGAGTGAAAGCTAACTCCATACCATAAAAAAAAAACAATGACTGGAAGATAAAATGCATTATATCCAGGACAATCACCAATGCCACGTTGGTTTGCTGTTAGCTAACTCCATACTAAATTTTATTAAAATCTCTCCAGCCACCTAGACGTGAAGAAGTAACAAATCTGATGCAAACTTTTGCCTTTATAATATAAGTGTGATTCGTTTAGTATTATTAGTGTAGTGGAATTACAATAGAACAGGAATTAAGCATTATTCTATGAACCCAATGTAATAGGTCTGCACAGTTGCATGTGCAGAATTGTATCTACAGTTACCACAATTTAAAAGGGTATTTAACATTTCAGTAACATGATAGAATATAACTTACATTTATAACTAAATAGAAATAACTGTGTTAATCAGATTTAGAGAAAGTTGTGTTGTAATTAAAACCAATTAACTGCTAATTTCCTCAAATTCTCTCAGATTTTAGTAATAATAAGGTCTGGCAAAATAGAAACACCAACGCCTGCTTGTGTAACATAAATAATTAAAAATTATTTGTGTTATATTCTACCAACACAACAATGAATGTTATATGAATTTAAATATATTTAAATTTTATTTATTTAGAATATATTCTAAAGAATAATTGATTTCTCTGGTTTCTGACTAGTAATCATCCCTCTCAATGCATCATTGTCGATATAGTAATTTTAAATTGAGACATAATCTGTTACAGAAATTAAAATATCACCATTTTGGTATGTATACACTCCTAGTGGCTAAAAACGCAACAAAAATTTAATAACTTAATGAACGAAATAGATTTTATCACTATATAATATAAATGGCATTGAAATAATTTGTTTGATAACATTAATCTACATTAGTTTCACCAAACAAACCGGAATATGAATTATCAAAAACCAGTTTCAGGAAGATTCCAATTAACTACCGAATGAAAACACATACTCACGGACAAAGGCATGTTACAGGTGTCGTCTGGCAAGTTTGTGCGGTTGGTAAGAAGATCAGAGCAAGGATGAAAGTAGTAGGTGAAAAATGAATACTCCGAAAGTGGCGTATTTTTGTTTTTCTCCATGTAATAAACGGCTGAATAAAAAGTAGAACCAGCCACTGGCCTAAGATCCACACCGGTGCCATTGGGAAAAACGCACGTACAAGGAGTCCTTTTTACACACACATCCTCCGAACAAACTGACGACAAAATGAATAATAAACACACTAAAGATAAACCCAAAAACTCATTTAAAACAAACATTTTGTATTAGAATTAATAGTTTTTCTGCGTTGCGTATCGTTTACGTTTCTTTCGTGGTTTAATTTCCTTGTCTGTCAGTGTCAGTGGGTAAGAAACTGTCAAGTATCAATGTCAGCAAAATGACAAATCAAAAAAAACAATTACCGGCACTTCACTTGAGCCGAGCAGTCTGTCGTGCTGTAGAATATGCAAGGAATTATTTAAAAGTTCCTTGAGTATATATCTAAGACTGACTGTTGTCCAGCTCATAAATAGGAAATTAATACAAATATCCAAGTCCAGAGGCCTTGGGTTCAAAACCTAGCATGCAAATTGCTTTTAGACCAAATAATTTTTCATTTTAATTTATTATTGACATCTAAGAACTTCAACTTAAACTATAATGCCGTCGCTTGTAACCTGTCACATATGCAAGAACAAAGTCGAAGCCAGACAAACAATTCTTTGTTCAAAATGCAAAAAAGCTTATGAATTTGATTGTATTGGGTACTCAAAGAAGCTACATTTATTAAAAGACCAAAAAACAAAAAAGAGTTGGAAATGCAAAACGTGCGAAGACAAACCAAAGATATTAGGAACACCTAACACTGACCCTTCTTTTGTCACAACCCGGAAAAAGCATACTATTAACGCACCACAAACAAGTAAAAAAACATCACCTGCCGCTGAGCTCATTGAGCAGATATCTCCGGGTAACATATCATGTCAATCTGAAGACTTGCATTTAAACACCCAAAATGACATGTCATCAGAGGGATCTCCTTCAGCATCAGATCAAATTTTATTAAGAAGTTTGGACTATGGATTAACAGACACAATTTCAGTTCACGAAATCAAAGAAAATATGATTCGTCTACAATCGGAATTGGAGAGCACTCAAAAAGAATTAGAAAACTATATTCTAGAAAATAACAATATTCGTAGAGAAAATTCTAAGCTTATTCAGGAAAATAGCTTTTTGAAAACCCTTTGTCAGTCTCCGATTAGCGAATCTCATATTTTACGAAGTACTAAGAAAAAAAATAAGCCATCTACACATTATAATATAATATCTTCGCCATATAGTTCACCCATACCAAAGCAATATAAGTGTTTAAATGAGAACACTGATTGTAGCATTTTATACCATCAAAGGCAAATTACCGAGTTACAAGAGAAGTTAGAGGACTCTGAAAAACAAATTATGTCTCTTACCAAACAAATATTTAAACTTCAAAAAATGCTCCAAGATATCAATACACTCGATAAACAAGTCCCTGCCAACATTACGATGACTCATCTACATGCAGACACTTCTGTACTTGTCGATACCATTTCTGAGCCCGTCCCAAAAAAAAGCATTAAAAAGAGGGTATTTATATATGGATCACAACAGTGCGTTGGGTCAGCATCTGCTTTAGCGCGATCGAGGGAAAATACAGCATACGAAGACTATTCAATAATGTCATTTACAAAACCCCACGCACTTACAGCAGATATCCTAAAAGACTCTCAGAACCTATGTTTATCACCCAACGACAAACTTATAGTATGTATTGGAGAAAATGATTATGACATTAATATACTGGAATATCAATTACGTCAATAATTAATTAATTTTAAGAATAATGACATCTTTGTAATAAATGTAATTAATAATAGATATCTTAATGTATATGCCATAAACAAATGTATTCAAAATATTTGTAATGACTTTGAGATGTCTCATTTTGTAACTTCTGACAATGATTCAATTTTCGACATGTGTAAATCTCTTAATTTTGCTATCGACACTATTGACTATAGAAAAAAGTATCTTGATGTACACCAAATAAAAAAGTTAATCGAGCGTGGTAATAATCCAATGACACACAATAATATTACGAGAAAAAATAAAAAAGGTACAATCCCTTACTATTTTGCTACCCTGTCTACGCGGGATTTTACCGAAAAGACTGATATTAAGAAAAAAGGTACAATCACTGATTACTTTCCCGTAATTAAAAACCGACAGTTTTTTCGTTCCCCAAAAGTCTGAAGTGAAGGAGCCTTTATTTAAAATTTTGCACCATAATATAGCTAGTATTCTCTCTAAGAAAAATCTTTTAGAACTTGCATTAGACGAACTATATGAAACAAATCATGAACCCGACATAATGTGTTTTTCTGAAACTTTTTTAAAACCTGACTCTCTTAGATACTTGAAAATCGCAGATTACGAACTTGCATCAGAGTTCTGCAGGAATAAACAAAGGGGTGGAACTTGTATATTAGTAAAAAGAGGATTGCCTTATGAAAAATTAAATATTCTACAAGACCACGCAAAAAACTTTTGAAGCTTGTGGTATTTTCATGCCACTTCAAAATTTGATAACAATATGCCTGTACAGAATACCTGCTTCCGATCCTTACCTCTTCATGTCAAAATTAGACCTGGTTCTACACGAAATATGTAGACGTTATAAAAAAAATACAAAAATTGTTGTTGCAGGTGACATAAATATCAACACATTACAACCAGGCAAAGTCAACAATTATTTAAAAGATTTGTGTAACAACTACAACTTAACTTTACATATTAACACCCCCACGCGGAAAGAATCTTGCATCGATCATATTTTTAGTAATATAAAAAATGCAACATCTGTGGTTTTACCTCTTTGCTTATCAGACCATGATACAGCTCAACTACTCAGCTTTCCCATGAAACAAATACATATAAAACCTAAATCTTATTTTGTTTACAAACGAGATTACTGTATTGAAAACATTGAAAAATTTAGGGAATGTTTAACTAAACTATCGTGCTCCGAAGTTTATAATGAACCTGACTTCAATACAGCTTTCGGAATCTTTCATGACTTATTGAGCCTTTTTTACAACTTATGTTTTCCAAATATAAGAAAAAAAATCAATAACGTGAAAAGGAAAAAACAAAAATGGATAAGCCCTGGTCTTAAAATTAGTTGTAAAACAAAAAGACACCTGCGCTTCGGATATTACAAAAGCAAAACATTAGAAAACCAAAACAAATACTTATCATATACTAATATTTTAAATAAATGCATACATTATTCGCGAAAAAATACTACTATGAAATTCATAAATCAGAGCAAAAATAAATGTAAGGCTACATGGTCAGTAATCCAAAATGAAATTAATAATACTAAAATTGATGACAATATTACTAATCTAAAAAGTTAAAATAAAACACTGACATATCCAAATGACATAGCTACTGCTTTTAATGACTACTTCATAAATTTGACTGAATCGCCATCAATAAACTTAACTAAAGATAACCAAAAATTGCCATCACTAGCCAATTCAATGTATTTACAACCAATGACCATTGAAGAAGTAAAAAAGGAAATCATGTGTTTAAATAATACCAACGCTGAAGGATATGATAATATTTGTACAAAGATATTAAAGATGTGCACTACAGAACTAACACAGGTCCTTACACACCTGGTTAATACATCGTTTATATCAGGAACGTTTCCTGATAAACTAAAAATCTCTTTAGTCAAACCATTACATAAGAAAGGGGACAGAGAGAATCCGGATAACTATCGTCCTATTACGTTAATACCGATCCTTTCAAAAGTCTTCGAAAAATGCATGCTAAACCGGCTCATGAGTTTTTGTTTGAAATACAAAATCATAACAAAAGAGCAATATGGGTTTCAAAAAGCAAAATCTACATCGCTGGCAATGTTTGATCTTATGTCAACAATATTGACAAATCTAAATAATAGATATTTAACAACGGGGTTATTTTTTGACTTGTCAAAGGCCTTCGATTGTGTTGCTCACCCGAGACTATTAAAAAAACTAGAATCCTACGGTATCCGAGGACCCACCTTATCATGGTTAGCATCCTATCTAAGCGGTAGGCGCCAAAAAGTTATTTTTAGCAAAGTAACACAAAATGAAATGAAATCGTTCTCATCTGGTTTTAGGGAAATTCGGTGTGGCGTTCCACAAGGGAGCGTTCTAGGACCAATTTTATTTCTATTATACATCAATGACATAACACAGGTGACTCGACATAAATGTGTTTTATATGCCGATGACATATCAATAATTGTAACATCAAATAACATTAAAAACAATGACTCGTTACGAACACATTCATCTGACATTAATAATACTATTGACATGATCATTAAATGGCTTAATGCAAATAATCTTAAAATTAATATTAATAAATCCTATTATATACAATTTAATCAATCTAAACATAAAAAATATAAGTTTACATTAGACGTAGCAAAAATCAAAGAAGTAGAAAGTTTAAAATTCCTAGGTGTAAAAATTGACAAAGATACAAACTGGAAAACCCATATAGATATGTTAAGTCATAAAATAAATAAATTTGTGTATGCTCTGAAAAGCATAAAAAACCTAACCAATAAAAAAATCGCTGTTATGTGTTATCGTGCATACATTGAATCTATCCTTCGGTACGGAATTATACTCTGGGGTAATAGCACGGATAAGAATAGAGCCTTTATTGCACAAAAGAAGTGCATTAGGGCAATATGTGGAATCCCGCCAGACCAATCATGTAGACCATTATTTAAAAGTCTTGGATTGTTGCCGCTGCCATCGCTGTACATATATGAATTAGCAGTGTTTGTCCACGGGCACAAGCAGTTGTTCAAGAGGGTTAATAATTTCCGGCTTAGAGACCCTTACAGAATGATATTTAATGAGGTCCCAAGGTCTGACAAATATAGGAAAAGTTGCTTATGCCTTTGTGTCGAGATCTATAATAAAATCCCTCCCGACATAAAAATACTGAATATGAACATGTTTAAAAATAAATTATATAAATGGCTAAATGAAAACAATTTTTATGACCTAAAAAGTTTTTTCTATTATAAAAATTAATGACATGTTTTAATTTATCCTATAATAATTATGATAAATGTATCTTTTTAATTTTTTATTTTTTTTTATATCTGACATTTAGAAATCTTCTAATATTAATATGTTGACATTGTATATTTTATTGACATAATATTAGGTAACTCTGACATTCATAATTCTACAGAAAAATGTTATAATTAATTAATCTCTTTTTTTTTTATTGGTTCCATATTATGTATTTGCATGCTATTTTTAAAATGGCAAAACACGTGCTCAAACCGTTGTGTAATACCTATATACCGTGTTTTTAGCAAATAAAGATTATGATTTATGAAGTGCCGGCACTATCGGTCGATAATGGACGTACTATCCAAAGAGCTGAGTACACGCTAAGTACTTTGTTTCATAACACGTTATTTTCTACGTTAATGTTTCATTGTTTCGACATATTTAGGAAAATGTAACCACTGCATAGATGAAAATTGTATTTAGCAGTTTTACCTAAAGTTCAACAAAACATCAAAGTTTTGGTGTGCCATTCTTTGGTATGGGAGCAAAATCATTAACACCTTCAATATGTTAATCACTGAAACGTATTATATTTTTTTGCTTTCCGATTTTTTTATACTTATTTTAAATCAAATATTTTATGCTGCGTGCGGTGGCGCAAGTGGATAGCGCATTGACCCTGCTATCGTCAAAGTTATAAAACTTTCACAATGGTCAGTCATTGGATGGTGATGGTGACAAAAACTTATCAACTCGAGTTCCTCTGTGCTTCGGAAGTCACGTTAAGCCGTTGGTCCTGGCTGTATCTGCAGTCGTTAGCACCCACCAATCCGCACTGGGCTCGGGTAGTGGCTCACGCCCCAATCTCCTTATTCCATTGTATTTCATCCCTATGTACTCTATGTCCCAGCAGTGAGGACATTTATAAGCTAGTGATGATGATGACACATATAAACTCGGAAAATGAGATCGATACCAACTCGCCTTTCAGCTTACCGTCAAATAGGCGTCCACCTAACGTAAGCGGATCCAGTACTATTGCTATGGCTAGGTGACACCGCGCAAACGACTTCTCTATGGACCTGTAGGCCTATTCGATAACTGCATTTGACAGATGGAAGTGATAATCAATAAGCTTATTCAGTGATCCACTACTGAGTTATTATAAGGTCACTAAGATACTTGTTCGGCAAAGCATCGAATGAGAGTGTCAATTCTGACATGATTCTTTAAATCTTTACATAATATATTGACAACAGTGGTGTCGATACCGGCGTGATTCTCTAAACTTAACAAAATTTAACATCATTCTCTCCTTTTCATTGTGTATAGAGAATGACTAGGATACACTGTTATCAAATTTATGTTTAGGTTTACAGAATCATGCCGGAATCGAAACCATCGTATCCCTGTCATTCTCTTTACAGAATGAATGGACAGACTGATGTTTTTAGTTTTAAATATAGAGAATCATGTAATAATTGACATCAATGTAAATGTCAAAAACAACCCACATTCTAATGTAAACATTGATAAAGAAGATTAATAAAACTTAAGACTAGTCTTAACTTAACTTAAAGAAAGAAAGAAGTATGAATATAAGAAGAATGCAAATACAGTCTAGGCTGTTTTGGCATTTTTTCCTTTGCTTTCCTTGAAAAGGGAGAACTTTAAAAACATAACGTCATATTTGACATTTGATTTTTAAGCGGCGTTCTAACCTACGCTCCAAGTACAATTTTTCTCTTTGACGTTTGAGTTTAGACATATTTTGTATGAAACTTTTGTCAAATTTGACATTTCTTGCACCTGGAACATAGGTTTGGAACGCAGCTCTGTACCACCAATCTACCTCGACTCGAGTTTTATAGTATTTCAATTTTCAGTTCGTTTTATTTCAGTCAGTTTAAAGAAATTAAAACTCGGAGAAAAAGACAGACGGTCCTCATAAATTTTTGATGTATAAAACTTAGAAATGAAAATATCAGATTACGTGTAACTATGTCAGACAAAAAGAAGAAGGTATTTACATCAAAGGTACCTTTATAATAATATTGATCATGGTGTTTTACAAAAGTTATTTTAGTAAAACTTTAAATACATTTTACCTTTTTTCAAAAAATAATGTTTAGTAAAACAAATTAATTTGCAATCAAGCCTTGGCATTCAGTTATTATAAGAAAATTAAAACAAATCTTTAATCATCATCATCAGCCTAATAATGCCCCCCACTGCTCGGGTACAGGTCTTCTTTATGGATGGAAAAGGGAAATTGAGCCATGACCCACCATGCGGGCCAAGTGCTGATTGATAATGTTAAAACTATACTTCCAGGGTCCAAGAATTTACTTTTTTTTCTATAAAACTACCAGTGTATTAATGTGGACACTTTGTAATAATGTGGTAAACAGAATCCTTTTCAGCAACAAAACTGAATTTTTACTTTTGGGCCCTGGAAGTACAGTATATCCATGTTAATTACTGCAGATGCAGCTGGGACCAACGGCTTAACATGCCGTCTGAAGCATGGAGGAGTTTAAGATGATCACCCAATTAAAACAAATCTTTTATGATTAATTGTTGTTATTTACTTCATACATAAGCAAATATTTTGCCATAATCTTGGATTGTATTCATTCAGGAGACATTAACACCAAGACGACCTGTGATCCTAAAATCTGACCGTGATGTGTCGAAAGACCAAACTAAGGAAAAACAAGAAAAAGAGAAAGCACCTACAATAATACTTAAGACTCGTGAACAAAGTGCACCTAAAGATGATAGGCCTGTAAGTCCAAAAACATTAAAGTCATCAACATCAGAGATTGAAGGCATACACCCTTCTAAAATAGCACAAAATGAAAACAAAGAAAAGAAAGGTAAATGTAATAATATTTTATTATGCATAGATAAATAAATAGATTGGCGTGGAAGGAAATGGAGGAGGCCTTCACCCTTAGAGGTGACTATAATTATTAATTTATAAAAATGTTTATGTTAGTTTAATTATGGGTAATAAAAGGCTTTTTATTTTATTATTTATTTTATAGATAGATAGATTAACACTTTATTATAACACCAAATAAATAATTACGTAATATTCACAAACAATAATATTAACAAAAGCGTTATAATTGGCGGTCTTATCGCTAAGAGCGATTTCTTCCAGACAACCACTGAGTATGAAAAGTTATACAGAGACATAATAATGTTGTATATTACTTGCAGTTTTATTTTTATATAAATTTATCACACACACAAAATAATTACAAGCTTACTTTAATCAATTTACTGTTATTGTTAGATTTGCTCCTTGTAATTTTATCTTTATCGTAAGTCAGTTATTGATATAATTCATTTATACTACTACGTCACTCTGGATCATGGTGCTTGCAACAGTGCCAGAATATCAGAAATTCGCTAAAAACAAGATACATGGTAAACAATATAAATTACTGTAATGTTAGTGACCATGAAAGTTTAAAACAATATAATTCATTTATCGCCAGTTGCAATAATCAAAATCCAGTAAGAGGTAGGCCTACTTGAGCTTTGTTGCTATAATATTTGAATTATTAACACTATAATTTCATTCATCATCAGCTTATTAATGTCCCCACTGCTGGGGCACAGGCCTTCCCTATGGATGGAATAGGGAGATTGGGCCATGACCCACTACGCGAGCCCAGTGTGGATAGTCAAAAAAAAAATAAAAAAAATACATTTTCTTCCATTAAAATATTGACACAGCCTATAGCCAAAGTTAAAATATCTTTATTGAAATTGGATGCATAGTACAACAGTCTTTTGAGACTAGGGTTACCATTCCCGACAAAAATCCTGACATTCGATAAAAGTCCGGACTTTTTAGTTACAAAATGGTACCATTACTCACTTAGTTACAATGGTATGATATTTAAATCTATATGGACTTTTGTTATTCATATTTAATGTAATGTTAAAAAACGGGACAATTTAAAGATCCGGACAAAGTCCGGACTATAGTCTAAAAGTCCAGACATGTTTCATGGACTAATCCGGACGGATGGTAACCCTATTTGTGACATCTTTTGATAAGATGTGCGTTGACTAAAACTGTGCGTTTTAGTCATGGTAATATGCAGTGGTATTTAAAAAACTAAGTAAAGATGTCAGAAAATGATTATTATTATTAAAAATATTTACTTTTCAGAACAGAAACCTAATCCTCCATTGAAACTTATGACAGATCCAGTGAAGTTGCTTGATGAAAACTTGGAGTTCAATAATGCTGCTTTAGAATTTCTGAATGACTCCAATACCAATTATCTCATTGTTGGTGTAATTGGTATGTATCTTCATACATCATAAAATAGTGCATACTTTATTGAGGTTCAGTAAAAAAATACCATGCAATTCATTTGTTCAATATATATCAGTTGTAAAAAGTTTTTAAAACTCTCACACCAATAAATAGCCTAGCCCCATTGACATATAAAAACAAGCAGACTCCTTGTTTTCAAAAGGTCCCAAGTGCAATTATGCATTCTTAAAAGAATAAAATTTTGGTGTTTCAAAACAGTGTTTTGACAACTTCAAGCAAATTATCATTCAAGTGGGTCACAAATCAAATTCTGTGATAGTACACTCCATCACAGCGATCATCAATAGGTACTTGACTATTAAGAAAAAACTCCATATAAGGACAAATACAAAATTTCTATGAATTCTTTTATTACAGGTACACAAGGAGTCGGAAAATCAATGGTTTTAAATTTAATCTCTCAAAATAAACACATCCGAAATCTTTGCAGTTATATCTTAAATTCACACGAAATGAGCTCAGAAAATACCTATGATCAAAATGATACAAGTTCTTTGGAAAACCAATTGGAAGCTTTGAATTTTGTTGAAACATCTGAGAAGAACTATGAACACGCAGATATTGATTTCAAATTCAAAATGCAAGACATTGCACAAATAGAGAAGGGTATTCATTGTACAAAAGGTATGTTTTATAGTAAACTTCCTAACTCCTATAGTGTATGTTTTGTTCACACTTACATATCATACATATTCTTGCATCAAACTCATTGGAGAAACAAGATATGTGAAGTAAAAATGACTTACACTTGTAAAGATAGAAGTTGTCTGTACAGTGTAAACGAAAGAATGTTTTACACAGTCACAATATGTATTCTACAAGTTTTGTGTAAATAGATATCTTGTTTCTTGGTGTAAACAAGGGGTTAAAAGCCTATTAGACTACCCAATTTTTAAGGGACCCTTACCCTGACTAAGGGTGGTGAAATATGAGTTAGGGAGTAAGGGACCCGATCTAGGGCGATCGACCGATCTCCCTAACGCCCTGGCGATCAGACGCCATGGAACGAATCGAGATCAAGTGAAGCCACTGATAGGGGAGAGGCCAACAGCGCCAACACGATGAGTAGCGAAACTAAAATCAAGGTACTTGTAAACACGACGACACACGCTAGTCGGGGCCAGACTAAGGATGTTATTAAATAATCTTCCCCTATCAGTGGCTTCGCTTGATTTCTTAGAGTAAACGCACGCACAACACCTCCATTCGCGTGTGTGCAGGTTTTGACGGGGTAATGTGTCATTGTCTATGTGTGACTGTCGTAATTACAGTTTTGTTTTTTTATGCATGTACGCTAAACTGCATTTGTCTGATTATTCCTCACCCCCCATGCAAAAAATGACAATGTATTGAATAATATTATGTCGCTATGGCTACTTCCTTCCGTATGGCTCTATGTGAGAGGGTGGGTCCTTTTACTATTAGAAAGCCTCGTTATTTGTGAGTTTCCTAGGCTATATTTTAGTACAAATACTATATTCTACACTAAAGTCAAGCGAGGGTGGGTAACTAGTTTTTGATATGTTGATAAGATGTGAAAAATACCTACACAATAAATAAACTCCCATTCCCATTCTAGGTGTAGACATGTTTGTAACAACAGACAGAGTAATCCTCTTAGACTGCCAGGCATTATTCTCCCCGTCCCTGATAGAGGAGTTCAGTGCTAGCCCGGTGACAGCTAGGAGTGCTAACGTGGTGACTGTGGATTGCCTGCAAGTGGCCTCCTTTCTGATGTCCGTGTGTCATGTGCTTGTGGCCGTGCAAGATTGGTTCAGCGATTACAATTTGTTGAGGTAAAATTTTAAAGAAACTTACACCAATAAATAAATTTCAATAATTGACATAAATTTAATTAGAACAGACTAACTTTTGAATGGAGTATATTCATAAGCTCCAACCTCCTCTCACTCTTAATTTAAGAGCAATGTTCTATGTTAAATCGTTTTTCGTTAAAGTATATAATATAATAAAGATAAAAATTAAAACGCTGTTTTTATTGATAAAAATTGAATGAAAATGACAATATATTGATTAGGTAAATAAATAACAAAAAGCTGACCTTTATTTCTTAGTTTGTATAGAAAATTTCAAAATTTTGATGACTGATCTATAAATCTAAAGAAAATTTTACTAGAGCCTGCGCATTCTGCTAAAGTTCGAATCCGGTCTGATACTTGAACCGATTAGTATTATTTCTAGTATTTTTTTTTAGATCCATAAAAACTAGCAGGGCATTGCATATATGAAGAGTTCGCCTCCGAATTTCTTTAGCGCGATGTAGACTACCATATTTAATGAGTGCGGCGCCGGCTACGCCATCTGTCCAGACAGCAGACGGGACTCGAACCCGCGCATAGGCGCTAGCACCTACCAACCAATTTTTTCTAGTAAAACTTTCTTTAGATTTAAACATCTAAAACATTTTATTTACTAGTGGCCGCCTAGCCTGCGACTTCGTACGCGTGGAGTTAGTTGTTTGCACATACTTTTTGACCCCAAAAGGGGGTTTATTTCTAAAGATGCATTATTAGTACACCTCTACACCATTTATAGAGCATACATGTTAAATTTCAAGTCTATTACTTCAAAAACATAGGACTTTCCTACAAACTTCCAACCCCCGTATTACCCCCTTAGGGGTGGAGTTTCGTGATAATATGTAGCCTATATGTTAACCCGACATCTTAATAATATTCGTACCAAATTTGAAGTAAATCCATGCAGTACTTTTTGAGTTTATCCCGGACATACATACAGACAAACAGACAAAAATTCTAAAAACTATATTTTTGTCTTCGGTATCGATTATAGATCACACCCCAAGTATTCTTTTAAAAGAATATTCAATGTACAGTTTTGACTTTCCTACCATTTTATTATATGTATAGATAATAACCGTGTCCAATGTGGTAGGTACATTCAAGCGGCGGAAATGTTGCGTCCTTCACTTTGGACGCAAAACGCGACTTCGGGCGGTAACACCGGTGATGCTGCCCTAACTACCGATTCGCATCCACATCTATTGCTGCTGCATAATAGGTATTCACCCTGGAAAACTTCTTGAGCATAGGGATGTCGAAAGTTGAAAAAAATATCGATATATCGGACCAATTTTCCCAAAAATATATTTAGATCAGCTTAGCACAGTAATAATAACAATACAAATTATAATTAAAGAAAGAATTATCAAAGTACCAAATTGCCGCTACACTACATGACAGTACAGTATCTCACGAAAGATGACACGCGGAATAATAATGGAACGAAAATTATCTACCTAAAATAGACCCTATTTTCGAATGATGAAAATGATTGCAGGACCTCTCAGGTGCCATCTTTCGTAAACAAGACTAGACAGTCACACACTTCCACAGAATATATTGGAATTCAGCACAACCAATTCACCAGCGAAACAGATTTACAAATCATAGACAGTACTAAATACAGCACAGATCATAGATATGTTGACTATCTTTAATCTGAGATCCAGTTACGATTTTTCCAGATACGAATTTAGTTGGATCGTGATATGCCGCTAATATTTAAAAAAAATATCGATTTTGATACGAATTTCGATATTGGTTTTTTTGTATCGATGTATCGATATATCGAATCAATATATATCGGCTAAAAATATCGATATATCGATACAACGATATATTTTCAACAAGCCTACTTGAGCAATGACCATAGACAAGAAAGTCTGCGCAGTAGCAATTAAAGAGCTGGCGAACAAAACGGTATAATTAATTACCCAGCTGGTCAAACTACCTTTTTTTTTACAGTCCGGAGGTCTACAGAGGAATGACTACCTCCGTGGCCGAGTGGTTTGTACGCCGGGTTTCATGGTGTCGCCGACTCGAGAGGTCCCGGGTTCGAATCCCGGTGGGGGCAGATGTTTTTGTGATGAACATGAGCATTTGTACTCCAGTCATGAATGTTTAATATGTACTCCTTGGATGCATAGTACAACTCTTTTGAATCGTCCCAACAATATTTTTCAGTAATCGAATTGGATGTGATATTGTTAAAACACTTTGCCCTTAGCAATGTTACGGGCCCTATTTTCAAATCTGGTATTTGGTTCCCCGGGCCACTTACGATAAGTATTTATTTTTATTTATTTGATCGCCAACATAGTTACACTTAGACTTTTCTTATTTACATATTTATAGTAAGACACTTTATTAATAAAATAAATAAAATAAAATAGCCTTTATTGCTGTTTCTTTTTACAATAACTTGATCTATGTCTATTTGCTAAAAACTAAATATACATTCTAATTCTTATTTGTATTAAAGTGATCGGCAACTGGTTGCTCATGTCGACAAAGGCCTCCTCTAAAGACACTTTATTAGTGGAACTTTAATTAGGCGATTACGACATGCAATATATACTTAACTAGTAATTAAATTAATAATATTAATTAAATTTAATACAAATCAATTTTGAATAAAAAAAAAATGTGAATAATTTAACAACAGCAATAAAATAAATTAATGAAAAAGTTTTGATTTGTAAATTAAGTATGTTTGGTGACCTGTCGGAATTTAGTTATAATATCTCTGTTGTGGAGGGTCCCTGGGCCACAGCCCTGCCTGCCTTGCTTTGCAGGGGTCTGCCAGTACTTTTAAGTGGGGTCCGGACACAGTTAAAAAAAATATGGAGGTCCAGATTTCGTAAATTAATTATCATATCCGATATTTTTTTTTGATATGTGAAAAATTGTACTTAGTATATTTAAAGAAATTAAAATTAATTAATTAAAAGTCACGCGACATTACAAATCAATATATGTATGTAATGTATTGATTATGTGAAAAAAGAAAAAATATGTGTCCAATATTTTTTGATAATCTACCTGACTGAACACGATGGCAATTTGACGGAAGCTCTGGCTTCATCTCAGGAGCATATTTCTACAACTACAAGATAAACTGTGTACTGTCCCTTAAATAAATAATTAAGAATAAACATTATTATAGCTATTAAACTTCAGTCTTCTTTAAATTGCCGGGTGCTTCGCCCGGGGCAGCGTTGCAAATTAAACATCGGTGTTTTTCTTTTATTCAGGTGTCAACTAGAAGATTTCACTCCGGAAGCTGTAAAGACTATGCAAGACTTGTATAGGTAAGAATGAAAGTTTTTTTTATTCATAGATAGATCAGACGAATGATTTCACCCCACCTGATGTTAAGTGACGGTGAAGTCCAGACGTGAAGATAGCTGGTACAGCAGTTCTACCTGTCACACCAGCCATTCTCACCCTGCCGGCCTGCATGTTGCTTCTTCACGCCTCTTTTAAAGGATCCCAGGTTGTAAAGGAGGGAACACGTGAGCAGGCAGAGCATTCCATTTACATATAGTGTGACAAAGTATTTAATCAATAAATGTTGTTGACAATGTTTTATCTATCTACAGCATAACTACGCAGTTATTTCAGGAAAGCGATCCAGAAGATTTAAGTTTTAACGATAGCGTAATTATTAATCTAAAATTACTCGCAGGAAAGTGTTTACGATTACCTACATAATTTAAAATAAAATGACTTTCAAGAAAGCACCCCCTTACTTTTTCGTCATTTGTTATCAAGGCAAGGACAACAATACAGCTCAGCCGTTGCTAGAGAGAGAAAAGAAAACGCAGTAGCCAAGTTAAGCGACACGGAAACGCCGTTTCGCTCGCGCTGCGTTGAAGCGTACAGTTCCCGTCTCGCTTGCTGTATTGAATGTTTATTTACAGACGTGTGTGCGTGAGAGTTGCTTATGTAGTTGAATCGGAACATATTCATATTTTATTCGATGCTAGTATGAGCGTAACGTATCTTCCCTTTTTGCTTGAATCTAAGGAAAAGATAGGCCCGTATTATAGAAAGATTCTCAGTGATTGATCTAGTCTTAGAGCATAGTTAGAAAGGGATGTCAGAAAGGGACACTTAGTTGTCATTCTGTAATACGGGCCTTAGTTAAGACGCGATAAAAAAACCTGATATAATGTATATTGTGGCGTCCCAGCTGCGGGCACAGAAGTCCAGTGCTTTAAGGATATATATAGCACATAGCGACATCCCTTTCTAACTGTACTCAAGTAAAGATCAACACTTAGTTGTCATTCTGTAATACGGGCCTTAGTTAAGACGCGATAAAAAAACCTGATATAATGTATATTGTGGCGTCCCAGCTGCGGGCACAGAAGTCCAGTGCTTTAAGGATATATATAGCACATAGCGACATCCCTTTCTAACTGTACTCAAGTAAAGATCAACACTTAGTTGTCGTTCTGTAATACGGGCCTTAGTTAAGACGCGATAAAAAAACCTGATATAATGTATATTGTGGCGTCCCAGCTGCGGGCACAGAAGTCCAGTGCTTTAAGGATATATATAGCACATAGCGACATCCCTTTCTAACTGTACTCAAGTAAAGATCAACACTTACTTGTCATTCTGTAATACGGGCCTTAGTTAAGACGCGATAAAAAAACCTGATATAATGTATATTGTGGCGTCCCAGCTGCGGGCACAGAAGTCCAGTGCTTTAAGGATATATATAGCACATAGCGACATCCCTTTCTAACTGTACTCAAGTAAAGATCAACACTTAGTTGTCATTCTGTAATACGGGCCTTAGTTAAGACGCGATAAAAAAACCTGATATAATGTATATTGTGGCGTCCCAGCTGCGGGCACAGAAGTCCAGTGCTTTAAGGATATATATAGCACATAGCGACATCCCTTTCTAACTGTACTCAAGTAAAGATCAACACTTAGTTGTCATTCTGTAATACGGGCCTTAGTTAAGACGCGATAAAAAAACCTGATATAATGTTTATTGTGGCGTCCCAGCTGCGGGCACAGAAGTCCAGTGCTTTAAGGATATATATAGCACATAGCGACATCCCTTTCTAACTGTACTCAAGTAAAGATCAACACTTAGTTGTCATTCTGTAATACGGGCCTTAGTTAAGACTCGATAAAAAAACCTGATATAATGTATATTGTGGCGTCCCAGCTGCGGGCACAGAAGTCCAGTGCTTTAAGGATATATATAGCACATAGCGACATCCCTTTCTAACTGTACTCAAGTAAAGATCAACACTTAGTTGTCGTTCTGTAATACGGGCCTTAGTTAAGACGCGATAAAAAAACCTGATATAATGTATATTGTGGCGTCCCAGCTGCGGGCACAGAAGTCCAGTGCTTTAAGGATATATATAGCACATAGCGACATCCCTTTCTAACTGTACTCAAGTAAAGATCAACACTTAGTTGTCAGTCTGTAATACGGGCCTTAGTTAAGACGCGATAAAAAAACCTGATATAATGTATATTGTGGCGTCCCAGCTGCGGGTATAGTAGTCCAGTGCTTAAACGATAAACTTGAATTGCTTTCAGGAAATCGTTCCAGAAATCCAGTCTCCAGTTGAACTCGGGAATGTATATGTACAGTGATTCTAATAAGAACGGACTAAACATGGACAGTGTGTGTAAGGGCCATACTGTGGACAACTGCGGACCGCCGATCAATTTGTTCTTACTGCCAGAGGTGTACTCGGATTATGGTAAGATTCGAATTTAAAACGTTTTCTTAATATTTAGGAGACACAGAACACAGGAGGGAGGGGGGGGGGGGGGTTCTAGGCCGCGTACTCAGCCCCCACGCGCCCCCATCCTGCGCACGTCTGCGAGGTCCCCGCAATACCTCGGGAGACCCCTGGCGTGGAGCCCCGGTAAGGACTTTTTGGCGGGATCGGGAAGCGTCACTTTAGCAGTTTTGTTTTTCTTGTTAACAATTGTGTTGTGGCGGATGTTAGTGTCTAATAATGGTGGATTATAAACCGCTAAGTGTTCGGGAATATGCACAAGTGTTGGCAAGTGAAACAAAATAGCGGAAAGTGTCTTTCGAATTTTTCCTCGGACTTGGACTTCTTCCACGGGGAGGTTCCAGTAAATCCCCACACATTTACTGAAACATAGGGAAAGGGGAGGACTTGACTGCCACTTACTTTGACCACGAGTGCTATAGAATTTGTAAACATTTTACACTTGACATTGGCTAAATGCACAAGCCGTGCGAAGTCAATTAGAAAAAAAGGTATTCGGAGGTCTTTTTTAGCGGATATTATGCCGTAAAGCGCCCGTAAGAGTTGCGGGGTCCTCGGTGGGCTGCCACTGGGGGGTCCGTAAGACTTGCGGGAGCCAGGCGTGAGGTCCGTTCGGCGGTGTGCCTCTTAAAGGCGCCGTCGTCTGTAAACAGTACACAGAACACAGAAAGGGGTTAGAAGGGTCTTGTGGGCGTAGGGTTACCATCCGTCCGAATTAGTCCGGACATGTCCGGATTTTTATACTATGGTTCGGAATTTTTGAATTGCATTGAATATGAATAATAAAAGGGCATATTGATTTAAATACTATACCATTGTAACTCAGTGTAATGGTATCATTTTGTGACTAAAAAGTCCGGACTTTGTTCAAAATGTCAGGATTTTTGTCAAAGCTCTTACTCCCTCCCTCACGTGCTTACGTAAACATTGGTACCTACATGAATTTTTCCTTCAATGTATTCTGTTTTTTTTTATTGATTTATTGACACAGTATTCAACATTGAGTAAGGTACTATTACGAACAAAACCAACTTATTTCGAATTTTTGGTTTATGTATACAGTCTTCAGTCCATGACACCCGGATCCATGATGCTGACGTAACCACTATCTCGACCCCCCACCCCCCCATATCATCAAAAATAAGCAACGCAAAGACCCCCCTACCCCCTTTAGTGCTTACGTAATACTTGAACGGCCCCCTTCAAGCAATGATATTTGCCATTTCGGAGATCTCACGCTGCACAAGCGCCTCTAGCGGCGGATTCATACGCGATAGCCCTCATTGCGTCGTTGCTCTTGGGTGTGAGCGCTGATTTGGTCGATTGTTTGATGTCGCCTCGTTTGATTGGCTATTATCTATTAGGTGCAAGTATAGTGGGGGTGAGCCGGGGACATCGGTTCCCGTACAAATGATCTATAATAATAATATACTTATATTTCAGACACAAGATCCATTCCTACAATTAACAAATTATTTCTATGAGCACCCTTCTACCTTTTTTTGTGTTCTGTGTTAGAGATCACCCATAGGGTATGTCACATGTTATGGTGGTGGGAGGGGATCGACGAAGTGTGACATAGTGTGACAAGGGGTGGGAGGAGTCCTCATTTTCGTGACGGCACATTTCAAATTTCCAATACTTTTGAACTATTACTATATCAAAAAAAACCTTGATATAATATTTAGAACTCTATCTATGGGTATGGGTTTTAGTTTATTTTGTTGGCTAATTTTAGAACTGTTTTAATGTAATAATTTCTATCTATGCAAAATATGTGACGTCATACCAAAAAGGACCGGGGGGGGGGGGGGGCACGAAAGTGCTTAATCGCAGAATGTACCTTTTGCAAAATGCACCACGCACTTATTACGTGCCTGTCTGAAAATGTAGGGGAGACCGGGGCATGATGGGATACTTAAGAGAAAAAACGTCATAATATGAAAATCAAACTGTTTATTATAAATTTCTTAGAACAAAAGCAATACTTAAAATCTTAATTAACAAAATTATAATGTTTTATCACTCTAAATCACATATTTTTTTGGAAATAATGAACTAAATGACACATGCCAAATTTCTCGTCTTGCCCCATGATCGGGGCAAAATGGGAAACGCTATGGGGCATAATGAATACACATTTTAATCTGGTCGGCAACGTTCACATGTATGTGCATCTTCATCCTCATCGTCTATACCTGCGCAAGAATTATGGGTCCAGCCTTTGCACTCTCTACGAATAACCCATCCTTCATTGGATTGTGACTATAAGTACGCACAATATATACAAGGACAATCATTTTCATTGTCTTCAGATGAACTAGTGTCACTTTCTTCTTTGCGTCTTTTGATTTTATTCTTTTAAAAACTTTATTTATTCCTTACTAAAAAATTCTTTTTTACAAATAAAAAACTTATTATTGTATAGTAATGAAACACTCTTTTACTAACATATATGGGGCAAAACGGAATACTATGTCATTATGCCCCGACCTTTTTGCCCCAACAGACTCATTTTGCAAAAGTAATAACAGTTCTAACCTACAAAATTATTAAGCAAAAAAGCAACCTAAATTCGTTAGTTTTACACTACTGCAACAAGTATGCGGTAAGATAATGCAATAGTACTGATACCTACCCTAGTGCACATCGATTCAAAACAGAAAACGTCGTAAAAATCCTCCCAAAAACTATATTTTCTCGCCACGCAGCCAAAACACGCAGTGACACATACACACCCGCCAGCCTCATGCGACGCGGCTGGACATCGAGCGAATGGCGCTGTGTTAAGCTCTGTTGCATTCACCAGTCACACACAAAAGCACACTTCCCGTCTTGCCCCGAGCTTCGTCTTGTCCCGGTCTCCCATTTCAAAGTCCCTTTCTAAAAATATAACATTATCAAAAACGCACCTATTATAATATATTTTACTCTACTGTATTACAGTAATATAACATGATAAGGTAAAATGTACATTTTGCGAAAGGTACATTTTGAGAGAGGGACGTTTTAAGTGCGAGGTCGCGACTTCGTCTCCATATAAAAAAAGTTCGCAATGCAAACTTCGACCACCTTATCCAACTGAAAGGATGATTTCTGGGATGAACAATATCCTATGTCCTTTTACGAAGCTTGAAGTATCTTTATGCCAAATTTCATTAAATTCGGTTCCACGTTGGGGAGAAGAGGTAATAGACAAACACTTTCACATTTGTAATGTTTGTCTATTATAATTTATTTGTTTGAGGTACTTGATGGTATCAGTGATTAGCGCGTCTGTCTGCGATCGTTAAAGCTAAGCAACTTTCGCAGTGGTCAGTCATTGGATGGGTGACCTAAAACTAACTATCCCGAGCTCCTCCACGCTTCGTAAGGCACTTTAAGCCGTTGGTCCGAGCTGCATCTGCAGTCGTTAGCACCCACCTATCCGCACTGGGCCCACTGGTGGGACATGACTAGAGATCAGATAATCGGATGCATTTCCCTAAAGTTATTTTTGGCTAACAAATTATAGAAGCGGCTTCTATATTTTTATTAAAAATAGAAACCCGAGATTCCGGAATCGCTTATCTAATTGGATGTATATTAACTTAGATTAAAATTTTAATTTCCCATTCGAGGATGTGTATGTAAGGTGTAAGAGAAATGGTGGTGCGGTTAATGTGAAAACATAAATAAATAGATATTCATTAATTAATGACATATCGACACCTGCAAGGAAAAACATCGTAACTTAGTCTATGGAAAAACAGCTACAATGATATTCTTACATGCAATATTAAAATCTGTATGATCAATTCCTGTTTATTGATATTTTCGAGATAGTTTGACATTAGGGTTTAATGGATATAAGCAGTTAATTTTACACTGTAGGCCTCCCTGTACTTACTAAAAGTGAGTTGCGATGTTTTTCCTTACAGGTGTCCATATTACACAATATTTTTATGTTATACACTTCATTTGTCAATGTCAATCTGGTTTTACTAGGTCTCACAGTGTTCACTTAGACTTCACTCACTTCAATTAGAATTTTCCGGAATCGCGGGACTTTTTCGTTTATAAAGTGCTTTCCATAAACAGCTTACTTCGTTTGCGAGTCCGAAATGTCATTGTCAAATGTGTACTGATTTTTAGTTCTCGTTATATCCGTTGTGACGCTGCTGTTCAAGTTTCCGTACAAAATTTGTCAATAACGTTTAGGACTCGCAAACTATTCGAATTCGATATTGGTTCGTGCTAGGAGTACCGATCTCTAGGCATGGTGGTGATGATGATGACAATTTACAGACAACCGCGAAGTTTATCGCGGCCATCCACCCTTCGAGCAATTGGCCAAACGTCTGCGTTGGATGATATTCGGCGTCAACAGGCATCAGATCACAAATGTGCCCAATCTGTCAGAGAAGGGGTGGTTCCAATACTGTTCTAAAGCGTGGGAGACAATCAGGAAATGCACTTTCTTCATGGAATACGAGAGATTCTTACCTTGAACTCGTTACTATACGACAATTGAACAGGAATTATCGCCAGACGATAAAACCGCCGGCATTAGACACCTGCGCTTTATCGGAATGTTTAAGCCAAGGATTACGGAAGAAAAGTTATTTATGTATTAAGAATGTACAAATATAATTGTTACAATAAAATTTTATTATGAATGTTTTGTTTCTTTGTTATTACAAAAAGGATTTACACTTGCTGCTTTAAGCTACCGAACAATAGTTAAAGTAGAATACAATAATTGTTGATATAAACAATTTCAATAATAGTTCAAACATATTATATTTGCTTATTACGTAAGACTCGAAATTTAATTTAAATTTTAAATTGTGCATGTTATTGTAATGTTCAAAAGATAACTGTTAGTGTTTTAAAAGAAATCAATGTGATATCAGAGGCTGGTTTAAAGTGGCATAGTATTCTGAAAATTCTTATAACATGTACAATTAAAATAAACGTAGAATTATAGGTTTTGTTAAGACCAACGAATTAGATATGATATGGAAGCATTACTCTCTAACAAAGGCCGCTAAAACATGGTTCCAAACTCACGCAACATAACTTCAATACTAACGCAATATAAAACAAAATACTTTGACAAATCAAATATCTGCAAAGAACTCGGCTATCCATTCATTGCTTAAGATAATGTTTAACGGAAACGGATTGCAAGATCGGCGTGTTGATAGCAGTTTTTACGCCTCGCCCACTTGATCGCAGTTTGCGTAAACCTACATTTTGGCGCGCACAGTTCGTATTCCATATTTCAAATGCGTTGGTTTAGGCATTATTTGCAAGCTTATCACAAAGTAGCATTATTTATTGATACACGCTTTCTATCAGCGGCTTCCGTCGTTGCTCAGGCGGTTTATAGGCGTGTTGGTAAACGCTCGCCAAACGCCAATGCTCAGGGTAACCACTCGCGTTGGCGTCCCGCCAAATGCTAAAAGGAGGCGCCAAAGTCGGTATCGTGTAAGACTTCTTTGTGTACGGATGCCGCATCTTCGGCATTTTGACCCCTTTTGAGTCACTCGAGTTCGTCACGCTCTGTACAGCGTTGGGATTCCCAGCTTTGAAAGCGAATTTGTAATCCTCCTTCGACTTTATCTCTTGGGGTATCTTCTCGTTACACGGCAAACAAGTCTTATGTCTGCTACTCGAAGACACACTTTCCTTTGGAGATCTTCCTGTTATTTGTGAATCGTTGGGCGAACTCTGCAGTAGCTTCCCTTGAGCTAGCGGTGTTTTTTCATATGATTCCAAGCTATGTCGATTTCTGTTTATATCGTATTTATCGTCACTCTTGTTTTTCCTGCTCCACGCATCTTTGATAGGCTCCAGTTTATCGGGTCTGTCGCGTCTAGACTTTCTACTAATATCGCTTAGTGTTCCACAACCATGAATACCGTCACACTCTGGTTTCTTTGCAGAATGTGACGAGCTCTTTCTGCTAGAAGATTTTGAGCTTTTTTCACTGGGATTATTGTGTTGCGGACAATATTGTACGTCGCAAGAGTTTCTTCGTTTATCTTTTGTCATGTCCTTTTCAAAATATGGCACAGGATGACGGCCCATGTCTTCAACTACTCGGTTCTGACTGAATATTGGATTTGCATGTCTGGTTGTGTCTTCTACAGTTTCCTCTTTCGGGGTGTGTACCATTGTGAACACTGCTGGTGCTTTAGAACCATTCGAGCCGTCTATATGTTTTGGAGGCTTCGGTTCTTGTTTAGCATCGTCAGGCCTGAAATCCCAGCAGATTGCAAGGTCCATTAACGATAATGGTTTCTTATATTGGCCGCCTAAATCGGGGCCAGATGTTGATGGTCTCTTGTGATTGTCTTTCTCGTTTTCCCCCTTTTTAGTGTCGCATGTCTTCGGCCTGTGTACACGCATTTTAGTGCAACAAGTAGGTCCAGAAGCACCGTAACCTTTCCACCCAATAGCGTACGGTTTGACAATAATATCCGAATCGCGATGTTCAGCAATTTTAGTTAGATTTCTGTAACCCAATGTGTCTGGCAATGGTTGGTGTTCCAGATTTCCTACGTGCATTTTCTTTGCAAATTCAAAGTGTTGTGCAACATTTACGTACGGCAGTTTAGGAGTGTTACTCTTCTTGTATCTCATGTTATCTTGACTGTTTTCATTTTTCTTTGCGCTCTCGGCAACTTTTCTCCAAAATTTGTCGGCTTCGTCTTCTTCTGGACCGTGTATTTGTTCAATTGCTTCTTTAACCAGTAAGTCTTGGCTGTCGTGCCTTTTTTCTGGTTCAGTCAATGAGCCCGGTACATAAGGTCCATGGCCGTCCGCATCAACTGGTTCTTTTTTAGGCTCTATTTGTAATGGGTTTTCCTCTTTTGTAATATTTGATCCAAGCGCCTCATCACCTTCTTTTCTATCTGTTTCCTGAGCTTCAAACTTATTGTCATCTAATTCCTTAATGTTCAGACATGAAAATATTGAAATTTTAATGTTATACAATTCGTATACATTTTTACTACAAATTTCGTGTCTTCTAATCTAAAGTGCAGTTTTGTTACTAGTAAGGGTCTTCATTTTTTGTGCTTGTGCTTTTTGTGATAAGGACATTGGTTATGCTGAAATAAAGAAAATGAAGCAATGAGAAGTCAGCAAAAATGTTACGATCTTATTACGTAAATTATTTAACTACCGCATGTTGTATTAAAATGTTAATAGGTACCTACCTATTTTAAAATAAGTTTAAACACAGAAAGAGTTTAGCAGGGTCTTATGGGCAGGGCAGGCGCGCCATAGTTATGTGTGAGCAAATGCTTGTAACTTGACCTAAACTTGGTTTTAATTGCGTCGTTGCTCTCGGGTGTGAGCGCTGATTAATTCGTTTGTTTGATGTCGCGTCGTTTGATTGGCTATCATCTATTAGGTGGAAGTGTAGTGGGGGCGAGCCGGCGACATCGGTTCCCGTACAAACGATCTCTGATAATCCCTTTAACCTCTTTCTGTGTTCTGCGAGTTCAAACAACAAAACTAGGGACTTATTATTTAACGTTTTCGCTTCCCGCCATCCCTTTCATTTCGTAGTTAGGAAAGAGATGTGTTAGTTCATGTCTCATTTTTCTTTATCTATATATATAAAACTAAAAGGTGACTGACTGACATAGTGATCTATCAACGCACAGCCCAAACCACTGGACGGATCGGGCTGAAATTTGGCATGCAGGTAGATGTTATGACGTAGGCATCCGCTAAGAAAGGATTTTTATCAATTCTACCCCCAAGGGGATAAAACAGGGAATGAAAGTTTGTATGAAACTTTGTCAATTTTAAACCGATCGGGCTGAGACTTTGCATGCAGGTATATGAAGAATCATAGATGAATGTCATTGTGTATAATACAAGCCTGAGAACAAAAACTGTAGTCTACACTTCAGCTTTACACCGAAGCGAAGCGAGGGCGGGCCGCTAGTTACATATGTAAGGAAAAAAAGATAAAGTTACAGGTCGCGGCACGTAACTCTAGCGCTGAACAAACAAACGCGGAGGGGATAGTTGCGCATGCGTACGACTGGAGAGCCAATCGGCGCAACGCACGCCCACCGCGCACCTCGTTTCCCCCCAACACATCTTAATTTTTACTTCTGCGCAATAACGGTCAGCGCTAGAGTTTCGTGCCGCGAATTATACACAATTACCCATTAAATAAGGAAATCTACAAACAAAAGCAACATAATAAGACTATGGCTAGATTTAAGAAATGCGTTCATGCAGCTGGCGTGGTAAGACGTCCGTCCTAATTCTATATAGGTATTAAAAGAATCATGCATCATCATATTTATTTTTACAATGCACTAGCCCGCTGTTTCCACTATTCTTATGGTATGGTTTCATTTAGCCAAAGGTTGCCTGGTAGAGATTGCTACCTTAGCAATAAGGCCGCCTTCTGTGTTTTTGTTTCTGTGTTTTATGTTCTCTGTATTGTGTGTAATAGTGCAATAAAGAATGCCGAAAACTTCCGGACACATCTACCGGTCCACTTGTTGTTATAAGTGTCAACGGTCTGTAGCAAAAATATAATTAACTTTGAATATCTTAATATATATAAATCTCGTGTCACAATATTTGTCCTCAATGGACTCCTAAACCACTGAACCGATTATAATAAAATTCGCACACCATGTGCAGTTCGATCCAACTTGAGAGATAGGATAGTTTAAATCTCAAATTATAGTCGCAATTTTAATATATTGCAAATTATTACTTTTGGGCGGTACGAAGTTCGCCGAGTCAGCTAGTAAAGATATATTTTTAAAAACACACGAAAAATATCGTTCTATAAACAGCTTCAAAACGGCGTAAAACTGTACTCAATGTAATATTTATTTTTAGCTAGGGACCGTCAAAACCATATAGGCCAAAACTTTTTTTTTTATCGATAGGTCCGACAAATGACTTAAGCCCACCTGATGTTAAGTGTCGGTGCAGTCCAAACGCGAAGATAGCTGATACAGCAGTTCTACCTGCCACACCAGCCATCCTCGCCCTGTCGGTCTGCATGTTGCTTCTTCACGCCTCTTTTAAAGGATCCCAGGTTGTGAGAGGAAGGGAACACGTGAGCGGGCAGAGCATTCCATTTACGGATAGTGCGACAAAAAAACGAGTCACCAAACTTCTTCGTACGCGTAGGAATAGTGGCCACAGTTAGTGGGGGGCAAGGTAGGCCAGCGTGCGTCTTACGGAAAGGGGAAGGTGGAATACGAGAGAATAACTCCTCAGAATACTTGCCGTGGTACTTAAAATGCAAGGTGGGTCGATATATGTGTCCGGAAGTATAGATGTTAATAATACTCACTATTACAATACAAAATCAAAACTACACAACCTATAACCATAAAATATAGTAGATACTATCTATTGCTGATAACTTTTCATATAATCTCGTAGGTATATTATGTACGAATCATACACATAACACCTGTGAGGTGTTTATATCTAAAGAAAATATAACTAGAAAAATATCCATGCGGACCAGGCAGAAGACCGGACCAGGCATTTAAACATCAAGCAGTTACATGCTTAAAAATAAAAATTATAACTATAATTGCTATCTCTTCTTTCAAATGTTTAATACTTGTAAAAGTATTCATTTGACATTGTGGGTTACCTATAATGCGAAGAGTTGGCGCTGCCTTGCAGCTTAAGAATGGCTAGAAGAATTTCGACGCGGCCATCACGGCCGTGATAGCATAATTGGTCAGTGCGTTCGCCTGGATTGCGAAGGGTGCGGGTTCGACTCCCCTCTGCTACCTGGACGGCGTGGAATTTTTTCTAGTTATATTTTTTTAGATTTAACCATTAAGCAGTTACATGCTTAAAAATAAAAATTATAATGTTAAATATTTATTTAATTTCAATAAATACTTATGAAGTCAGGTACAATCATTTCAAATTGTCTCAAATTAGTCGCACAAATCGACAACCACAGAACACAAAAAGAGGTTAGAAGTGTGCTCATAGACCATTTGTACGGGAATCGATGTCAAACAATTCCAACTAATAGATAATAGCCAAACAAACGACACGAAATCAAATATTTTATCTATTTATTTAAACTTCATTGCCAAACATATGCAAACGGCGGACTTAATGCCATAGGCATCCTCTACCAGTCAGCCTGAACGAGTGAATGGCAAATGGTATGGCGATAGGGCAAAATGCTTAATAATAAAACATTAAGAAAATAACGACGATTCAAATATAGAAATACTTTTATTTATACTAAATTTGATACACCTACATAAACTACTCAAATAAAATACATAAATAAATATATACATACATAAAATATAATAAATATAATATAAATAGATGCAAAGTATAATAATAATGACAAAAAAAGAGATTACGTAGTCAGATCAGGTAGAGTTTACGCACTAGTTTTTTGAACTCCATCTTATTGTTAGAGCTACGAATGTTAAGTGGTACGAATAGCCGACCCAATCTCACTCACACCCGAGAGCAATGACGCAAACAGAACCAAGTTTTGGTCAAGTTATGAGCATTAGCTCACACTTTACTATGAAGCTCCTACCCCGCCCACAAGGCCATTCTAACCTCTGTCTGTGTTCTTTGTCGACAACGTATGGGGTTCTTTGTTTCGTTCAGTGAATAAAATTAGCTACACGATATTCAAATTAGATTCATGTAATGCAATAGCCTTTCTTACTACCTACTTGTAAAAGCAAAACATAATTTGACGATTTGTTTATGTAAGGTATCTCACAGGGAATTTTTGCCTTTATAAGTATTTGTGTAACTACTCGTATTTGTATATTAACTAAAATACCAAAGCACTTCCATCGTACTTTGGCTAAATCTAGCTGATTTAGGGCCGTATTACAGAATGACAACTAAGTGTTGCTCTTTACTTGAGTACAGTTAGAAAGGGATGTCGCTATGTGCTATATATAGCGTCATCCCTTTCTAACTATGCTCAAGACTAGATCAATCACAGAGAATCTTTCTGTAATACGGGCCTAAGTGGTTTACTTACACGCCCGTAAATTGTTTCTGTACCTACTACGTAATAGATTTCCGGTAAGAAATATTTTTTGGACAATTTTAAATCACAGACAGAAAAATTAGTCAAACTTATTAAAGAACGGAATCCGAATAAGACTAAATGACAACAAGTGGTTAGATTAACACAATTTTAATCTAAGACAACGTGTCCTTTCATAATCCTATAACAAACATGTGTCGTCTATACGGTAACCTGCATAGGGATCATTCTACCATTGACATTTTATTGTAGTCGGCTTCTTGAATTTAGGAAAGAAATCCAAAGATTAATAGGGGAGCGAGGGGCTTGTTGTAACAGTGGTATGTAGTAACAGGCTCTTTTCACTAAGATGTTAAATTTTATTAACGTATTTCTTTGACTCGATTTAACCTTTAAACCGCGCCGCATCATGTTGCCATAGCCAGTGTCCCATCGGCCAGCTCAGTGAGCGGAAGTGTGCAGGTAATATAAAATTGCAATGTCATAAAATTTTGGATTTCGTTATAATTATCGACCAATTTTAAACTTTCTATATCTTATTTACATTCAAATTTATCTATCTCTGATAATGTGTTGTTACACATTATCTAAAAACTAAAAACTGTTGTTTTTAAGATGCTAAATTGTTTTAATAGTTATCTTGAGAAATGTTAAAAATCCCACCATGGGGTTAGTTGTAACAAAATCCCGGGGCTTGTTGTAACGTGTTACAACATATGACATAAATAATACATATGATGTGGAGAAAAATCAGAAAAAATATTACAAAATTAAAGGAAAAGGTAAAGGAAAGGGAAAGCGGAAAGGCAAAGGTAAATCAACAAAAAATAAAAAAGGAGTGGACAGAGCTAAAAAATGATTTTATGTTCAGATTTAGAATCAGAAGAGTGGTATTGTCTAGTATGTGGTGAAGCTTACACAGATTCAAAGAAAGAAGATTGGGTAGTGTGTATCATTTGTAATATGTGGACACATGTAGGATGTATTACAGAAGACACTATCTTTTATTTATATTAATTATAGCTTAAATGAAGACTGAATATAATTATAATGAAACCCACCAAAGGAGATTGCTCAGCTTCCATACATGTTTGGCCTAAAAACCAATAACCATGAAAAATTGTTTCCTAGATTCGAAATTATATATAAATTACCATAGAAACGAATATTATCGACGGCCACGCCTGAGAACTTCTATAAACCATATACACTGAATGATTTTGAGGTTATGTTTGCAAATAGGCACATAGGTATTAGAATAATAAAAACCAAATAACTTATATAGGAAAATAGGGCAATCAAGCCAAGTACCGATATTATGTATTAGATTCAGGTATATAGAGCATGTAAAGTAACAGGTAATTGCCTGTTTTATAAATTAATGTACAAGAGTAAGTTTTAAAATCATGATTATGCCATTGCGACTTTCAGAAGCAATCTTGTTTCATTTGACAAGTGTCTAACACTAATTACACTAACAAAATGCATGTCAAGGAACTGGTACCTGCTTACCTATGTTATGAGAAACATGGAACTGTTATCATAATTTTATAAAAACCAATAGGATATTTTCTTAGTAATAATTAGGTTTATAATGGTAAAAGGTAATTCTAATGTAATAATATATTGCGTAGGTTCATGATAGTTCTGATCAATGTGTGAAATATGTATATTCCTGACATAGCTTAAATATTCTGATAAGGTAAATTAATGAAATAAAACAACTTAAGTACTTTTATGTTGCGTTTAATATTACATATCATCTACATTTTGAATTAAAATATCATCGAAATATTTTATCAATCTTTACAAAATAGATTTGTTTTGATGTTATATAAACAACCTCGATCAGTCTTTGTGAATGTTACTACACCCATAGCCAATAACAATGACTCGTATGTTTTCCAAACCGGTAAAAATAGAAGTCCTTTTTTAAAATTAATATATTATTTAAAGGTGGCCGTTAAAATCTAATGACTGTAAAATAAAGTATAAATTACGCCAAGAATTACTGTATATGTCAATATTTTATTTGCATTTAGGCCAATTTGACCAATCTCCTTTGATTCTTACATAAGTACAAATTTGTTAAAAATAAACAAAGAATAAATGTTTAGTGGTATAATTGTCGTTTTTTTGTCGTTACTATTTGCCCCTGTAGACGTTACAACTTGTCCCAAGCACGAGGTAAGTTGTAACACCGCACTTCTTCTAGAAAATAATTATTTGTAAAATAATGACCAATAGTTAGGGCATTATTTTTACTTGATTTGGTAGAGGAAGAGTTACAGCATCCATCCATCTTTATTTAGTAGCAAATTGATCAATAGATCTCAAGATATATTAGTTTTCATGAAAACTGTTACAACAAGCCCCTCGCTCCCCTACTTCTTAAAAAAAAGTCAGTCAGTCAGTTCATTTGTACTTTTTCAAGTATTTAATTGTTGAAATTCTATTTAAATATATTTTTTTCTGTAAACTTCAACCCATAAAATTTTAAAAAGTCACGCCCACATATTAAGAGTTGCATGTTGGTTTTATAATATTGTAATTGCTTTGTTTTTTTTTTAATTTAACTGTAACTTGTTGCGTGAGCTGATAAATAAAAAATAAAATTATAGCTCAAGAAATAAAAAATAAAATTATAGCTATTAACGGGATTGTTACCATGTACCTTGGTTTTATGAGTCAAAAACAAGGTACATGGTAACAATCCCGTTAATAGCTATAATGTTAGTGACCATGAAAGTTTAAAACAATATAAAAAATAAGACTTGAAAAAAACTGGCCTAATGTGAGACTCTTTCCCAGGGTTCCGTAGGAAGGTATAAACATTAAATATGTACGTTACCAAACTATTGATCCCAATAACACGATTTTCTCACATCTCTAACGGATTACAGTTGATTGAAATTTTGGATTTACTTTCAATATGTTCCAAGAAAAGACTCATATAAGATGTAAGATGGACTACGATGTCTGATTCATCATAAAATGTAATGTTCCTACAGTTAATAAGGTTGCTCAGTATCCACGTGGTAGGGGAATAGTATTCAGCGGCGAGGCAAGACGAGAAGTGTAGCTATTTGTAACTAGACTCCACTTAGAATAAGTGGGGATAGAGTTATTTTCTAGGCTTTCTCTACTATAAAAACTATGCTTAGCTAGGTTACGAGTAAACGGCCTTCTATAAATTTGAATACGCATTACTACACAGTGACATAGGTAACTACGCTAAAATGTACTGTTTAGATTCACTATAGGTACATTACATTTTTTTTCATTCAAGTCTAATAAATAGTTCACTACACTAACCTTGCAATTTTATTCACAATGTCAGACGGTTACGATTTCCCGCCAATTACACATCTACAAAAAAGGTTTTCACAGACAAAACAATACAACACGACCTTCTTTTTAAAGTAGGTAATGAAAAAGAAAAATAACTTTCACGAGTAAAGAGGTTCGCTTACTTTAACGTTTGTTCCCGGCAAATAATACCACGCGATCTTCTTTTCAAACTAATGAAAAAGAAAAAAGCTAAGACGAGCATGGAGGTTGGCTTACTTTGAACGTCTGGTCGTCCTGTGGTGGTGGCGAGTCATCCTTCTTGGTTTTACCGCGTTTGGAAGTACGCGTGCGCGCGGCAGCGGCCTTGGGTCTCTGCACACGAAGGTTCAACCAATCTGGGAATCTGTGATCAGGCGGCTCCTTGGCTAACTCTTCGGCTGTTCATATGATCAAAAGGTCACACTTTACTGCTCAAAGTAAGAATACCTACCAAGTTTGATATGCCGCCAGGAAAATCCATCAAATATTACACAGCATTAACACGAGAACATTAATAGTAATAAAGTATATTCGGTTATCAATTGAAAAATATTTAGGACCTATGTCAGCTTAGTTTTTATTAATAAACTTAAATTAAAAAAAATGTGTGTACGCCAAAACCATATGATATCTATATGATAATACTAAATAGATACTCAATTTACTTGTGATTGTTTGCTATACTTATTATATAAACAATCTTTCAGACCAACAGAATATTTCAAAGGCATTTGATGATATTAATCAATAACGAAACGCAGGGCCATTAATAAGTTCCAAGATTGTTAAAGTGTCATCAATCTCAACTCAGATATTGCGAACATCTGAACTAGTCAGTGCCTACATCGCAAAGGTCGAATTTTCGTTGGGTCCAACAAATTACCCCGTGGCACGAAGGAGGCAGGCAGTAGGAAGTACATTTGTGCGTGTATCTTGGCAAATAAATGATGCCTTTTATGATTCCTCCAAGGTTATGTCAACATTGCCAATTTTGGTTATAAATGTTTGAGACGACAATATCATTGCCATCAGACGTCGGATTTGAAGTCGGTAAAAATATGGGTGGGTTTCTGGATATCTACCTATAATGTCAATATTGCACTCGTAGTAAGTATGAATCATGAAGAACTAGGCTTCAATCGCTATATTTATTTAAATTACTAGCTGACCCAGCGAACTTCGTACCGCCATAAAAATAGGGGCAGGTGGTAGAAGAGAAAATTTAGGGTTGTATGTATTTTTTAATACTTACCGCATTATAAATAAAAATTGTCCAAAAATAATGTTAGGAGTGTGTAACGTAGTGTTCTATCAATTTCCTGGGATAACTTTCCTCCTAACCCATATGAGAACACTATGTTACAATACCCAATAGTTTGAATTTTGGCGCGAAGGCGCATTGTAGGTTTTAGAACACTACGTTACAGGTGGACAACCATTATCACTTAAGGATATGAAAATAGATAGCAGCCGACTCTCAGATCCACGGAAAATGCATATAAAATTTCATAAAAATCGATCAGGCCGTTTCGGAGGAGTATGATCCCTACCTACCTATGAAGATACACTTAAAATCTTATTATAACTCTTAACGCAGCGCAGTAACAGCACCTGCCAATGAAGCTGTAACTCACCAACTTTTCTAGTGATCTTTCTCGGGAGCTCCCACGTGCCGGTGAAGTGACCGAAGCACCTCGAGGTGCCCCTGGGTGCTCCGGGGAGGAAGTGCCCGTTGTCGTCGCATATGGGCTTGGGGTTCGGGCGCATTTCTAGCGGGCGCGGTCTAGTTGGCGCCCAACGTGGTACTTGCCAGTTGCCCAGCCTTTTTGGCGTGGATTCCTTGTTAAACTGCAACGAAAACAATACTGCCTAACTAAGTAGTAATAGCAAAACTAAAATGATGAGCGACTTGCCCTTGGGTACCGGTGAGGAAGTATCTAATGCATAATAATAATACCTAAGCTTTAATAGTGATTGTGTGTGGATTGTCCGATATTTATTTAATGTCGTTAAATTCTTAAAAATTTTATGTAGATATAAATTACCATCGCCTTGTTTTACGATGTTTAAACTTCAACGTATTCCAAATTTTTCAAACCCCAAGGGGATATTGAGCGATTTATCTCTTTCGCTTTTTCCTTCAAATTAATCTTAGATTTAAACAAAAAGGGAAGATACGGCATTCGCGGCCCAGAAGTGATCCGCTTAAATTCTGGTCCACGACCATAATTCGCTTTAGTCACAATTTGACAATATAACAATGCTTTCGATGCTTTTATAAAGAACACAAATAGTTCAAAATCACATGCCCCGGCAACACTTTTCATTCGTAAAACTGTGAAAACATTTTTTTCTCAAAGATCACGGTTTGTCGTGAATATTATTTACGTAATCGCCATTTTGTAAGCAAGAAAAGGACAACAATACGCTGCGTTGAAGCGTATAGTTCTGTCTCAAACAAAAAAATATATATACAAACGTGTGCGTGGCGAGAGTTGCTTATGTAGTTGAGTCGGATCATATTTTATTTGATGATAGTATGAGCGTACCGTATCTACCCTTTTTGTTTTAATCTAAGAAATTAATAGAAAAATGGCGGCCCTGGGCACTGAAAAACTTACTGTATTATTGCGACGCATCAGTACATCCTGAGTCATGAACACGAATTTTGACAGCTCCGTATGATCGTATTTTCTATGAAAACTAAGCAGCAGCAGCTTATCCCTATCGAAAATAAGAACGAAATAACTTTTTCCATTCAAAATTTAACGATGACGTTACTATAACGGTGCTGTCAAAATTCGTGTTTGGGCATCTGAAGCGTCGTCGGTCGCAATAAACAATCATCAAAAATGCATGCATCCCTCACCACTCATTTTGATTAGATACAAAAAAACACACACGAAGCGGGCGCGTGTCGCATTCTGCCTACGTGATTACAACATAGAAATTATCAAACATCATCATTTATTTCATAATCCTTATTATTAAATTAATTTTGATTGATAACCGATAACGAAATAAGTACAGACATTGGTGTCGATTATGACATGAGTCTCTAAACCTAAACTTAAATTTAAAAGCTGTGTATCCTTGTCATTCTCTATGCAGAATGAGAATGACAAGGATACACAGTTCCGGTCGGTCGATTCCTTTCAAAATTGTATTTTAAAATCTGGATTTTTACATCGACGATCTTCGTGGTGCGAGTGTATCATTATTAGGTTTTTCCATCCGCTACTACCCTAGTATCTCATAACACAGTCCTGATGGAACCTTACCCCAAAGATAGTGTTATTTCACTGTGTTCATATGTTTTCCGTAAGGGCGACATTGCTTTCCCCGACTGACGCTCCACTTTAAGCGGGAAATCTGCTATGCTCTACCTCTCTTGTCTGTCATAGATGTGGTGTATAGCATCCACAGAACACCTGCGGTCTGTGATTCTGTGTTATGGGTGCTAAAGCAAGCTTTATTTAGTTTGCGGCTGGGGCCGGTGTAAGTATTTTGAAAAAAGTGCAAATACATATTTTTTTTTTACTTTTTTGCATACAATTGAAGAAGTCAGGCTAGCGTAAAAAATTAAAAATCATATTATACATGGAGTATGTAGTTAGGTACTTCTAATTACTTATTCTCGATAGAAAAAGTACAATACCTTTTAACATAATTCATTGAGCAGGTGTCAAATCACCCCTTTTAAGAGGCGTCAAATAATTATAGCGCCAACAAAGGGTTGCAAAATATTATTTGCAGCCCCAACACCCTTTGCTCCCCGCACACAAACGACTTGGCGTAGCGTGCCCGCAATAATTTAGAATTATCTTGTCATAAAGTAGATTGAAATAATTGTAAGTGTACTTATACAAAGGATTAATCATTTTTTTTCTGCGCTTGCATGGTTACAAATTACATATCTACAATGATTGATGTTATCTGCATAATTATATGTTTCGCTTGCTTGTTGGAAACATTGCTGGGCTTATCCGAAAAAGAACTGATTTTAAAAGAATGTTAACGTATTGTAATTTATTTAAATTTTGTAGGTATATTTATCAATTTTCATAAAATCGATGCTCGAAAGTACAAGTATGTCAGGCGCGGTCCGAAGGGGACATGACATGACCCTGACCATGATTTGGGGGGGGGGGGGGGCGGCAAATCTAAAATACTTTTACTGTTAGAGGCACTATTTGACACACTATTTATACATATAGAATTGATAACGAGAAAAGTTCATTTTCTATGAGAACTATTATGGGTACGCCAGGTTTGCGCCAGCTAAGAATGTTTAGTTCAATATCTTTGGATATCTTTGGTCCTTTAAGAGTATATGATATCCGATTATGAAATTTTGTAAAGCCAGGGCACTATTTGCGAACTATTTTTGTGTGTCAATTTCGTTGCTTAAATATATGCCGTTCTTGGGGTCGGCCATGGGTACGCTAGCTTGACGTCATGGTAGCGTACACAGTAAAAATGGTCTTTATTTCTTAAATTAAAGAGGCACTATTTTTATTATTTTTACACTAATTTGGCACTATTTACGCAGTATTTAATGGCATAACGAAAAACCGTATATTGATCGTGGGTACGCTAGCATCACGGACACTTTTTTATTAGTGTAGTGAGTGACCCCCTCCAAAATTTCAGGCTGTGACCGCGCCTGAAGTATGTAAGGTAATACAAGGAATAACTTCATTCCTATCATAGTAACCGTAGGTATTAACGTCAACGATATAAATACGTACGCCGGGCTAAAAATAGCCATTGTCAAGGCTTCGATGGCGTCTGTACTTGTATAGGTACAAGGGCACCCATGACCTCGGACGGCGACGGTGTTAAGGGTGATGCAGTGACGAGGAACACATTCTTGTTATATTCCAAAAACTCCGTCGTCATTCCAAGTAATCAAATAGGTAACGAAACAAAGAAGTCGAAATCATGTTTCTTCTTAATAAGACAAAAATGCGAAGAGATTGCAAGCACTGCCTTGCAGCCTAAGAAAGACTAGAGGCGGTTCGACGCGGCCGTTGAAGTCGCGGTAGCATAATTGGTTAGTCCGCCAATTCCGGATTCGATTCTTGTCTGCTGCCTGGACAGCATGGAATTTTTACTAGTAAAATTTTCTTTAGATTTATAAGAAAATGAGTATGGAAGCATGAAATTGCCCGTTATAGAAACCTATGTTGGTACATTTTTGGACGCCGATCAAATGACTGCCCTTCTAAAACGTTGCTTCATCAATCAAAACAAATGGCAGAACTTTCGAAATTCTGGAAAATCTATGATACGAACAACAATGATGATGATGACGTGGGAAAACCACGTTAAAGTGTTCATTTTTTTCATAAACACATTTTTTTAAGCATGTTTTGAAAAAAGTCTTCTTTTGTTCACCCAGCAAATGTCTGCGAAAGTTGCTTAACTCCAACGTTCGCTGCGCGCTAACCATTTGCGCCATTTCGACAGCCGATAGCCGTTCTAAAAAAATCAGCTCGCCTAGCTAGAAGGAAACCTCTTAAATATTTAAGCTTTTTCATATCAATCAGGCTAAAAATAGATCTTAATGAGCTCAGTCAATCAGTTCCAATGAATCATACTTAGGAGATAGAATACTGTTACGTGTCGGGATGGGGTTCGAAATTATATGCCAGTTAACGCTTGACAGTTCTTTATTCACCACACAGTTCACACAGTTAACACACAATGTTAATTACAAAACACTCACTAAACACTGTATTTCACTATACTAGTCTCTAAGGCGCCAATCGAGCTTATATACGCCAATCGACGCATTCTAGAAAGTACCTGTTAAATTGAGAATTAGCTAGCATCCGCGAGTACAAAGTACCTACGCAGATAACGCGCATAACTTGTAAACAAGTGCAGATGTCGTTGCACTTTCTCCCTTACGACGCACCGCATAAGGCTCATTTTAGAATGAGCTGCATTACTCGACCTCTATCGCGACAAGTGCAGATGTCGTTGCACTTTCTCCCTTACGACGCACCGCATAAGGCTCATTTTAGAATGAGCTGCATTACTCGACCTCTATCGCGACTATGTGCCCTGGCACATTCGATCTCTAGCACTTTCGCGGTTCAGGGGGCTTAGACAAAGTTACATCGTTTCGTAGCGAAACGATATCTAAATTCGTCATCGTTTCTGAGATAACGAAAACAATTTCCTAGCCAAGGTAACACTCTTGTCGTTATCGTCGTGGCGAATTGTTTTTTCGCTAAGAAAACGAAAATTGTCTATGGTATCGAAAATTTCTGCTGCCAGTTAGTCAATAAGAGCCCGCGAATCGGAAACTTATTTAATTATGTTGCGATGTGAATGTAAGGTTCACTAATAAACAAGTCTCTGTAATGCCTCAGCATCGTGTTAGATTAAGATCACCATTAATGTTGTGTATCGTTTCTCAGAGCTCATGTTGCTCAGCTTGTTTATACAAAAGTAATACGAGTAAAATAGCGTCCTGTGTGTGGGACAATGCTTTGTACATGTTTTAATTGTATTTCAAATAAAAGATTAGGACCCAGAGGCTCAGGCAGTCTAGTTAATGAACAAGAGAGCAAGTTAACTAACGTGTATTATATTAATATAAGTGTGAATTTGTGTTTTAGTATAGAAAACAACAGTAAGTTAATAGTGTTATTAATTACTTAAAAATGGTCCTTGAAACATAATGGAGTGGAGAATAAACGATAGTGGAGTAATCTGTATGTTCATTTTTAGTAATAATCATGGAATCAAGAGTGCGAGCAAGTCCCGAACAATTGTCAACGCTGCTAGAGTTTATGGAAAGGTAGGTAAATCCAAGTTTTATTCATTATTCGAGATTTAAATCATACAAATATTTGGTAGCAGCTTCGGTCCATGCATACCTAAACACTCATAATGAAGCTTTGTTTGTTTATGTTACAGTCATGGTGACCTGGCTAGGCCTCTTGCTGGAGCACAAGGTCGAGTAAGATCAGACCGACTATGGGCTGATCTTACTAATATGTTAAATGCTGTTGGTGGTGGTGTCAATAAGACAACAGACAAGTGGAAAAAAGTAAGTACCTATTGAATAGTTTTGGAATGACTGGTTTGATGGAACCCTATACTCATTTATATGGTTAGTACTTACTAAGACTGATCTATATTCATTTATTTAAATTATTCAATAAAGGTGTGGGCGGATTGGAAATCCAAGACCAAGAAGAAAGGGCTGATAATTAGAAGTCATGCAAGAGGGACTGGTGGTGGGCCAGCAAGCCGGCAAATCTTGTCGGCTCTTGATGAAAGGGTGCTGGCCATTATGGGCCCTTTAGCAGTGGAAGGACAAGCCTCAGTAGAAGAGCTTGGATTTAATGTAAGTATTTTATATTCGAGTTTCTACTTAAAATGGTCAATAATACATATTAAATAAATAAATTTGATTACTTAATGTAAACAAAAGGTACCTACTTAGTTATAATGAAGAAACAGACCCATTTTTATATTTTGATAGGTAAATCAGTTAAAATTTGTTAGTGATAAAGTACATATATGTGTATTCTAGTATAAATATTAAAAAGCGGTTATCTCCCTATTCCATCCATAGGGAAGGCCTGTGCCCTAGCAGTGGGGACATTAATAGGCTGCTGATGATGATATTTGTAATAATTACTTATTCTGTAGTAATAATTAAACCTATTATTATGTACCAATTTTTTTCAGAAGTCCCAATCAGCTGCATCCACACAATTATCTCCACCTATCATCGAAGATAATCCAATCTATTTGGAAATTGTAAATGGTACGTCTTTTGTATTTATTTTATAATGGATGTTAATGTAATTATGCAAATTCAATTCTATGAAATTAATGAATGTCCCGGATTCTCTAAATTTACTAGGCAACCTTAGTTTCATGTTTTCTTAGATTAAATTAGAAATCCTTCCTTCCTTATCATTTTAAATGAAAGGAGGAATTTGTTTCTTTGATCACCTCAATTCAGATCTTTGAACTATCCAAAATGAACACAAAAATTTTGGTTATAATTTTTATTTTTTTAAGCATTTAACTGCTTGATGTTAAAGAAAATCTAACTAACTACCTCTCTGACTGACTACTGCCTGGTCCGCGTGGATTTTTTTATAGTTATATTTTCTTTAGATTTAAATACAAATTTTGGTTATATTTATATTTTTCAGGCATTTAACTGGTAGATGATTAAATCTAAAGAAAATAATACTAGAAAAAAATCCACGCGGAATTCCTGCTGCCTGGCCCGAATGGAATTTTTATTAGTAATATTTTTTATATTTATACACAAATTTTGTTTTTTCTAGAAACGCCGGATCTGCCTACATCACCACAACCTTCCACTTCATCCCAGTCCCAAGCACCATCCCGCCCTCGCGTACTCGCTGCACCTTCCTCGCAGGCAGGCTTCTCAGGGCGGCCTCCGCCGTCCCCGCCAGTCACACCCGCCCCACCAGCCCCCACTACTCCTCCGAGGCGGAGGCGGCCACCTACCCCCGGCGCATCTGCTACTCCCCCGACTGCCGGGCGTCGTCTGCGGATGAGGTCGCCGGCGACACCGCAGTCTACTGCTTCTCCCGGCCGCCCGCGTTTGCGCGCCCGCCGTAGACTAGCCCCGACCCCCTTTGAGAGAGCGGCGAGCGAGTTTGCGGCCATCGAGTTACGACGCCTGGAGCTGGAGGAAACCCGGACCAGGCTCCAGCACGAGCGGGACTTGCGAGCGTTGGAGATTGAACACGACCGGAACCAAGTGTTTGGAAACTTAGTTAATATCGCTCAAGCTTGGCTTGACTATTATCGTAGCAGGGACAACACAGAACCGCTGAACACTGAATAGTTCTCAATATCAATGTTAAGCGGTTGTGTTGTCCTTGTGATAGAAGGCAAACCACAAAACACACAAGCAGGGGGCCACGCGCCGTACTGCATTATCCCCCTCTTAGGGGATAATCGCTTCAGGTGAAGCTTGTAAGGCCCTTCAGGCCATAAGCATGTACTACGGATGTGTTTTAGTCAGTAGGAGTCTGACATAACCTTGCAGCCGGCTGTAGGGTATCCATGAGGATTTCATACCCGCTCCCCCGCCTGGGAGGAACCAAAAGAAAAAACGCGCCGTAGTTACATTTTTGTTTTACTGTCCCACTTCCCAGTAATATTATAAACGCAAAGTTGGTATGGATGTATGTGTCGATGTTTGTTTCTGTTAATAAAAACACTATATTAGTTAATAGTAATTTTATTTATACAACTACATCCTTCTCTCTCTTTATTTCAGTTGCTTATAAAATTAATATAATGTATTTGTTTCTTAGGTTTTCACGCACATCACTCATTAAATAAAACTAGTTTTTACGGGTTAATGCACGAAACTTTATTTATTTATTGACGTTTCGTAGCCTTTATAGGCTTCGTCGTCAGAATAAAACTTTTATTTAATTTGTCGAGCTACCTTCGAAAGACTTTTATTGAGCGTTTGGTTATTTCATTGTTCGATTTTTAAGTTTTATTGTCTATGTATGAATTTATTATTTAATTTACTTAATAAAGTATTTTATTTAAAATTCTTGTTTGTAATTTTGAGTTTATTTATTTGACCCTAACTACCGTAAACTACCACCGGTTCCAAAATTGGGAGACCTTCCTGAGAAGAACCGGCGAAACAAACTCAAGAGAGGCTTTCTATCTCCTTCTTATGTTAAATTATGCAAACAAAAAGAACTAATAGTATCTGATGGTCTTGCAGTGTGTGCTCGGGGTTGGGATTTTATCTCCTGTATAATAGGTTCCCAAGCTGGTGGTATATACCAACCATCTTCCCTATTGAAATTTGGATATTTTTTAATCTCAATAGCCTCGCGCATCATTCGAGGAACGAACCGCCG